GGACCGCCGAACGATGACGTATCGAGAGATTGGGAGGCAATGTATACGAAGCGTGGATACCTAGCCCACTTGGACCAGTGCGAATGGTCCAAACACTTGTCGGCGTCTCTGAAGACGGATAGCTCCACAATGTCAGAAAGGCGCTGAATGCTAGGGAATGTGGCGCGGCAGTCTGCGTAGCACTCCCACGCAGCAACGCCTCTAGCCGGGGCTTCCGCTAGCATTTGAGCACAGCGGACGATTGCACAAATACCAGAACTAAATGACGTTGCTTTGCCTTCCACAGAGTGATTGCCACGTATGTGTCGATATGCTACGCCAATTTGAGATTGCCAACAAAGAGCTCTCAGGGTTAAAGATCACGACGAGCCACGTTGTGCTTATTCACCGAAGTTCCCATCATTTCTTTCTATGGCTTCCCTTGTCATGCATGAGACAATGTCCTCGTTTGCTCGCTTCTACCCAGCAATTATGCTTTCAACTCTTTTGCCCCTCCACTTTTGATACAAAGCTGAAAGTTACCTTTTAGTTCGTGAGTCCAAAGTTTTCTTGGATTCAAGATGCCACCAACGACGATCAACGACATGCCGCCGAAACCTCTGCGCTGGCACTCATACTCACCGGGCGCTTTTCAACCTGACGATTTCTTCAGCGACGGATATCCCAATGAGACGGTATGTATTGCGCCAAGGAATTGTGGAACCGAGACCTGCTACATGCGCACGTCGATACGTCACGCGTGGCTCGGGCATCACACCGATTTCGCATTCAATCGCGAGACATGAGATGAGTTTAAGCCGAATTCATGAAAAAAGGAGAAAGAGAAGGCTTTTCTGGCGCAAAATTTTAATGGGCGAAATCCTGCTCTGTCGGGACGCTTTGAGAATATTGCTATGATGGAACCGATACGGGACGTGAGATGACTGAATGCTTGCGACGGAGAAGAGAATACTTCCTACCAGCCACAGTGGTCAGAGAGAACATTCAACCATTGCCGTCGTGCATGGCGCTATGAGATGTTACTGTTCGATGATGATCGGTAGGGAATGACAGCAGTACCTAGAATAATGTGGCCGCAGACCAGAAGGGATTCCCTTCCCATCACGTTTCACCGCTGCTCATCCCTCACCTTTGCGCTCTCACGTGTATCTTCTCCTCGTCCAGAATTGATCGCTTCTCCGATAAGGCGTTCAGATCTTACCTACGCACACTTTAATCCTCGAACATGGAAGAAATAAGTCTTCGTAAACTCTTCTACCCGTTCTCCCGTTTCAACGTCAAAGCTCCGCCGCTTTTCTATACCTATCCTACTCTACGCTACTCTCACACCTTCTCCCCCCCATCAAAACTCCTCTCCTATACCCCATCCTATCCATCAACCACAACAGCCCATCTCTCCATCCCAATAACCCCCACCCCTCCCCCCACTCCCTCAGCAGCTACCCAAACGCCCCCGTAATCAAACCTGTCTCCCATTCCCCCCCCCAAAATTCAGCCATCCCCGCAACAACCCAAACCCGCACAACGGCGCCAGACCGAAACCCCCACAGCGCCTTCACCACTCCCACCCTTTGCAACATCCCACTCGCTTCCCTCCCATTACTACCCTTGCTAGCTTTTTCCCCAACAGCCTCACCAGCTGGCCTCCGGATGGGCCCGTTGCGGACGATCCTGTGAGCAGCGGTTCCGTTCCGATGGATAGGATGCGAGCGGTATCGATCATAGCCAGGGATCGTGGCGGGTGCGGGGACTTTTTCGTGAGGGGGGATCGCGTGCGTTGGGGTGGGTGGAGGGCAGGGAGGGGAGGGGAGGGCAGGGAGGGGAGGGGCTTTTTTCTGATGTGATATGATATGGGTTGGTTTGATTTGAAGTTGGATATCTTGGTGATTTTAAAAATAATGTTGATTTTGTGAGATGGCTTGATGGATAGATAGATAGATAGAGAGCATTGGTTCTCGATGACGGAATGCCGTTCGGGGTTCTCTCTTTTCGAAAGGGTGGGGTAGTCTCCCCCCCCTCTCTTATCACGAACGGGGCGATTCTTGCACCGGGCACTGAGTACCGCGTCGATGGATGACGGATGGTGTTGTTTTGGGACTACCTACTCACAGGTGGATCCAAGACTGGCAAAGATTAACGGGGGATGGTGCGAGCTGGTACGCCCTAATAGACCGAAAGCCAGCTCAACTCATAAGAGAAAGAGGGAGAGATGTGTCAGATCTCCAAACCGAATTTCCCAACTAGTCCAAAATCTTCAGAAGTTCGACCGTCGGATCGGAGTTTCCAGCCTATATCAACCAACGATAAGCCCTGGGATTGCGAAAGATCTAGACACATAGAGGAACGTTAGCGGTCGAAGAAAACGACGCCGAGTCGATCCCGAACGGCGGAGATATCGGATCGCAAGTTCAGGGTGTTTTTGAGATGGAGAAGACGACGACTGCGCGAACAGGGTCCGACGTTTATATCAAGGACGATGAACTGAGGAGTACTAATGGATTGGAAGGGACACTGCTCGATATGGATCGCGCGGACGGTGCATGTGTGGTTTGGAGGCAAGGAGCCTGGGGAGAAGAGGTACTTTGAGATATGCGGTACGGGTGGAAGCAGTACGGATCAAGACTGAGAAGTGGGACGAAGGGAGGCCTCATGGCAGGAGCAAATTCAGGTAACGGCTGGCTTTGGAAGGACGCGGCGTTAGCGAAAAGTCTTCAGTAGCCTGCAGCGCCATTGTTGTCTGGCTTTCAACATCACACGCGCGCGATCGTCTACTTCCATTCGACCTTCAAGACTTCGATAAAGTTGAGGCAAAACGATATGTACACAGCGTTCGAATGGGGCAAGAGGGGCCGAAGTGTCCAGTCGCAGGTCGACGGGTATCGGGACGTTTCCGGGGGGGAAAATCTAGAGTATGTAGTAGGATATGTGGCAGTCAGTAGGAAGATGAATCCTATACTATAGCCGCAGTCTTTCCAAAAGCCTCAATCCGAGCCAGTTCGATCTGTGAGATCTTCCGGTAGGAAGCATGATCGATAAGCAAGACCGCGGCAACTGCTGACGACTCAGGACATGGCGCAGCCTGCTGTCGTGGTAGATCCGGTCTCTCAAGACGAGGAGGGTTTCCGTTCTGGGTTCCTATGCCGGCTTCATGCCTTCTCAGGAGGCACGCAATCCGAAGAAGATGAGCTTGTGCCACTTGGGGCACGACAGACCGAAATGAGATGATGCAGAGACCCGCGTGTTTTCGAGCGGGCGCACAGGCAGCCTTTCAATCCCAAAGCGAACGTCGCATGAAAGCCAGATCCAATCGAGTGGCGCTTTCGGAGACACCTTCGTGGGGCAGCCTCGAAGAGCACCAATCGCGAATTTTCTTATTGCGACGTTTGATGCAGCATCGGCGAAACCGTTGCGAATACTGTAGTCTATATGCAGCTGTTCCCAGGACTGGTCGGACGCCATTTGTGCCAAGCTCGATTGAGTAGGTGGATTCGGAGCCGCGTATTCGTCACACCATCGGCTTCGCAGACACCAACACTACCGGGGCCTGCAATTTCGGAAGCTCCTGGTTAGGTAGGTATGCGATTTAGATGAAAGGGCATCCCAACATCCAATGCTACCTTGAAAGTACGCGTAGCGCTGTTGCACCGTTGGATGACTTCAGATATCAACGAGAGGCCAGTTGCGTGCCAAAAGGACAATTTCATGAAGGAGGCAGCGCGTGAACAAATGTGGGATATTGCCAGGCACACAATGCACCAATAATGTACGATGCAACGGCAGATGCTGATTCGAGCTTCAAGCTTTTTCCCTTTCTCAGCGGGTGACGTAATAATGGAACCAGCAAGGATTGTATGTACTCATCATTATCATTGGCTTTGCCAGCATCATCTGACAGGCCCAGGATGAGCGGATCGGAAGATCCTGCCTTCCGGAGAACTGCTTGTGCCAATCATCCCGCATCGGCCGGCCAATCTTATGGTGCGGAATGTCCGCCGCATCAGCATGACGTAATTGACTGCCGATGAAGCGGGGCCGCCGGCCGAGAGGAGGGGTGGTGGCTGATGCAGGTCGGAGGGATGAAACACGGACTTATCTGCATGAAGGTGTGAAGCAGATTATGTTGTACAGATGCTGATCATGCATGTTTTATACTTATGCATGCAAGGCGATGAGTCAACATGCAAGTCAGAAGGGAGATGTTGCCTCCGAGGCTACTTTACTGTACTTTCAAGTCTTCGACCTCATTGCCACAAAGCTTGGACCTTTTGGCCCTTTTTTTGGTTTCGGTTATAATAATAATAATGTATCAGGAGGTACCACCGTACCTTACAGAGTGTTAGCCTGTTAGCATGTTAGCATATGGAGGCGTGTAAAAGTATCGAGTACTCGTAAAATAGAGTACCGTATATCCAGCACACTACCGCCACTGAGCACGTGTGAATCCCTGCTCATTTAGAAGCTTCAAATCTTAAATCCCCACACTAATTCACAATCACACAATCACCCAACACTGAGTATTCCTGCCAAGAAGCAAGAAGCGGTACTTGTCTCGAACTTGACTGTAGCTACTCTCACATGAATTGCTTCATGTTGCTTGCGTAGTAATCCATGTATGATGATTATACAGATTACTTCTTACCACACTCTCTTCTTTAGGCTATTCCCCGGTGGAGGTGGCTGACAAGCATGATCCACGCACGGCACGGTTGACTTTTAAGTAACAAGCCAAAGCGATATTGCGGCGTTGGTACCACCTCCAAAGCTCTAACTCACTTTATCCACCACACTCCCATTCTCCCATCCGACTCGCTAATGGCCTTCTACATCAACCATTCCTTCTCTCCTCTTCCCTTCTTCTCCTTCTCCTTCTTCTTTTCTCTCTTTTGCGAAAGAAGATGGGACTGCATGGTGCTGCCGCCTTCTCTGGTCGTCAACTGCGCTGTTGAGTAGAGTTGGGCTGACCTGCGCTCGCTTGCGCTGCCATTCTCTAAGGACTAAAGATGTCGCTGCTGCCAGTTACTCTACCACCTAGCGAGCTGATACAGTCTCGGAGTGCCGAGGTCATCGGAGCATCAGTGCCATTGTTAATCCTACCCACCGCGGCTGTCGCCTTGAGATTGCTGTCCAGATGGATCTCACGAGCCGGCTTCTGGGTAAGATGTCTGACAGCCGCCGACCATGGGAGAAGGACTGACTGACTGGCTAAACAGTGGGATGACCTTACCATCGTACTGGCCTGCGTATGTTACACTCGAGACTCGATCTGAAAAGGAGTCTATGTTTACAGAACCGCAGATTCTCTGCTGGGGTCCCAACATCGTCGACCTCGTCTGTCAGTCGCGTCCGGGATTTTGAGACCGTGGGACATGGCTAACAGGAATTTAGCTCTACGTTATGGTTTCGGACGACATGTTGAAGTCCTCGGCCTGGGAGGGTCATTCCGCTGGTTCAAAATCCTCTACAGTTTCGAATTCCTCTACACGCTCGCCATGGCATCGGTCAAATACTCCATGTATGCGTCGTTTCATCTATCCCCACCACTACTTAGCAAGTGCATACACATTCAAGAATCAACGGATCTGACGAGTACAATACTGCAGCATCCTCTTCCAATACCGCATCTTCCCCATCGTCCAATTCCGCCGCATCCTCTCCTGGTGCACCTACTTCGTCGTGTGCCTCACCATCAGCTGCGTCATCGTTTCAGTCTTCCAATGCGTACCCATTCACGCTTTTTGGGACACCCTGGCTGGCACACTCGCTCCCGAATTGGGTGGAAGGTGTATTGACGTGGAGCTATACTTCCTCATTTCCGGGTCCCTCAATGCCGCCACGGACTTTGGGCTTTTGGCTTTGGTGAGCGAGAGATGCGATGGATGCAATGCCTAAGAGCAAGAGACTGATGAACTGACAATGAATGTAGCCGATACCCATTCTCTGGCGTCTCAGAACTAGCCAGCCGCAGAAACTCATCTTGACCGGAATCTTCACCGTGGGCCTCGCGTAAAGCTCCCCATACTTCTCTTCTTGATTCCCATGTCAAATCTTTTCCCGCTAACGACCCAACCAGTGTCTGCGCCGTCAGCGTAACCCGCCTCATCATGCTCCACCAGTACGGCAAACGTGAAGATATCACATGCACGTCCAACCCCGCCCCAATGAAATATACACAAACACTGACACGTGCACCCAGGGTACTACGTCCCCATCGCCGTCTGGACCGCCGCCGAACCCTCCATAGCCGTCGTATCCGCGTGCCTGCCCTCCCTGCGCCCCCTCTTCGTCCGTGTCGTCTGGGGCGGGGCCCACCGCCCCAAACCCCCCACCTACCCCTCCACCTCGCGCTACGGCTCCAACTCGCTGCGCAAATCCCCCTACGGCGACGGCTCCTTCAACCGCTTGCAAGAATCCGATCGATCCGGGAACCATGGCTCACCGTGGACGAACCACAACGTGAACGTCTACGGCGGAAGGCGATCGGGGGATGCGGAGAGCGACGAGTTTGAACTGGGGAACCAGGCGCATTTCGAGACGCCGATGAACAGGATCAGGGCGAAGACGACGGTCGTGCTGACCATTAGCGAGAGGGTGGACTTTCAGGACGATCTGTTTTGATGGGCGTTTGTCTTGGTGTGATAGCCCTAGGTGTTTGGGTTAATACCGTGTAGTGAATAAGAAAAGGGATGATTGCACGATGGCTGGGTCGGGTTCAAGGATATCAGGTGGCTTGCAATGTAGGATTTTAGAGTTCATATATTCGAGATGATACCCGTAAATTCTTCTTCTCATTCCGTCCCGCGACAACAGCAAAGCCAGTCTGCCACAGCGGTGATAATCACACCTACATGGAAAACAAAAACGAAATCGAACACAGACATCATCACACACCTCCAGCCTCATCAACTCCCCCTTCCTTTCCCTCCCCTCCCCAAACCCAAACACCCCATCCCAACCCCCCACCTGTGCCCGCCATCCCAAACGCAATTTCCGACCCGAGATGCGGTTCAGGTGACGCCGATGTGCTCGATCGAGGCTGATGTATAGCTTGGATGTTATATACCTTGTGGATGAGATGGGATGAGATGGGATGTGAAAAGTGACGTGAAGTGAAGTAAAGTATAGTATAGTAAAGTATAGTATAGTAAGTAATGTAGAGGGGAGGGGTGGAGGGGAGGGGTGGAGGGGAGGGGATAGTAGGGGGTGGGGTAGGGGGTAGGGGGAGGGATAGCTTGGGGTGGGGTGGGGTAAGGGAGGGGATAGCTTGGGGTGAGGTGAGGGAGGGGATAGTAGGGTAAGGTTGATGAGCCACGCCGGTGGAAATGGCACTGGCAGCACGAGCGACACAACAACGTTACGAGACGAATTCCGAACCGCGTCGTGGATTGTTGATACTGATTCCGTTGTTGCAGTTCGAGGCGTCGGGATCTATAGTAGGTAGGTAAGATAGTAAGACGGAGAAGGGGGGATCTGTTGAAGCGCGGATTGGGGAGAACGGGGAGGATGGGGATGAGGATGAGGATGAGGATGAGATGAGATGAGATATGTAGAGCCCACTATTTGAGGGAGGGGCGAGGGATGGAGGGAGATATGGTCGCGATGTGCAAACGGTACTGAAAATTCCCCCCTTTTTTCCCCCCCCCCGGGGGGAAAAAAAGGGGTGTTTTTCCCCCCCCCCCCCCCCTCATAGCTACCTAATCAATCAATCCTTCATACATTTCCAACATAAATCAACGCATTGAGTACCTAAGATATCACGGCTGGAGTCCGCACAGCTTGCCAGGCTTGACGTTTAAAGGTTTCCTGAAATAGACTAATTGCTATTTTTCGGATCGGGTTTGAGTCTCGTGTTGATGGTGGAATGGGAGGGATAGGGGGTTGGAAGGAGGGTTTGAAGGTAGGTGGGTAGGTTTTCAACAGCTTGATTGTGTTTTACGTGTTTTTGTTCTTTGAAAGGGGTAAGAATTGCACCTAAAACTACAACGAAAAAGAACATTCTCCTTCCAACCCAACCCTTTTTCGACAGTCTCTGCCATTGAAATATCAAAACGTGACGTTGACCGCGCCATGCCTTTTAAGAATCCTTTCGGAGCCAAATCGTCGCCAAACACCCCTACAGCATCAAAACCAAACGCCGGTGCTAAATAAAGACTAGACAACAGCAGCGATAATGCCTCTCACCAACAACACTCAAGCTCATCACAGCTTCTAATTGAAGCATATTGACTAAAGTAGTTTTCCAAACACGAGGGCATACGGCCGCCGATTACGAGCGGATATGGCACGAATACGGGTCCGGCCCCCATCGTCGTCTGCACAGCCTCATCCGGCAAACCCTATACCCACCTACAAACCCCTCCCCCAGCCCCTCCCCGTTCCCCATCACCACACGCATTCCAAACCCCAAAACCCCACCCGCATCACCCGACCAGGCCCCTAACCCTCACCCTCCACCCCAACCCACCCAAACCCCCCCACCCCATCACCCTCCGCACAGCCCTCTACCTCCTCACGACCCCCGTCCCCGTCGCAACCCTGGTCCTGCTCGCCGCCCCCCGACGACCTCATCCCGCTCTTCCCCATCTACGCGCTGCTGGCGTCCGCGCTGACGGCGCCGCTGCGCTGTTTCTGCTGGGTGCTGTCGTTTTGGGTCCGGGTGCGGTGGGTGAGGGGGGAGGAAGACGCGGCGGGAGAAGAGGAAAAAGAAGGAGAAGGAGAAGGAGGAGAGGGGAGGATAAGGCTTGGTGACGAGGAAGGGGGGAATGGGCGGGGGTGGGGAAGAGAGTGTTGCGGTCGTGGAATGCGTGGGTGGGTGCGGCGCTGGTGGCGAGTTTGGGCGTCTTGATCTGGCGGTGGGTGGAGGATGCGAGGGGGAGGGTGTTGAGGGGTGAGACGGGGTGTGCGGCTGTCTTGTTGGCTGCGGATTGGTGAGTTTTTCTTTTTCTTTTTCTCTTTCTTTTTGTTTGTTTTGGTTTTTTCCGTTTTACAGGCTTATGTATGTGCTCCTCTGAACGCTAATTCGTGCGGTATTGTGCTGCACGCATGGTTAGCGGTGCCGGGGCTCGGCGATACGGAGGTTATGGTGCTGCGGAACCCGTTCAAGGAGGGAGATGGGTTGGTGGACGAGGGGGAGGGAGGAGAGGGTGATGGAGGAAAATGTCCGGGTGGAGGAGAGAAAGATTTAGGAGAGGTTAATGAGAAGGGGGGAGATGAGGAATGAAAGTGTAGTGGAAATCGTCGTACAGTACAGTGCTCTAGCTTTTCTCTCATTTTCGTATGCACCTGTTCAAGGCACATGTATCTGTACATGACGTTATTGGTAACTACTAGACAGCTGTGGTTTAGACCAATGAGGGCATTAAAGTGATATGATATCAGTTTACCATGAAGCCCTTAAGTAAATTTGAGATTTAAAATATCGGAAGTCTTATTACATATGCCGCTCTAAAATACAAGCGTCTATAGAAAATCTCACAAAACCCGATGAAAGGAGCCGGGATGGCACTATCTACCAACAAACCCATCACCTCCGAACACCCGTGCTACACATCACCATCCACCAGTCCCCAATCAAATCATCTTAACTCTCATCTCCCTTATCGAGATACAGGCGATAAGAACAGAAATAGCGTTTGGAGATGAGAAAAGTCACAGTAATCGACCAAGATAGTAGATAATCCGGGTTCTACATACATGGAAATTTTCATAGTTCCTGAACTACGAGGGAATCTTGCAATGTAAACATACATCTGTACTTACCCTGGTTGAGTAACGAGTGGTGTTACTCAAGTACACACGCAGTTTATAAATGGCATAGATTGTGCGAGTGTTACTTACATTACATTCAAAGGATAGCGGTTTCAGGATTCGAGGTTCGAGCGGTTGTCGAGTGTCAACGAAATCACGTACCAAGCGAGGTACGAAATTTAGGCGAGCTGGGTAGTCGCGTGGTATCTCACCACCAATGTTCTTTCTCACCATCTGTCTCAGTCTTCTGTTTTTTGCTTCGGGGCTGATAGACACGACAAACCTATTGCATCTTTCTACTTACAACCGTGACCGACAAGTCTAACGCATGATCAAATAAGGTTTCAATTGTTCAATACCGATACCCAAACAACTGTTTCGAGAAAGAAATAACAAAAAAAAGAAATAGGTCAAGGAAGGCAAAGGACTTGAAGATCCGCCGGCCAGGTGGAGATGATTGGCAATGACCCGATGCCATTTATTCGGACTGTGTATCTAAGCACCCGCGCACTGCGACTCGTCCGCTCCACTGCTTCAGTCTCACGGTTTCTTCTTCGGCTATTCGACATCCCTTACTCGAAGTTCTCGCGCAGAGTTTGATAACGTGAGCCCGAGGGATATTGATCTTGAACACTGTTGTGTGAGATATCTTCTGCGCGAAAAGAAACACACTGGGTCTGAAAACTTGGTTTCAGATACACTCTTCCTCTTTTATAATAAACCCCCCGAGCGCGCTCTATGCCTGTATGCATTGAGCATTATATGGAAACCTTAGACACGTTTCGACGCTATACTTTGTCTTCTTCTGAGAGTACAAGCTTTTGACTGATGCAGCGTTCCTGGGACCCTCATCACTGCTGCGACTCTTGATCTAGCTAAAACATCCGACGATGACTCTGCTGCAGTCTAACACAAAAAAGAGCGAATCGTCAAGACTTCCTGAGATAACACCGTGCATCCGGAGCTCAAAGCGAGGTCCAGAGCATCCCAACCCTTGTCGGCTCTGCGATAGACAATAGCGAACACTTTTTCCAGGATCGGACGACTTGGAGGAAACATGTTGCCGGGAGCAGCGAGCTGATTGAAAGGTCTTGCCATGTGCACCACGGATTGGATCCCGGGAAGTATTTTACAAAACTCTGCACACATTGTCGGAGAGGACCAAAGAACCTTTTGGGAGTCCCAAAAAACATTAAAATCGCAAAACCTCTGACAGCGCCAACGAATCCATCCCCGAACCTCCACAGACAAAAGTGCGCTTCTGACTCCCGATCCGATCTCGACCAACCCCAGCTCTTTCACTCAATGCCATTGAACAACACCACGCAGCGCAGAGCAACACACAGAGGAGCCAGTTTGCAGGACCCGTAAGAACGCAAAGAGTTGCCCGTGTCAAAATCTGCTTCATCCATGCGCAGTCTCGGAACGTCGTCGACGAAGATTCAAGCTAGAATGCTCAAGCGCCATAACACGAAAGCGACACGCCCACGCTCAGCAAGAACATGCATGGCAGAGGCGAAGAGTGCGGCTATTCTTTCCAACTGCTCCGCATCTGTTTCGGTATTGCCTTAATAATGGAGACAGCGGCGATGGAAAAATAGTCCAGTTTCGCTGACGCAGATCGTTGTGCTGATACAATGCTCATGATACCATTGTAGCGGCCGAAGATAGAGGACGGATGCGATGGATCGACCATCTCGGTGGTAGAGCACGAGATGGCCACGTAACAGGCCGGTGGATAGTTCTAGGATTTGGGGGGAGAGAGGGTGTTGAACCTCGATGTTAAAACCACGGATGATACTCTCAACATATTCGCCTTCATCTCCCCTGTGCGAAAGTTAATTTATACCCTATGAGTCCCACCCGAAGAAAATACAATACGCACTCCAGACACCGTCGCACTCATCCTCCTCTATTCTCGACCCCCACAGTCGTCGTAGCCACGTTCTCCATGAACTCCTCCAGCCCTTCTCGCTTAGTCTGCGTCCCCTTCTGGCCCTCCAAGTCCGTCAGTTCCTCATACCCAGCATCCCCATGCCCGCTGTTGGCACTATAGAGCAAAGATGGGTCGTCGAGCCCCATCCCTGCCCCGCCCCGACCGCGATCAGGGTTCGGGCTCCTCTTAAACCAAAGGACACTTCTTTCTGACGACCTTTTGTTTTCTCGTTGGCTCAAAGGTTCGAACCAGGTTGATGTAGAGGGGGCGGCGCCGTGGAGGTGACGAACGAAGGCTGGAAGGCTGGGCATGGAGGAGACTATGAGGCCAACCATGTGTTCGACGATGCTGTAGGGGGCGGTCTCGTCAGCATGGGTGGGGAGGAGAAGTTTTCAGAGAGGGTAGTGGAGTTGCGTACTTCAACTCGGTTAAGATCATGACAATGATAGTCTGATTCGGTTTCTTGGCTTCGGGGATTTGGTAGCCTAAGCGGGCGACGCTGGCTAGGACACCTCTACAGTATCGTATCACACGTCAGCGCTCCTCTTACAACATCCGACCCATGCCCTGCTCACTTGTCACTCGGTAGATCTGAGGTGACAAGGAAATGGCGAGCTTACAGCGACCCTACAGCAAAAACCGCGCTCAACCTTAGTTTCTTCTCCTTGGCCATATGCAGTCCCCAGATCGCGGCGATCGGAATAACCAGAATCATAAGATCGCTCACAACGTTGATGACGCTAGCGCAGATAAGTACGGCGTATTCATCAAGGCATTGGTCTCCCCTTGCAACCTTGTCGGCCTTGCCAACGCATTCGGTCGCAACGGTAAGGACGAGGGCGAGCGCGTAGAGAAGGTTCCAGTAAAAGACGAACCAGATGCTAGAGTAGGGCTCGAAGTCAGCGTTGTATTCTCCATTTAGACTTGGCGTTCCGGAGCACTATGAAATCGTGTGGGATGAAAGGTGTCTGCTCTCGCGAACATGCAATTCTTGCGACATAAGTTTTGTATCGGCCCAAGAGAGGGGTTGAGAGGTGTACTGACCTCCACCAGATATGCGAGCGCCCCGTACCAGGGGGGAGAAATAAGCGTTGATAGAGGAGGACGATGGAAGCTTTGGTAAAGAACATTCCTATTCGGGCAATGATTTCGATGTCGTGGAAGAGCTACGCATGATGAGATGTCAGTCTATCCTCGCATGGGCGAGGAGTTGCTGTTTATCGTTCTATTGAGTCAATTTGGGGGGATAGAGTACTGACTTTAGTAAAATGCATATACTTTGACTTGGACACGTTCCACAGATCAGTACCACCGCCATAGTTGATTGCTTTGAAGAGGAGACCAGTGAGTGCGATTTCGAACATCCAGCCCAGGACGCAGCACCCTGTCACAGCGCATCAGCCTAATTCTCGAATAATGCAACAGCATGGTGTGAACACGAACAATCATCCCACCACAGCTGGCGAGTGATGAACTTCCGGGTGTATATACGCAGTACGACGAAAGGGGTTGAGAGAACGATGACCAGAATGCAGATGATGATGGTCGAGTAGCCTGTCGAGGGTGGATCGATCAGGTTGGAGTGAAGGCCTGGCGGGGCTTTCATGGCTGGGGTTAGATACGGATCGGAAGTGAGGGATGCCATGATGAGCTATGAGGACCAGAGGAATAGAAGATTGAGAGTTGAGAGTTGATGAGGCTGTTAGAGTAATGAAGACAACGATGATTACAGTGATAGAAGATAGCAATCCTCCTAGAGGAAAACATCGGCATATAATGATCGAGAATGCTAAGAGCAGCATCAAGAACGAAAGGCGAATGAGACTAAAGCTATAGCTTCTAGGAAGTAAGTCAAGAGGACCTTACGGGCGCCGACAGAAAGCAGTATGCATGTCAGCAATGGACACTTGTGCATGTCCTTGCTACAGTCCCTGTTCACACACGAAGCATAGCTCACTTGACTTCAGTCCAAGGCGTTTGCGGCCACCGGTCCGCAATGGGATGTGCCGATGAGTGGGTGTAATATCAGCGTTTGACTTCTGGAGGATGCTGGTTTGGTCATCGTGCATACTGAGATGATTCGTGATTGGGTGATGGGCGGAGTCAAAGTGTTAAAAAAGTCATGAGTGAGGTATTTAGCTGCATTCATTCTTCCGCGTGACCGACATGGCAGACGGATTGCCCTTCCCTGTCCAAGGCTATGTGCTCTGCTTAAAGAAATAGGATAGAATACCTCGAATGCTCGTGTAGTAGAATATATTAGCATGGATGGTAGAGATAGAATGGAGGGGCAACGAGGGGCTTCATTCATTGCATGGACCTATCTAACGATTAGCAATGCGTCCATTGGTGAGTATTTCCGTGCCAAGGTGGATTTAGCCCCCGCACAGAGGAAAATGCCTCGCTCCTTACACATTACTTCAGACAGTAAGATGGCGTCGAATATGGATGTGTACGAATGATATGTACAGCCGAAGAGCTTAACAGTTGAAAGTCGTGAGGGGCAAGTGACGTATACAACCGAGAGTGCATCAAGGGGAATTTTTGACAGGCATGGAAGGAAATGCCTCACACCCCCAAGAATTCGATTCAGCGGACCATAGTCCGGTTTCTGCAAAGCCGCCTCAAAATGGATGGGATGGAGGGAATTTACTGACTGCAAGTTGATATCTGCAAGGAGTAGCGCGCCACTCTAGTGACTCGAAAGCTCTAACGGCCCCTACCGGCCCCTGAATATTCGGTCACCCTTCTGCAGCATATTAGTCCAATCTAGGATAGGAGTACAACTGGTTTGCGGCGCGCTTTACTCCGTTACGACTGCGATAGCTGCACCGTATACCTTTTTGCCCCAGTAATTTCCACGTGCTAAATCTCAAGGCACATGTACTTGCGCGCTCACATAAGCTGCACCATTGATGCATAGACGAGTTCTTTTTGGACACGGACACCAAACGACATTCAGACGATCTATAGTAGCACTCAGTATCTCCCCTTATGCCTATACTCTATCGCTATTGGTTTGAAGATCCTCTTCTTTTTTGTCCTAAGCTATGCCACATGATGCCCATCACTGGTCCATCTCCCCCATCGTACACGGTCCCGCATGGAGCACCGTATGCAGGGGGATCTCGTTATTTCTCGTAGGTATCTGTATACCCACCGTAACCTCCTTGCTCGGGTACACCGTTTTGTGGCCCAGCGTGCTGACATTTGTCGTGTCCGTTGCTAGGATCAACCCATTGCGGCCACCGGGGATAGTGGCTGTTCGAGTAGAGTTTGGAAGGGAGACGATGGCGAGGCCCGATGTGAAAGCTACGTATCTAATGTATCCGGAGCACTCTCATTAGCTCCTAATTGATTCGGACAACCGATGGGAATCGGAAGGGAAGAAGGCGGAAGAGGTGTAGGCATGGGAATGTAAGGGAGGAACGGATGGCATACTGCACGACAGGGGCATTATGGAAACCGCCATCGAACTGCGATGGTATCAAGGAATAGCTCGTCGCCCCTGTCTCGCCCAATTGGGCGATCACAGCCCCAGATGTACCTGCTTGGCTCGATTGCACAAAAGGTGCGCTAAGCTGCCAGCATTCTAGTGTTGATTTGTCGTTGGCAGCAGCGATAGTTGTGATGTTCAGGCGGGAGGGAGCCGGAGGCGTCTTGGGCAGGGTGGAAGCAGAGACGATGAAAGCGGAGAGATTTGCGAGGGTTACGGCCGTGAGGCGCATTGTGAGGAGTATCCTAGGATGTAGAGCCGGTGGGTATGAATTGGCAGCTGCATGCACTGCGGAAGGGGGCGTGCAAGAAGATGACTGCAGGGTACGGAGGACAGTTTGAGGTTTCCAACTGGTCGAAAAATAATAAGCAACATGAGCTGAGGAGAGAAGAGGATAGGGTCTGGCTACTCTACATGGTTCTGATTGCGCAGGTGCGCGATTTTAGCCACGTCAGTGGCGCTATCAGCTGCAGCCTTTCCTGCGGGACTCGGCGAATTCTCTATCCTATTGCATGTACTCTCCTCTTTGAGCTGCACATGTATCTTCCCATATGCGTTCAATTCTGTTTGGCTGTCGTCTTTCTGTAACAGGATTAATCCCAAGCGTATGCCATCAATGACTGCTTAGTAGGTTTCACATCTCAACCTCGACTCTTAAGGTGGCCGAATGAAATACTCGTACCTTTGTCTGATTCGATCATGCGTTGAAACAATGCATTTGCTCGATGCTCTCCCTAGAAAAGAAAGAGACACCTTCAGATCCTCTAACCTCCCTTGCTAGAAGAATTACCTTGTCGAAAATGCCATCTCTGAGAATGAGCGGTCCTTGAGTGGCAGATCCATCAACGCTTTGACTCTGACAGTCCGGAGTAAGGTAAGATCTTACTTTACCCCGGTCACCTAGCCGCCAATAGCGGTAGCCTTGTGGGGGTCGGCTCGTAGCCTCGTGGGCTCAAAATCCCGATATTACCAGGTAAATACAGTACAGAAATCAAAGTCTGTAAGCAAAGACAGAGGAGTTACTTGCTTAATTACGCTGCGAAACTCTTGGCGAGCGTCAAGATCAGCCTGTCTCCCTGTGTCCGAGCATTTATACCTTATGGCCAAACAGTTGTACAAGTTTTGCGCCAGCCTTACGCTCAGCCCTGTGGCAAGTTCGTAAAAAACGTTTTTTTAACTTACTGGAAAAGAGGTTAAAAGTTACAGCTAGCGCTAAACTCCGAATTATACTCTGCCCGCGCTCTTCCGTCGTCCATCAATCACTGTATCCTCTTCTACCGCTAGTTCACACCGCAACGGTCAGCCTTCAATAGATAACGGACAGTAAAGGTTTTGAAGTTTTCATTGCAAGCTTCTTCAAGCTGCCAGTGCTGAATTTCCATTCGCTCCAAGTCGGGCTTCTACGAGACACGTTACTCAGCTGAGAATCCCTCAAGCCGTTAACCCCAGTCTTGGAGATCGACCTCCATGATGTAAGCTTGCATAAACACTCTGCTACCGTCTTTCCCAGGTGCCAACGACAAATGCTGAGACATCTGCAAAAGACGTTGAGACAGCCGCACAATCCGCTGCTCTCAATAAGACCTAGGCCCTCCAGAACTCCACGTTTGGCCCTCAAAAAGCACCACACGACCACGATGAGCTCTTCAGAAGAGCCTACGGCAGACGAAGCGAAGGACCTGTTCGAAAAACTTGAGCAGAAGTTTCCATCCAAGACGCTGGGTGCAGAAAGATGGTATCTCGTTGCGGTAAGAACTATTTTCGGCCTGTCTCAAGCCTCGGCCTAATGCCATCATAGATTGCTGCGCTCACGGGAGGAGGCCAGCCCGAATTTGCGGGAAACCTATACGCATACTTGGTCGAAAGACCGCACTATGCTACTTCCGAAGCCCGACAAGCTCTTGTTCGTCGCTTAAGAGAAGCACTTGTCAAAAGCGTGTCTATCATCGGAGTTTGCAGGCCTCTCGAGGCGATCTTTAACATCGATGCAGTGCAGAAACCTGAAGACAAAGATTACTCGTTCTCACGGTGTGCAATATTCTTGGGGCCGCAGGTGAATCCAACGCTGACGTTCGCTATAGAGAGAACTGGCAATCGGGACCTGAGAATCATGCACGAGGGGTCGCGTGGCTTGACAAAATTTACAAGCACAACAGAACCGGCACGATCAACTCTCTTGCCGCCCATAAAGATTTCGGTACAGTCTTCCGTTACCTTTTTCCCTCCAAACCTGAGAACCACTGCTGAGCATCCTGCTTCTCCAAGCCTGGATCTCCGCAAACATCACTTACGGGCTGTACCTTTCCGACCGCCAAATCCTCGACGACATTGACACAGAAATGGTCGTTCTCTCGGGTATCATGATCCAGAACCTGAAGCGGGAAACGGGGTGGCATCTGCGAGGAACGCGGCGTGTGGGCGTAAGCCATGAAGATGTTGAGGTAGTTCAGCAATGCGTATGTATTTGTCCACCCTTGCATCCAAACTATCCTCATTCACCAACGGCCTTACAGATTGAGATGGTTGCCGCCTTTGCGAGGGTTCGCCTGAATAAGATTCCCAGGGTCGCGGATATCGAGCATGAGGTCTGATGCCAGAATTGAAGAGTATACTTAGCCTAGCGCTAGAACGAGATTGCAATGAAAGTGAGACTGGCGAATAATTCTAACTAATGCTTTTATGCTTCTGAAGCACGTAGCAGCTGCAAACCTGACCTGAGTTATGTGATCATCTTGCGATCTCTGTGACACCCGCATATTAAAAACTTAGCAATACCTGCTTCCATACAGGTCTTGAGACGTCGTCTCAAGTGATCGGGTTAACCTTTCCGACCGAAAAAATCACAACTAATCCAGCGCTGGGTTATCATCGGAACCATTGACGTGGTCTCGCCGTTATTGAAGTACTCACCCTTGTTATTCTCGTAGGTATCCCAAACTTTCCCGAAGGCAAACCCATTCAACGCATAAGGACATCCCAGCAACACATCGTCTTTATCGTCAACGAAGTTTTGTCCCATCGTCTCAGCAACACCGCAAAACCCATACCGCCCCCCCAAATCTCCCCCCTCCCTCCACAACCCCCAAACACCAACCTCACCAACCTCACCACACCGCACCAAACCCAACCCAACCCAAAAGAAAAAAAATGTCCACCGCACCCACCTCACCGCCCCCCACCCTCCTCTACATCGCCCTCCACCACAACCCCACCCCCTCCACCTCAACCGACTCCATCCACTGGGCCTTCCTCGCCGCCCCCACCCCCGCCCCCACCGCCCCCTCCCACCTCTACACCCACACCCCCACCCCCCCCACCACCCCCCTCCTCGCCCGCCTCCTCATCGCCGAAATCGCCTCCCCGACCCTCCTGGCCGCGCTGCTGTCGGACCGGGCCCCGGCGGGGGCCACGAGCGCGGAGTGGATGCGCGCGGCGCTGGGGCGGTTGGACGGGTGTCTGGGGGCGCGGATGGGCTGTTTTGAGAGCGTGGAGGCGGAGGGGAGGCAGTTCGGGCAAGGGGTTTTGAGGGGGGAGTATGGGGCGAAGGAGGGGGAGAAGGTGCCGACGAGGGTGTTGTTTGATTGGCGGGGAGGGGTGGGGGTGGGGGGGGAGGAGGAGGGGGAGATGAAGAAGGGTGCCGGTGTGGAGGCGGCGGGGATGGAGATGGGGATGGAGGCAGAGGCGGGGAGTGAGACGGATCAGGGGGTCCGGGCGAGGTTGGATGTTTTGTGTGAGGATGGGAATTTCGGGCCTGGGAGGGAGGGGGGGAGGGGGGAGGGGGAGGGGAAGGGGGCGGATGTGGATGTGTTTAGCGAGTTTACGAATGTTGGGGATGAGTCAGGACATGAACGTTAGATGAGGAGTGTGGGTGGTGGTGGAAAAGGTGTGGGGGGGAAAGGGAAGAGTTGAAGTGTGATTCTGAAGCTTTTTCATCTCCGGAAAACCCACCAGCACGGAAGGTGGCTCAATGGATGAAGGGCGATGGACGTGGTGGGAAGCGAAAAGAGATCTGAGAGTCTGAACAATCCCCTCTCTGAAAAACAAGTGCATGAAACGTAGACGTAACGAGTTCGCGAGGTGACACGTTCCATGGCGTACCCATTTGCACAGCACCGAAATGTAACATCAACTAAGCGAACAATCGGCACCGCTCACAACTTAGCCCTAACCTCCAACCCCCTTCTCCCTCCCACCTCATCCCTCAACCAGCTCTGATTCAGCTGCGCCTGCACATGCACATCCTCGACGTCCAACCTCTCACTCACCGCCATCGCCCTCGCCGGCAAATTATGCAGCGCGTCCTCCACCAACCCCGCCACATCGGCCGCGCATCCAAACGATAGGCTCCAGCCCGCCCCGCCCTGGCCGTAGGAATGCACAATGCGGCTCGGTTCCATCCTCTCGCGTCCGTGGACCATGACGCGTCGCCGGCGCAATTCGCGCTCGACGCGGACATTGCGCTCCCTGGCCGGACGCAGCCCCTGCGCGAGGGGGTAGTCGGGGTCCGTCCGCGCGAACTCGAGGCCGGGGAGGAACGCTTCGCAGCGGGCGCGCATGCGCTGGATTTCTGGGGAGTCCAGCGTCAGGTCCAAATTCCACTCGTGGGGTTGGGCGATGCCGCCGAGGAGGAGGATGTTGTCGTTCCGTGGCACGATGAAAACGATTTCGTTGTCGTGAGCGGCATCGGCAGTGATTGCGAGCGAGCTCTCCACTTTTGGGAAATCGGTGCCGTCGTTGATGATTCGAATGAGAGCCCCGCGAAGGGGAAAGCAGGTCTTATCACCTGCCAATTCCTGGCCAGCGAGGCCGGTAGCATTGACGATGACATCGGCTCCGAAATGCGCTCGGAGTTCATCTTCTTGATCGTAAAGATCGCCGTGGATGGTTTCGGTGACGAATTTGGCGCCTTTGCTCTGCACAAGCACCATGAGCCACTCCATCGCACGGTCGGTGTCAATGATAGGAGCTAGGTGCTCGTAAGCATCTACAGCTCCATACCTGGGATCGATGCCCTGCCTCTGAATTAAACTCGGGGCACGATTAAAGCCGCGGATGCCACTACTCTCGATCTCGCGCATCTTTAGAAGCTGCTTGGAATCTTCCTCCAGCGGACATGGGAAGAAAAAGTTTGAGCCCTTCATCTGGACGCCGGATATAGCCGCGCGATTAGGGTCCGAGGCAATCTCATCCCAGATATTGTAAGCGACCATACACCAACGCTTTGAGTTGCTTAGGGAGATTGCGTCAGTGTGCTGACCACAGACTGCTGGGGGGTATTCCCACAACGCGCCGGCGATTTGAGATGTTAGCCGTTGCTCGTCGGTGAAGGAAGCCCACCGTGAGGCAAGGACCGTGACATGGTAACCTCGATCGAGGAGGACCCAGGCGGTGATGAGACCGGTGACACCTCCGCCTACTATCAGGACTGTTGGGGATGTCGCGGTAGGGGCTTGTTGTGGTAGAGGGTCCAGGGAGAGGTTCTCGCCTAATATGAGAGGCTGATCTAGTATTGACGCCATTGAGGAGAGGAATTAAATGGATAGAGATGGTACTCAAATTGATCTTCGGGATTTTTGAAGGATCCAATTCCCCGACAGCTGAAAGTCGGAGATTATATATGCGACATTCTGCACACGGTCTGGGCACATCTGCTCCTACCCCGATTGCCATAGTATTGCTTGGTTTTGACACGGTGTATGAATTTCTAGCTGGGCAGTCCAACTCATTTCCAACCCGCGTGGGTTCACAAGCTTATTCGTTAGACTCAACACTGAACCCAGTCTTCCTTACTTCTTGGCATCTTATTTGCGCACAGGCGCTGGTACCCCGCTTCGGGAGCCAATCATGAATGAAGTTCCGTCCCAAATAAAGCCCTTCACAGCTCGGTATCCCGACTGCAATAGATGCATTCGCTAATCTCAATGCTAGTGGAATCCAATAGTCATGTTGCATGAGAACTCTAGAGCGTATCCAAGGTGGTCAAGGTTTCAGGGTCTCAAGAACAAGAGACCGGTAACCTAGAATTGAAGCTAGAATTTGCTGGACAGACAAGTACCAGAATCGTCCACAAGTCCACGAACCCAATGGTACCCATGTCGTCTGTTTTTCCAACAAATTGTTAGCAGGGTAACTGATCTGCTTACTGACTGGATAAGCTAGGACGGGCAGAGCTTGCGAAGATGTTCCTAGCGAACATCCATGTACTACTTTACTATACTAGTCTGACACGATGAGAGCAAAGAACCAAATCTACCAGAGCATTCCTACACAAGTCGAGATGTGCCAATGGAGAGCAGAAGGTGAAATCGAAGGAAACCAAAAGAGCGGGATTATTGAATAACCAGCGAAAAGCTGCAGATACTGGTGGGTCTGAAGATACAGATGTAAGAAGGGCGGACATTCAAATCGTATCTGGCCCAGGGATCGATCTCTGAGTCCCTGAAATCGAATCTGCGAAGCGAAATGTCATAGCTGAAAAGACGGTGTCGAAAATGATAGGCACGAAAGTTCCTAGCACGGCCGTTTCGGACGTTTTGGACACATTGCGGGGAAGCGCTAACACTGAATGGTCTCTCTAGTGCCCTGTCAGCGCCAACTTAAAAGGTCCTTTCAGCCTCGTTCCATCACTAGATGTCTTATAAACTCCTAGAATCGTATTAAAAGTCCGAATCTATGCTTGAATTGAACATGTTTTTTGTTCCTAGCGACAATTGTGCCAGACGCTTGAGCATAAGACTGACAAGAACAATATGCCTTCCGTCGAGTCTTGACCGTGTCTGACCGATGCTGATCTTTCCAGTCCAACATGCTAATGACTAGTTCCCATGCCCGTGCGCAGGTGGCTTGTGGAAAGGCCGAAGACTTGGGAAGAAGAGGATATTTCCTAAGACTGCAGACGGTCAGGCCTCCTTGACTAGTTGCAATCTCTTCACTTATACCGAAAGTGGTTCGAAGAGTATATCCAACGCAGACTCCCAATTTATGGACGGCTGAGACATAAGATGCCGAATTGAGAGAGGATCGACAGTACCTGCCTCAAACCTTCCAGGGAGCCTCGGCCTAGGATCGTCGGGGATCGTATGCAACAACGGTACGCGACCATCCGTCCATTCGTAGTTGTCATCTCTCTGCAGTTTAAGCCTGACAGAGGATCCCCACTCCCATCAACAACGTTTAGTTGTGCTTCCATTGAATGCATCCAGTAATATCTCCCCTCGCTCGATGCGCTGGAAGCTTTCCTCGTACTCGGCATGTTCGCCCGGACACCCTTGAGGAATGCTGCGAGTTGTCGAGCCCCCCAAGCCTAGTGTCTTTGGGCTCAAACATGAACAAGTCCCAATTGGAGGAGAGGCAGCAAGAATCAGTAGTCACGGCTGGCGTAGAAGCTGAAGCTCCGGCAGAAGCTTCCTTGTTTCGCCCGCATAGCCTGTGGGTCCATTTATTCAGTCCACTTCCGGCATCCAGCATCCAAATAGTTATATCGCGCCTCTTAAACCCTGCCTGCCGCACCTTGCTGCGCATAAGCCTTTTCCACACTACTTGCACGTTTCTTGTTGATAAAGAAGGGTATATGGCTGCTTTTGGGGCGAGGACGAAAGTGAGGCTTGAGGATTGTCGCAGACAGCGAGATTCGGGGCCATTTTTGGTGAGGACGCGTCATTGGAGCGGGGTTGTAGAGGAAACTTGTAGGGCCAGTGGAGGGCATGGGCGGCTGGCGTGAGGGTTCGACCCCCGCAAAGCCGTTGATGTGCTGCTGCTCATAGTCTGCAGATTATTCGACGTCCTCGTAAAGACTGGCCCATGCTCTTCATAGCTCAAAGCTCGACAGGTGCTCTTTGCAGCCAGGCGTGAGGGTAGAGTAGCCTTTATGACGGACAAAGGCAGCCCCCGGAGATGAGATTTCACGCATGTTTTCCACGGATCCCGCTCTAAAGTTGCAGTCAACAGAGTCGTAGAGAATGGCCTGATTGTTGAAGCTGTGAGGAATTCGCAAAACTGCCAAGCACAGGCAGCAGAGCTGGCCGCCGCTAGCCGACCTTAGCCGTCTTGGCGCCCAGGCTTCTCAGTTTGCGGGGCTCCACCACAAGAATTCAATCCATACATGTATCTGTAAACACCACTACTATCATGATCATACTGTGTCTCTTTGAAGAAAGAGATCGCTCCCAGGGTGGATCAATGGAGCTAGTCTCGGACAGGAAATTTCTGGCGTCACACCAAGACTCCCTTGCAGGCGTCGCGAGCACCCCTACATTACTTGCAATATGGATATGCATCGGTGTTCGTATTTCAAAGAACAGATTCGCAATGATCTCTTAAAGAGACAGTTCCTTGTTTGTCCCTTCTGAAGGCTGGCTTCCTTGTTGCTTCGGGAGACGGCAGTGAACTCTTTACGTTACGAACCTGATTGAGCGAGCTGCATATGGAATCTTTTCTGAGACATGCGATAGTAGGTGCCAGCCTGTCGACATAGATCTAAAGATCTCAAAGGATAAGGCCGAGTATCCAACTCTTTTTCTCCTGCTGTGACGCGCTGCTCCTGCCCTGCCGTCTCCCTCCTTTGATTAAGATATATTGTCGTACGCATAAATGGTTAGTTGAGTAAGCCCAGAAGCACCATGCTTTCTCGTCCTGTGTCTCTGCGAATGACATCAAGGTCAATCTTCAGCCAACAGTCCCGCTCGTATCAAGATTTCTTTTCACGATCTAAAATACTTCATCAAACGTTACTACCTTCCTCGTCGGTCCGCTTCGAAATTTGCGGGATAGCTCGAGCGCTTGAGTTCCATCGTTGCTTTACCTACTCGGCGGCCACATTCAATGCCGCCACATCACGCTTCCCCGCCCACTGGGAGCTGCACAGAAGAAGTGAGCCTTCCAATGAACTCATTCGATACATGCGCAGATGGGAAGAGGAACTGCGCTTCGACGCGAAAGATGCTCTGCCACGATGGACACCACAACAACGCGACGTAATGATGGCAGCGTGCATCGGATTCCGACTCAAATACAACCCCGACAAAGAATGGCGCGCGGATCGTCTCAAGCAAGCTCTGACGGCTTGGAGGCAAGGCTTGCAAGCAGATACGCAGAGTCGCCAACCTCGATGGAACGCAGCCCATATAAGGAAGACCGAGGAATACATAGCGAAGAATGAAAAAGCAATAGCGGCAGACGCAGCGGCTAGGGAAAAGAAGAGCGACGATGAAATGAAGGCGTTTTTCGGGGGGTTCTGGGGGAAAATAAGGCTTGGTGCTTTTGCTTTAATAATCTTCTCCATCGACCCACTTGCCAACTTCGTGTTGAGTTGGATCCTGACGCCTGGGGTCAAAAAGCGCGAGGGAGCTATACTGGCTCGGAAAGTAAGGTGTGCTAGAATTGCTGTCGCCGTTTCACCTTGTTCTGCGGTATATTCCGACGAGCTCTATGTATCACCTGCTGCTAGACTGGACCTGCAAGGCGGAACATCGTAGTAGTGTGCAAGACCTTAGGAAGGCGGGCACTTTCTCTTTACATGTCTTAGAACAGAGGACTAAGTATTAAGGTGGTATAGGTAGTCAAAATGATAGCTAATTTCGGCTCTCTCATGTCGATGTGCCGTATGATAGTCGATCTGATTCTGAATACTGTCTGCGGAAAATAATTTACCCTAGCAGTCTTGTTACTAATTCCTAGATCATGTTAAATCTGGACCGATGCCAAAGTAACATCGACGAGGAGGATCATTCCCTATTCAACTTCCAACTTGTGGCCATTTTCCAGGTCTCTCTTGGGTACGAAGCCCGAACTCGATGTACAAACATTGAAACCCAACGCCTTCAACTGCCATTCTCTCTTCTCCTCATCTTGCCATTCTTATTCAACAACCTGCCTATCCGCTACGTTGCGAGACTCAACGCTTTTACCCGCGAAATGTCGCCTCTCTTCACGACCTTTGATCAACTTTCCGATATCATACCCAAGCCAGATATTTAAATGTTGGGTTTTCTGCGCGATCTGGGTCAAAGGACAAGCTATCACTCACTCTCAGTTGCCGGCGCGAGGACGATCGATGTTGAGTGGAGTTTCCAACGGCGGGAGGAAGGCGTTTGATATGACACGTACTAGTACCAGGGCGGAAACAATTAGGGCTCAACGTGCTGGTAGCAATGAGCATGGAGTGGATGATAGCACGCGTGGTTGCTCAAACTTGTAGAGAACAAGTAGAGGATTTTTGAGTGAGTGATGGAAAGATCAGTCTCGGTGTAGAAGTGGGTCTTGTAGACAAGATAGGGGCAGTTCCACCAAAGATGCTTCCCTCCAGAGCAATTGAGTGCCTGATAAGAGGGGCAGTGAGGCGACTCCGGTGCTGTGGGTTAGTAGGTATAATTATGTAGGCGGCTGCAAGGTCTATCGCCTCATGGGCAAGGAGATGATAGACTCTTATAGAGCATTAAGAGACGATGTGTAAGATTGACCTAGCACGCTCCGCAAGACAAGGAGAAGCAATACAACATATAAATCAGTAAACTCTGGTGAAGATATTAAAGGACATGGAGTACTACTGCTTCGCAGCATTCAAGTATGTGAGATACCTCGTAGGGATCCTTTTTTTCACCCAGAATCCCAGCATCAACAATGTTATTCCCAATATCGTTAGCAGTCAATCATTGTGACCGTTCGCACAAAATCTTGACAGTCCGGCTGCAACACGCACGTCACATCCATCCTTTACCGCATCTTCTATTCTCATCAAATCGAAGATTCGGGCACCAGAACGGTGATGACTTAAACCACTCAAAGACCTGACGAGGATCGAGACGTCCCTGATCGCTCATTTCTACCGGATCCCAGTACGCTCGACGCGCTCGATACCACGACGAGGGATGACTCTGCAGCCTTCACATCCTGATCTCTCTCTTCTCTGCCAGATGCAGATGATGGTGATGATTCTCCGGATCTTGAGAGCAGCCTAAACGTCACAAGATCTGATTATCAAGAACCAACCAACCGAGCGGCATTCCGTTCCAGATGCTGATGATCCCGAGTACCACGAGAGCAACGCAAGTACGCAAAAACCTGGTTATCAAAAGGGGCGGACCGGTCTCGCCTTTCTGGTACGGATGAGGTCGACGATTCTCGAAATGTTGAGAGTGACCAGACCGCCTCTGCACAAGGGAATCATCACGTGATCGATTGTTTTTCCATGTGTGACGCGGATCAATCCTGACGTATCTAAAACTGACTCACACACCTCAACATCTTATCATCAAATAACCAATCAATCTTTCCCACCAGACGCGACCGACACTGTTTACAACGATATCGCGGAGTTGAATGAACATGTACTTATTACACGCTGTTCAACAACTTAAAGAAGGTGCCCCCCGGGACACAAGCGGATACAGCTAAGGCTATCCTCATCGCCCGTCGGTGCCACCGGCCTTGCGGAGTTGCAAGCCGCATGGAGTGGACGCTCCGTGCGGACCTTTTAATTCTCCAGAGCTCTCAGGCGTCGGCAACTGAGCTTGATTCTTCTCTACCAGACGTCAGCGAAGTTGACAATTCTGGTCGTCTTATTGGAAGCACTGCGCAAAGTGAAAGCGTTCAACGCAGTAAGATCCCACCCGAGTTTGCCCAAAGGGCGTTCTCTGATAGTAGTATGCATGATAATAGACAATCTCTTTTTCCGCCAGGACGATGGGTGCATCCTAGCAATTTATACCATTTCTACCTTGGGACCGGAGCTCCTTCGTGGACTGTCCTAGCAAATCAGCCCTCTGACACTACTACCTGCACTGACATTCGCCTTGACTTCCTCCACTACTCTCGATGCGCAGACACATTCATTGACGGCAAATTCTTCTATCCCACCACACTCCTCCGCTCCTGTTCCGAGCAGGAAAGCTCCCATCTCCGTCAACACATCGACTCCTGTCCTCAACCCATCAGCCGTCCTTTCCCCCACGCCGACTCCCAATTCCAGCACAAAGATCATCGATACGGATGCTTGGATACACGGAATCTTTTCGTCAGCAGACGGAAGACCCTACGATCGAGACTGGACAAGCAAGCACAACTTCAGCGAAGACATTCTCAAAAGGTTTCCGAGCAAGCACCCGATTAAACCTCCTCGTCAGACATGGTGCCGTGATGGTAAGGCGACTAGCTATGCCTGACCTACCATTCGTCCGGAGAACCCATCATCACAGACGAAGAAAAAAGCCTCCCACCAACACCTGTCGCAACGATAGTCTCTAACGCGATCTGGCCTTTAAGACCTACCAATTCCTACCAGCAGAACCTATGCGTGGGATCTGTGCCCACTCGAGCGGCATCCCGCGCATGCGAGGCCCCAGAAGCCTCATCAGCGGCAGGAACGAGAAGCACGCAGCACGATACGACCACGCAGTTTCAGTAGGATGGAAGGAAGCGAGGCGTGTATCGAGCATCGGCCGGGATTTCGGGACTTCCTTCGACCTCAGACAAGCATACCAGGTGTGGGAAGACGAGAAGGCGAAACGGGTTGCACAAGACAGCCGGACCGTCGTTTGAAGCATGTGGAAGGCTCGTGACTCAGGTTGATGGAGGGGAGGGGAGGGGAGGAAGCGGTGATACATAACGTATCTAGTGCTTTGACGATACGCCGCGACAGCTTGGGCTGTGGGTGAAGAATGCAAAAGCTGTGACCTGTAAACTTCTTCAAGCCCATCGAAACCGTTCCCCCAAGACCCCATACTATCCTCTGAACCTATCTCCGCCGTTACCGTTCCTGCTACCTCAAGGGTCTACCCCCATATTCGACCCCAACACGCCCCAGTGAAAATGCTTCTTCTTCTTCGCCGCCTTCGCCTAAGCCCAGGACGTTTGCAAAGTTAGAGGAAGGTGAGATGACAGTCCAGCCGAGATCAGATACTTGGCGACCGAGCTGGGCGAAGAGGCGCAGGGTCAGTGGAGGAATGCTTTCGGTGGGGGTGGTTGTGGGGATTTGGAGGATCGAGGTGCTGGGAGCTGCGGCCAGCTTTTTCTATCAGGCTCAGTATGCTAGATAGATATCTCGCGAAGAAGTTGCCGAGATGGGGAAGAGGTCATGGTGGGACAGAGATGATGGAGGTATGATGTTGACCTGAGATTGGAAAGAGGTGGACGCTCATCTAGCCGGCATGTATTACCTAGTAGAAAAGTTAGCAGATATTTAAGCCTTCATTGCCATGCTTCTGTGGCGAGGTAATGAACTTATAGATGGGAGTCGCGTGTTGTAATTGAGTTCTGTAGATTATGGCTTGTCGTTTTCGTATTCTTCTCTTTTCCACTCACTCAACACTGCGCTAGGGAGAAACGGAGCCTTTGTCTTTTCCGCACCCCATCAGGTTCAAACATTCATTGGGTGAAACTTGGTCAAACTTACTCAACAGCATCAGTGCTTATCTTGAGAGCACCGGCCGACATTTCGGCTGAGCAGAAATTGCCAACACAATTGATCCGGTGAAATCCCCAGTCATATCTTCTGGATCGAAAGACTGACACTTCCACATCAGATCTATTCCAGCCAAGGTTCACTCGAGTCAGACATGTCTACGAACTCACTGCCAGCGATACCCACCGAACTCCTCGCCCAGATATTCAAGTCCACCGACAACTTCGCAACAGCTACCGCACTGAGCAGCACGTCCCGCAGATTCCATTCCATCTGGAAGACACACTCGCCTTCGATCTGCTATGCCGTCCTCGTCCGCACGATTCCGTGCTATGATCAAGCCTTCGACTATGTCAAAGCTCAGCCACCGGACGCCACCAGCTCCGAGCAGATCCGAGACACGGATCTGCTGGCAATCAACCTCACCAAGCAGTTCTGTGGAAATGCAGAGATTGCACGCCTGGCTTTGCGACAATACGAAACTCAGATGATCGCACGCCTTTCTGTTGAGACTCCAGGTCCCAGCAGCTTGACCGAAGCCCAGCGCACATCATTCCTGCGAGCTTGGTACCGCATCCACACGCTCGCAAGCCTACCGACCGATCCACTACCCTACGACAAGTTGGCTTCCTTGAACCTCCTCGAGTTTGAGCAGATGATGGAAGCGTTGCGATGGCTGATGTACTATTGCCCCAACGAGCATCGAACCGAGCTACGCATCAGCTTCCAGCTTGGTGGCCTGGAGGGTTCTCTCTGGTCCCGTCGACTGCCCAAGTCCCCGATCTCTGCCAAACACTGGAATGATCTGATGACACGCCTCGGCTCTCTGAGACAAGACCTGCACCAGTCCCCACTCAACCATCGATGTCCCAACTGTGGAGAACTCTTCTTCTGGCAGTTCATGGTTCACGAGTTTTGCTTGGAAGTCAAAGGGTCCGGGAAAGGGGTCAGTCTGGCGGACATGCTACCTCTGATCCGCGAGCGGAAAGCCCCTGACCAGCTGTATAAGCTCTCTTCATGGGGTCAGGTTGGCAAGACGCGAAGGACGTGGTTGTCATGATAGGCAATCCAGGTGGTGCAACGGTTTTCCTGCTAGCTTGCACGGATAAGAATGGATGAAGAGTGCAGGAGAGCCTTGACAGCCACGGAGGATCCCGGCGGTTCTCCCGGAATCTGCATGGTAGCTGCGTGTAGACTAGCAAATTTCAACAATTGGCTTTCCCATCTGACTTGAATGCCTACGCAGACACGATTTGTCTTCAGAATGCTTGAGGAGAGGAAGAGAGATATCGAAGTATGCAAAGCTGCCCATACGACTGTACTGTTGTAGTGGCCGCCGTGAAGGCTATCGCACTTCCAGCCTTAACCCGATCGGCTACCGTGTTCCGCACCCCGCTCTTTCCTTTAATTAATGCCGTGACGTCTCCACAGACCCTACCTAGCAACTTGGGCTTTGCAAACACCGTCCGTATTATTACATACAGTGAAGAATTTCGTTCATTCACCTTCATTGCTGGAACATCGTGAAGGAGGCCGCCACTTGGTCGATTGATGACCTAGGCAGCTTGCCTTCTATCAGGCTCGTATTGCGACCAGTTCTCGCCCGTTCACTAATCATTTACCATTGACGGGCATCTTCAATACGGGGCTTCTTCACTCAGCCCTCGTACTCTCTCGCACAAAGGAAGCCCATTGACGGGACTCAACGAGTCGTCGCCTCCTTACGAGTATCCGATCTTCATGGACATGTCAATCATAGCACGCACGCAACCCGTCCAAGGTATAGACGATCCCAAAGCCAATTCGTCTTGGTACGAGACGTAGCTCGTACTCGTACAGACTGCTCATCTGTTGATCGTACGACTTAGTGCTATTTAAGGGATAGAGATCAGCCCAAAGGCGGCGGAAATAGAGTAGCGGCATGCTCTCGCCGGCTGCCACGAATGGGCGCATCTGAAGTACTCTACTTTTACTTTACCCTTAGCTGCGCATGCATCCTAGTGGCCTGTCATGTCGCAGCGCTATCGGCTCGAGCCGCAGTCATCGCCAAGCCAAACAAACGCACGGGCGAGCTAAAAGTCCCCCCAGCCCCCGAAAATGAATGCACGGGCCCGGAGATATATCCCAAATCGTCGCATATGGGGCGCCTGTCAAGCAATATCGACTAAAGTAAATAAACTAGGTATAGGTTGCAGGCTTGCAGCTATTAATGTCGGGCCCATGAATATGATGGGCTTGGAAAACAATGGTGCCAGTTCTGAGGAAAGTCCCCAGGGTCCCATCACCACTCGATCCTGCACCCTCTGACCCATGTAGATGTGATCTGCGCCAATCATACCGGCTCGCTTTTTCAGCCGTGTCCAAGCGTGCACCTTACATTCTGCAAGGATCCCCGAACCCGAGGTTCCCCATCCCCCCAACCGGAACTTCCAACTTTCTTTCCCTTTTTCTTCAAATCATCATACCTAATTCACGGACAGTGGATTGACAAAAAGTCGTGTGGGTCGTGTGTGTGTGGCTGAGAATTTGCCGGTCCGGTACACTGGTTAGTTACATGAAATGGATGCGCATGGCAAATACGACAACGGCGACCCCGAGTGCCGATGCGCGTCGTGCTTGCATGCAAAAGTGTATTGGAATTTATTTGTCGTGTTCCTTGTTATCTCCGGCCTATCGCAGGATTTAGGGAGGGATGAGCGCATCGGCCGGCCAACCAAGGCGTCGTCCGAGCTCGGCCGGGGAAGCCTGCAGATGCTCTACTTTAGTCATGGATCAGTTAGGGTGGAAAGTGTCGATTGAAGTGAGATTACTTATTGGTTCTGATGTATGCAACATTCTCGCTACTTATGTAGATTTCATGTAAGGCTCATGTAGGCTCCATGTAGGCTCCATGTATGCACGTGGGAGTTGGTGTGATATCATGAATCTTGTCGGCTGGTCGCATTTGAATGCATTATTTGGAATGATTTCTTATTGCTTATGCTGTCTTTTTGCCTCTTCTGCCATTTCCATGGCCCGAAATCATGCTGGATTCTTGTTTTCATGCTGAGGCCACCGTTATTACTTCCTCACTTTCGTCCTTTTTCACTTCTACGATAAAAGAAACCCCCGGAATCCAACCATCATTATCCCTCACCGTCGTTTGATTCCTTACTATGGCTACAATCAAGACTCTCGCAATGACTCCCTCCCCATCTCTTGAATACGACCGGTGTCTCGACGAAGCGCTAGCCGACTCGAGATTCCTGCAAGTCTTAGCGGGGAATCTCCTCGGAAGCCTTCAACGCAAGCAGTACGAGCTGCAGCAGACCTCTCCATACGAAGATGATCCCGTGTCGGCTGCGAATACCTTGCAAAGCATCGAGGAGTAAGTATTACGTCCCATTGCTGCCAGCCCCCATCGTACGACAAGGACCTTTCCACTCCTCTTCCGACCCAGTCGTCAACGACGCCAAAAAAACGCTGACCCTCTTTCCCCCCAGCCTCATCACCTCCCTCCAAAGCATCCGCCGCGACATCGACGCCAACATCGAGTCCTTCTACAACACCCCCGCCAAAACATTCCTCCAGTCCAACATCGAACAACTCACCGCTATCTACCAGCTCTGGTACATCCTACCCAAGCTCCGCCCCTTCATCCCCGACTCGGCATCCGACTCGCCCGGGTCCGAAGAGCAGTGCAACATCACGTACAGGACCAGCCCTGCCGCGGAGATCCAGGCATGGAGGGAGACGAAAAAGAGCGTGAGCGCGAGTGCTTGCTTCGACCGAGAGCCGAGGTCGCTGTCCGTGGTGCCGCCGAGTCGCATGTTGGATCGGGATGTGAAGGAAATTCAAGATGGAAGGGCGATGCATGAGGGCGGATTCGGAATCTTTTATCAGCCTTGATGGGGTCAGGCAGGGACATGGGAATCGAAAGCGGAAAAAAATCAGGGACTCCAACCACCACGGTTGGATTCTTGGAAAACACTCTACACACGGGTAATGTGCACTGATAAGCTTGAGCTCCGATGGACACAAACTGATATCGGCCAGAGATGCCCGCCAGCGTCGAAGAAGCCGCAGCCTGCACCAGCGATATCTGTTCGCTGGCTTGATGAGAAGACAAAGCTACTGATTTATGAATCCGGAGCGTGGGAGTGGAAATGTTGGAGGAAGAACGACGCTGGAAGTTAACATCGTCGAGAGAGGGAAGATGCACATGGGATGCACATGCCTCCAGCTCCGCAAGGACCAGGGTGGACTGATATGATTGCAAGTCGGTCGAAGGGCTCGCCGCCGTTCCACATTGTCGTATGCTGCTTTTTCCCTTTCGAGCTTCAACGCTCCGAATGGTCCCGGCCGGTCCGTCGGACTGTTCCGCTGAGATCGATAGTGTACCAATCCAGTCGAGCAAGTTTGAAAATCCATTCCGTAGACGGCCCAGAACCGTCCGGTGTATTTCAGCTATTGATTGAAAATGCTAGTCTGACGTTGTTCCAAACATTGCTCCGGTCTGTCTGGCAGTCTGTTCTCCCACCAATCAAAAATCCAATACAAATCTGACCACGCCAACAACACCTCGAGGGTTGTCGGCGGCATATTCACACACGCATAGGTGGTAATTCGAGTGGCAAGGCTTTCCAAAAACCTCGCCTCAAGATCACGGTCCGTAGAATTAGCCAACTTCCCATCCCGACCCTACATTAATCATCGGGGCCAAATCGGGCTCATCTTACCCCGCGGTGCCACAATCCGCTTACTTAATCCTCCGTGCCCACCCCACCCCACTTCCAAAGCCCACCCGGCCGATCATCGCGTGATACATGATAATAACATCCTTCCTCAACAAATCGCCCCCTATTCAAAGTTCCACCCTTGTCACTCTGACTATCCAGAGACAACGTTTTCAAGCTCCCGAACCTCCACGTCGGCGACTGCTCCTACTTATCCAATGGTCAAACCTCGATCTAATCCACGGTGCGAGGACAAACACAACAGCACCTACCTTATGTATCTACCCGCATTCACACAACCCACGTCCCCGATCATCGAGGCAAGATCCGGGGGCGCAAAATTTACTCCTCGGAGCTTAGCCTCTACGGATCTTGTGGTTACGTACGTACGTAGTCAAGACTGCGCCCGAGCACGTAGGTAGGTAGGGATTTTGGGGGCCGGGTCGGCACAAAGCCCGTACTAGTACTAACACCGGCTGCTGCGTCCGCTCTCCGAGTCGCCGAGGCCGTAGAAAGTGCCACGGGGGGATCTGCACACGGTTACGTGTGTCGGAGGATTGGAATGCGGTGGGCGGGTTGTGGGTACGTTGCGTGGAAGGTCGGTGTGGGCTGCAATTATGGATCTTGGGCTATCGGACAGTCTTCACGTCCTTGCAAGCTCGTCCCGCATCGCGGTAAGGGTCTTGGTGTTTTCAAACGTTATCGTGATCATTCTGAAGAAGGGAAAGAGAATTGACAAACTGTCTACACTGCTAATCTAGAGTCCGTACCGGAGCCGACCTAGTCCGGCCGGTCCAACTTCTGGGCGGACTGCGGAATCCTTTTGGTTCGAGCTTGCGGACCGGTAGTCTGGGCCAGTTGCAGCGATGCTCATCCTCAAGATATCCTTCTCACCTCACGAACCCATCCTTATGCCGTTCTATTTCCAGTCCTTTGACCCGCGAACACACTCTCTTCTCCACCGCCAACACCGCCGGCTCCTTATTCCGCGTGCCCATCCCATCCCATCAATCCCCTCTCACCACTTCCTCTTCCATCGGCCTCTTCCCCGAAAGGTCGGATCGTTCGCGCCACCAGACGGTAGTTGTGGTATGGCTTCACATACAGCCAACCTTACCCAAAAGACGTTGCATTCATTTGAAACACTCACCAGCGAGGCTTATCTCTTCACATCTCGACGAATCAATCCAATTGGCTTGAAACCCATAATGGCGTGAATTGAACGACGCCAACACCAAAGCAACCACAGCTTCCTCCGGCTCGCCTGCCGGTTTGCCGTAAGAAGACAGCTGCTCATCGCGACCAAGCACGCCTATTATAAAGCTATGCATCCGTTCGTCTCTTCCTTTATGGGCAATCCACAGTCCTCATATCCACCCCCTCCATCAATCCCAAACCCCGAACCCCCTCCGTCCAGAACCCCTCCCTTCCCCTAGTGAACCGATTCCTAAACTTTGACGCCCACATGGACGTCTGGTTTACTCTCCAGAAGGCCCTCATCCTCCTCTACTACCGCGGTATGAGTGACCAGCGTAACCGTACGTACTCAATCGCAAATGATACTTCGGGCAATCCAACCAACAACAAACCATCGCTTCATCCGCGTCCGTTTGCGCTTCTGATTCAATTGTTCAAATACCAACCGCTCTCCTGTGCATCCACGGCAGCATATTGAAGCTGTTGGCGCTGTGCTTGCAGTGTATGTATGTATGCGAATTTCTCTCGCCAGGCTCACCCTACTTGTTTCATGTGAAGTTTGGATGATCGTACCAGCTGAGGAGGGTTGCCGCTTCGTTCCAGACTTTTTTGTCCCTATCGGGTGTGCAATGCTCTTTGAATCCAGCTTGGATGCGCTCCCGCCTGAGCTAGTGGTGCGTGAGCTGGGGCCAGACGCCTTCTTCGTCGTCGTCGTCGTCGCTCTTTTCCCCTTTTTCGCGATTGCTCCCGCCTCCTCAAATAAGACATATGCCGCAGCGCCGAGAGGGTCCCTGCCGACCAGCCTATTTGAATTTGCCACGGATCTCGGGCCGACAATGAATGCCTTTCGAATAAACAATGTCCACGCTTCCATAGCCCTCGGGACAATGCTTACGGCGGCCAAACCAGGGTCTGGTACCTTCAGGGAAGGAGGAACAGAGATCTACCGTCATCGTCGCCGGGAAGGCAAGATGGCTGCACACTTGGTTGAGGCGCATCGTTTAGGTAGAATTGGAACCCGTCTCGGCTTTTAAGTACGCGAGCATTTAACCTCCAGCATACAATCATTCAACCCTTGGACAGCCAACCGATATCATCACCCCAATGCTTCCCCTTCAGACACCCACTCCTTCCCGCACAATGACTAAACCGGTCCACCGGTCATTTTTCCGTTTCATTCGCATGAAGGCCTTCCCGCCCGTAATACTTCGCCCCTCCAGTCCTCTCCAGTCCAAGCCTGGTTGACGCTGTGTAGATCAGCTCTTCCGTCTTCTCCTCGTTGCGGAACACAACGGGAACAAAGAGCGCACCGAGGGATTCAGGCATCCGAAGGCGCGCCGTGACCGGACAACAGTTGCGGCAAGCCGCACGGCGGAACGGAGAAGACGGAAAGAGGGCTCGAACACTGCCGCGATGCAGCCAAGGCGGCAGGCCTGGAGAGATACAGAAATGGGCCAGCGAGAACGTTATTGACTATGACTGGACCGAAGCCTAGCCGCGCATGAGGCGCCGGTGAACCCCCCAGCTCGTTCATCCTCCTCCCCACCTTCTTCCTCACCTATCTTCTCATCTCCATTATCCTCCCTATCTGTATCCTCCCCGTCGAAATTCGCAAAGGGATCGGACGCATCCGAATCGTCGCTGCTGCTGCTCCACGCGTCGGAGTCGGCCGGGACGGCGGCGGGATCGAGCAAGAAGGCGTGAATTACCCCAACGCGTATGACATCAAAGATGCCAGTAAGTAACCACGTGTAAGATGCCCCGTAGGGACTTTGAGATACTGGTGGCCTTTTTGGCCGTGGCAAACCGATTGAGCACCCGCTGGTGCTGCGTCAAGGCCACATCGAAGGCTCTCGTCCCCGACTGCACGCGTGCCAGGATCCCACACCACCAGGGTTGAGATTGCGCCGTACGGTACGCCCGTACAGGACACGCCTAGGTAACACCGCGTTATCGCCAGCAGTGTATTTTTGACGGGCGAGGATTTAAGCACATCTAAATTAGCATGGGTTTCGTATACGTCACTCACACGAGCGATATAAACACCCTTACCCGCATACATTCCGTGTGCAGGTCGCTGCAATGCTCCCCACTTGGCAAGTATGCTGTTGTTGTTGTTAAACTTTGCATTTCAAGAAGGCGAAGGATACTTTTAAGCACGACGAGCGCAGCGGCAACAGATGTTCTCGGTGAGAGAAGGCAGAGGGCCGGCGGAGCGTCGGGCAAGCCCGCATTGGCCAGGCAACGGGTGCACTGATCCGTATCAGTTTGTAACGTCTTTGACCAATATGGTCTCGTACCCGCCAGGTTTGCTCTCGAGCGACTTGGTATCGATAAGTATGGAAAAGGACTGGCCACGATCCTTGAAAATTGCCGTGGTGAGGGTGGCGGATCTAGACCGGAGGGTGATATCGCGCTGGTGATAACGAAGGCGACGGACGAAGTGATGCGTCTAGGCCAGGTAGCAACGTTTCAGCTTCTCATGAAGCATGACAGCGGTCGTCAGTGCAAAACATCGTATAGCATGATCTGCCATTTCCGTTGGAGAGCATTTCTCAATCCTCAAAGGTTTGATCTCCACCATCATCTATCCTCTGAGATGGCGATCACGCCTCAGGCTCCGAGAGCTACCGCCAAAGCACACACTTCCGTTTCCTGAAGAACCCTAGGACCGATCAGTACCGGTAAGCTTCATACACTAAAGGGCGTTACTGACTTGAATTTACGCGCTCCGGTGGGATAGAAGGAGGTATCGCGGTTAGCTGGGCACTGGGGAAAAGGTTCATATCGATGCGGGTGAGTGTTTCATAGTGACGGTCTGTATCGACGGATCCCACCGGAGGATACCCCACAGACGTCTGTGAGGTCATCATCCCGAGCGTGTGCATAGCGCTTTTGGGTCTTCTCTGACCATCCTTGAACACTGCTCTCTGTGTAGGCAAAGTTCCCGTGCTCTTTTGATAAACGCACATCCTGCATAATGACCGACGATGCAGAAGAACAGGATACTGTCGACGACCTTCGTATACAGATATGAGTCTACTCCCTTTAGGACGGATTGAAGTTTCGGTCGACATTGAAAAGAGGATATCGACACCGACGCATCTGCATAGCGATGAGGGTGTTGATCTTTTGCTGCTTTTTGGCAGTCATTGACTTGTTCTCGGTAAGATCTGCCGAGTATGGATTCCGAACACCGGGGAAGCCAAGTTTTCTTCCATAAGGCCTGCAGCCCATCCTTCGCTGTGGAGAAGACTCACACATTTTTTGAAAACCTCGCCATGATTTGATTGAGATGAGTATAAGACCTCTGTTATGTACCGTCGCAGGTGTAGCTCAGAAGATTGGGTCGAACGAAGGGTTGAACGAAGCGGGCTATTGTCCAGGAAGTCACTGTTATGGGGGTCGAGAGACGTCCGCACATGGACTCTGCATGTCAATGGATGACGGAGAGATGCGGATGCGTTGATCAAGAAGTAGTCGTAGCTATCCCTCAAGAGACAACGGGCTATCCAAGGTAGCGCTGGAAATCGTACGCCAGAAGATTTTGTCCGGAATACGGCGCCTCCATCGCTGTTTTTCTCATCGACTGATTATCGCGGCAATGCACGACGCTAGTACCGTGACGTACTGCAGGAGTTGCTGTTGTTGGGGGGGCTAGAAGGTAACCGTCTTCCGATACAGTAGCACTTCTTCCGCAGCTTGCCCTTTCTTGTACTCACAGTCTTAACGGTCATCTTGCACCCGAGCGATATGTCCTTCGTGGATGGTGTGATTACATGGATGTTCGCCAAATACACGACTCTCGGAAGGTTGTGTCACACACCCTCGTCCCCAAGGAACGGAAGGATGGGCAAATGCGACATCGTGGACCAGGGAGGTTTTCGTTGCTGAAAGGGTTTTGAAGGCTCTTGTGTTCCGCTTTGAGGTATTTCGAAGGCAAACACGTCCGGGTGTCGGTTATGTTGCTCCAGTCCTGTCAGGTCCGAGCGGACCACGGCGATGATCCGAGCATCTGACATGTCTGTTCCCTCTGGTGGGAACAGCTGCTTATCCTTCTTCGCATTATTATACAGTACGTGGTCAGGTAAACCCTCATCGTAATAGTCGTCTTTCACGGGGACCCAACGGCGCAATAATTTTTTTCCGAGCGTGTCCTCACCAGGGTATCTGGTACAGATTCGATAGCGTCGTAAGATGCGGCACGTTTCACCACCGCAGAATCCCACGTAAGTTCGATCAGCAATGAAGGGTTGAGCGCCAAAACCCACGAGATTGAATAGGCTTTGTTTGACTAATGGCAGTTAGAAACGCTTCCCGATAAATTCGGAAAACGCAAGACTGCTATTTGGCGTGCTGTGGGAACAATCGCTCGAGCCAACGTTGATTTATTGTGAGGTTGGCGGGATCCATGGCGCCTGCGACTTCTTCCTCCTGTTCCTGATCTTCCCTCTCGCTATCATATCCTTCGATCGTGACCGGGTCTGTCACTTCGAGTAGACACTTTGGTCAATTTTGCCGCTCGTGAGCAGGATCCTGTCCGGCATGCGGTTTTCTCGCAGTGATTTGAGAATGTGCTGGGCTGGAACACGAACTTCCATTTATGTGCAACCTCATCGTATGGCCGAACTCCCTCTGAACGGAGTACACGTAGTCCGCCCCCAATTTCTGGACCATTAGTCGGACTGGTCCATGGATGGACAAACTATGCATGAACCAGTCCAGATGTCTAAACAGACTAGTCCCACTGTTAGTCCAGACATGAATTTGTGTAGGTGAATTTGGTGGAGCATTTCTGGGTATGATGGGCGTATTTTTTGATAGCAATTGGGTTACAGTTTCAGACCAAAAAACTAGTTCTAAGGCGAGAGTATAGAGTCATTGGAGTGTCTGAAGTTGTAGTTCTAAGTGGGTCTCTTTACGGAGGAAGATCTATATGTTGTTATCGATACTTTGAAGGAAGATGCTTTGAGAGCCATGGAGGAGTAGTCGGACCAGTTTATAAACTAGTCCAAATCCACTTGGACGGTCAAGCATTTGGACGGACTGCGGACTATATAAATAGCTTCATTTTGGACTAGTCTAGGCCTGTGGACGGACTAGTCGGACGCGCGAAGTGTCCTTCCACGCCTTTAGTGCCGTTCTCGGTCCCCGTCTTGACCTTCTTGGGTTTTTCAGCACCCGACCCTCCAGTCTCATCATCTGCCCCCTCTCCGTCGGGCTCCGGTTCGAGGCTTTTGCATCTCAACCCTAGAGGCTTGGCATGGACATCTTTTATGCCTATGAGTCCTATGTCCTTCTTCTCTTGATCTTGCATCGTGGAGCATCGTCTCACTATGACCTCCTTCCCGGATTTCTTTGGGCTTGCCTTCTTCGTCTCCGGCTCTAAAGGCGCGAGGGTGTAATCATTGCTCTGAAGTACGCGAGTCCTTTCTCGTACCTCCACTGCTAATCCCTCATTGAGTGCTGCGGTAAGTTCTGGTGAACAGGCATTGCACTGGCACTTGTGTGGTTCTGGGCTGGTGTAATCGATTGCGGAATGATGTCAAGTCTTGATATAGGCGCCGCTGTCGATAGTATTCTGTAGGTACATGCACAATGCCGTGAGTCGGGGTTCCTGTCTTGCCGCGATATCCACAGACCTCTCCGCTAAGCTATGCAAAAAGCTTAACCCAGGCCTAGCTTTTTGGTGTTACAACCCATACAAGATTCGTAGCTTTCGATGATCTCATTATGCTCTTGCATTGTGATTGTACGCAGGACGGCACTGGAGGAATTCACCCGATTTTGAAAGTCCCAAAATTCGTTTCGTTGCGCGTCTAGGACATCGTCTGCCTCGCCGAGCGCCTCTCCTTCGCTGATTGCCTGCGCTGAGAGTTCCTCCTGAAGGTTCTCGTGTGCCACACGTGATGCTCGGTCGCTGGAGTCGGTGGCTCGTGTCGCCAGATTCTTGATGGATTCGGTAGAGGGAACGATGGTGATATTGTCTTCTGGCGTTGGATAAAGAACACGAACCTTGCTTCCGATCTGTGTACAAACGACCTCTTGCTGTTTCGCATCCATCACTTCGCGGCCCTGGGAATACGTTTTCTGAACCTTGGATCGAAGCGTCGTCACTGTCGAAGCAATTATGTTCAAGTCGGTCCCCTGAAGACTGGTCGCTGTCACACTCGCTGCATTCTCCGCCAGGAGCAAAATATCCGTCACGTTCATCCGACTATCTGATCGCATCCAAGCTTCAGGAGCCCGGTCGGGAGGTTTCGGAGAACAGGCATTGTGGGTTGAAACCGAATAATCGGAAGTGCCTCAGGGGCTTTTCGATCGGTCGAAGGTGCTGCCAACATAGAATGTCCCTGAGGAGGCCGTTCGTTGCGATGCAGCTCACGGCCGATTGGTCAAGGAGGCACCCACAACCAACACTGCCTAGCATTAGCCTACCTGTCCTCTCATGCTGGAAAGCAACCTCTTACCAAGAAAACCCGCCAAAAGGCGGGGGGGTCTAACAGCAGGGGCAGCAGCAGCGGCAGTGGCGGGGGCAGGGGCGGCGGCGGAGCGGGCGGCGAGGCGGGCGGAGCGCCCAGCAGCTACTTATGTCAGCTATATACCCTCGCACATGCCAGTCAAGATTTCTCATACCCTCCCAGGCGCGCAAGGCGCCGCGGACATCACCGTCAGAGGCGGCCGTAGCAAAGACAGCTGCTTGGAGACGGGGGGGAGCGGATCGGCTACGCAGAGGTGACCCCCGCGGGAGCACCGCTCGCACTTACGCCGGCGCGAGCCAGCAGGCGGAGCGGCGCAGGTCGCGCGAGGGTTACCCGCGAGGGCACGCACGTAGCGCATGCAGGCGGGGCCTTAGCACATGTCAGCGCAACCTCTCAATCATCTAGCATCTCTTCCACTCACGGGGGGGGGCGGAAGCAGCAGCAGGAGGAGCTATCAAGCCTTCTTAGCCAAGCACGTCTTCAGAGCAGATGCAAATGCCTACCAGCGGCAGGGGGGGCGGCATGCACGACAACAGCCACAGCTATATCTATGAGCCAAAGGTCTCGCATTGCTATGCATCAACCTACCAGTTTGGTGGCCCGCAGGGCCGTGCAGACGGGGGTTGGGTTGGTCACGCTGTACTTGGCTAGCCTGTTCCTTCTTTTCAACTATCGCTCACAACGGGTAACTCGACCCCTGTTATGCGCGCATGCGTCATTGCTTCTAATGGTCACAACGGGTAACTTGCGCCCTTCGCTGGGCCCGAACAGGCCCTATCAAGCCAGAATCCCTGCTGTATGTATATTGTGATAGTCGTTCATCGCAATAAGAGCAGCTATCATTGCTTGGTCGCTTCAATCTTCTGGTTTCGTGATGTCAAGTATCGATGAACGTGTTGCAGTGCTTACTCGGCCCAGTCCTGGTATCATCTTTGGGGGACCTGGACTGCTTTGAGAGTCCTAATCTGAGGTCTGGGAATCGGCTCCATGTGGGCCCATTCTTTTGACGATCCACTCCTTCTTGGAGCTCTTTCTTCTGACGCTCTACCTTCTAAAAAATACGATTGAAGTCGACTGTGAGGTCATTTGCCATCACAACGACGTCCGTGGTGGGCGGATACAGGCCTTTAGAGTCCAGAGCAGTGCGTATATACCCCATGAGACGGCAATTCCGTTGATGGAGACTCAGAACTAGACTGCCGCATCCTTGGGCAGGGAAGTTGGCGTGGCTGACGCTGCAAGTGGTGTGGTGGTTTTGGTCAGAGGCGTCGACTTTTTGACCGTTTCCTCCTTGAGCTTCTGTCGTTTCCTTGGAGGCAAGTTACCAAGGACGTCCCAGTCCCCTAGGATCACGTACTCGTCCGGGCAGATATCACCAAGGCACCAGTACTGAATCGTTTTGCCCTTGGCATCCTTGGTGGGCTGGTTGGGATGCAACCTATCTCGTAAGTTTTTCCAGGCGGTGGTAGACATCTTTCGAGTCAGTCCCATGCGCTCCCCCACATCACCGATCTGGCGATCATAGTAAGAGTGATAATTTTTACATCTTCCTCTGCTGATCTCCGCTCGAAGATTGGCCAAGGCTTGGTCACTCGTTGGTAGTATTGAGATGTTGCCAGGGGCTTCCCGAGCGGCCAGCATCTGGTTCTTACCCCGAAGTCTGGAGCTGCCTCGACTGACTCTTCAACTCAACTCAGCGAGCTGGATGAGTTCTGGATCTCTGCTGAGCCGAGCACGGAGCCGGCAGAATCATCATTTGATGTCGTGGTCGCATCACTGTCTAGAAGAGGAGAGTCTTCGTCATCTTCATCTATTGAAGGTTAGAAAGATAGATGAAGAGCACGGAACATGACAAGTTCAAATACGGTTCAACAGTTTCTTGTTGGCCTCGCGTCTGACGATCAGGTAGTGTACGATGAACCCGAATTTTGCGTTGATTCGATACACTCCTTGCCTCGCACTACAAAATTAGAATAGTCACTCTTTGTACTAATACAAACGATGTGAAGAGAATGGGGAAATCAACGACATACGCGATCAACTTCTTCCGGATAAGCAACCGTTCGATCCTGTAATGAGAAAAAGTATTAGTAGTTGCTAGAAACGCGGAGACATAGAGAGTCCTTTACCTACGACTTGACAGTCTTTTCATCAATGTCCTCGCATTTGTTCTTGCGGAGGAGAGTCAGCCATCTCATAAACTAATGAACAAAAAGAAGCTGACAAGTCAAGATAAAATATGTGTATATTTAGTGTGTAAACCCGAAGGATACATGGCCGACTTCGATGTTCGTACCATTACAAAGGGGTGGTTGCTGACGCTCGGAGATTCAAGGTCTACTTATACCCTACCATGACGCTACCAAGTGACGCTGGCACATATCCTTCATCGCCTGGTAAGATTCATCCATCAAAGAGTCACGCGTTCATCGACTTCATTCCGCAAAACTTCATCGGTCAGAGAGTGACGCGTTCATCGACTTCATTCCCCGAAAATTCATCGGTCAGAGAGTCACGCCGTTGTCGCCTTCCTTCCCAGATAATGTGTCCGTTGATAGTATTCATCCCTAGTACACTCATCCATTCGTAAATTTCATCCCTCAAAGAGTTACGCAGTACTTGCCTTCCTTCTCCAAAAACTCAATGATCAGAGAGGTACGCTTTCATCGACTCTTTCCCCCAAGAACGCATTTGTCGATGACCTGTATCCTCAAATTACTCATCTATCTACACCATTCGGCCCTCGAAAACCCATGCAACTCTCGAAGATTGTCTTTGCAGAGTGCTCCCTGCCCAGAGCTTCACTCTCAAGAATTTGACGCGCTTGAAGGAGTTTGTTCGAAGCATAACATGTCAGAAAGTAATTACCTTTGGGTTATCGTAAATTAGCGAATAGAATATCCAGAGAGTCGTTTTCTAAAAGACTTCATTCTCTAGTGTTCGAAGCTGGGAGTCACTGACCCTGTCATTGATACAGTTGCAAGAAGGCTGACCTTGACTTGCAATGTCAAGCTTCAGTTACTCTCACTTGCACGATTCATACAAGAGTCCTCGATCTGGAACATTACGAATTTACCATGACTGAGTGACAGGAGTATTAACACGGTAGATTCACATCTACAGTCTGTCGAATGTTCAGTTGAAGCAGAGTTCATGTTGTAGCGGGTGGCAAAGCGCTGACGAATCGTCGGATCTCAGCTCACGTGACTAACAGCTGATTTATTCGAGACTTTGTTTCTTCATTTCTTCGCCATGAATCTGCCTGATTCACTACATCTGGAGTTTCGCTGTCCACAGAGTACCATGACTCTCAGTCCTCACCGTAGGATTCGTCAAGTAGTGGATGAAGATGCGGCCGTCTACACCCCTGTCCTTTTGGGAATCTGACGTCCGTATGTAGTAAAAGGATTCCTGTTTATTCAGCCTCAAGTCCTCACGATCTGCGCTTTTGCAATGGAGCATCCTGCAGAGCTTGGAATGATCGATCTACCAAAATGGCGGGGTTTAGCCCAGGTGTTGAGAATTGCTGCAGGACCTGTGTTGTAGCTACCCCTCATGGTGGCAAATAGAGGTGGCAAATAGGGGTATAAGTAGCCCACTCAGCACTCCCATAGATCTATATACATTCCAATACCAAGATGGCAGTCATAGTCACGGAGTCTCCCCGCTATCAATATGTAGTGAGGTTTGCGCCGGTCCGTAGACAATCCTATGGACGCAAAACTTCATGCAATGCTGGATCAAGAATGATGTCCTCAAAAGCTGCTGGGTTTCTTGCTTTTCGTTTTGATATAGCGCCTGTTTGTAGCTCACACTGGGCTGAGTACCTATCGTCTCCGCTGATAACCCAAAATGAGTAACGGTTCATACTGCGCGTTGTGTGGGATGGCCTTTTTTGTAAATTCCAAGATTTTCGGCTCGAGACTCACTGCTGAAGATCTGGCTTGGATAGGTTACCTCTTTGCCTCTGGATCCCTCACCAAAGTTTAACGCGCAAGGGTGTTCACTGAAACTCTGGCACAATGCGAGACACTGACTACATCGAGTAGAATTTCCCCAGTGATTGATATCTTACCGGAACTGGCCATGCCGGTCCCGGAGGATTTAAAGAAGAACACATTCCCCCACCAGGCTTTACTCTTCGGAAATGTTGGACGACTGCAACCTTGTCCCAGGGGTTCTCCAGAAGGAGTTGATGAGTAACAAAAAGAAGGATGAGCTTGAAAGTTTCCCTCAACTGTCTGCTTACATGAGTAAGTACACTCCTCACCTCGACGCCACTTTTGCACCCCAAGTCATGCACAAAGCCCAACAAGTAATCTGCGCAGTGCTAACAGTGATATCTGAAGATACACTGAAATTCGGTCCACTCAATGCACCCCGCCTCTTGGAAAATCGTCGTGCAGAGGCACGCGCTGCTTGCAGCACCCGACGGCTTTGATCTCGCCAAACTCGGCTTTATCATGGACGTCGAACATGATGCTCGTAGAATTTTGCCACGATGGACAGCCCCCAGAAAGTTGCAACGATTCTTGGCAGATGGGTCGCTTTCATCCCCGACAATGTCATCTCCGAGAGTTCCGCATTTCTACCCAAGAGCCCAGTGCGCAATGTACAGCTTGTGTCCCGGAATATGGCGAGCGTGGAATTTAGTCCCGAGTATCGGCGGTCTAGATTCAACTTTCCAAATGAGCTCTGCCGTATCCAGTTGCCGCCGACTTTACTGACCAGGACTGGATCGGAAGTGTCGTTGCTACAGGTTGCTGCATCCGAAAGGAGATGATGTTCAGTGGTGGCAGAATAGAAAGCGAATTACAGGAATGAATCAGAAGTTTGTGAAGAACTCTGGGAGATGGTGCTCGCTGAATGATGAAAGCGTTTAGGACTTTGACAACGGGCCGCAGGGATTTGACTTTCAAAGGAGTGTTCGCGATCCCCGTCATGAGACAGTACACTAGCAAGCAGAGCTTTCACCTCAGTGCTACCTTCTATGCTAGTCTGCTAGTAATCTATTGTCTCTGCTCCTAAGACATTGATATTGCGCGATGGTACATCGTAAGTATTCCCTCCCTTTCCCCATGGCACAGATCGTCTCTAACATATTCCCCTTACGCATCTCCTCTCGTGAACTGCGCTCTAACTATTTATAATCATCTTTTCAATACAGCTCTCATGTATCACATTCTACTTTAGCTAATTCCAAGTTTCACCTCGAGCTCTATCCATTCGGAACGGTTTGTTCCCTACAGTAGTACCAACTTCTCCGCTGACGTACGATGAAGCAAACGGGCTGCCGTGTGTGACATGCATATTTGATATTAAAGAGGAGTGTAGCATATGTGCCGCGTGTGAGGGATGGGATAGCACAGGGTTGGAGAAGGTGGTTTTCTACATTTCCGCCGAGGCAGAATGCAGATTTGATCGGCTATTACTGTGAGGAATCCGATAGGGGCGATGGAGATAGAGAAGGGAAGGACGAGGAAGATTTTTAAATTGTGATTCGTATTTCTAGGCCGTGGAGATGTCTGCAGTGCAAGATAAAACAGAAGAGAGAAGCGAGGCGGTACAGTAGGTACCGAAAAATCTTTTAAAGATGGTGTGATGATGTAGCTTAAGAGGGAATTATTTGACTGGCGGGTCGTCAATGGTAATCCAACATACTGCGCTTCTTCCTAACAAGCGACCAATTGAATATGCGTATGTCAAACGCCAACTGACGGATCACGTTACTAATATTAGTGTTCATGTGGTAATCGCCCGCCTCCAACAGGCAACATACGATTTCTGTGATGCAAGAAAACAAACGGGCCAAGGTTCACAAGGCGACGGAGTGGGGAGGGAAGTATCGGGATCTGGTCCATGCATTTGGTCACGATCCTGGCCTTGCGCCCGCTCTCGACGAATGGTAACAGAGTGATGCGTTTTGATGAGGTCGTAGGGACGATTTGTATATCTGGATCTCATAGTCATTGGTACTAAATTGAGCAAAGAAGAGAAGCATTCGATTTTTCTCCCAATCACAGACTTCGCTGGTGTTGTGATGAATTATTCGTAAGCAATAACTGCAATCAGCCACTGAGATTAAAACAAACCGAAATGTTGCCCTTTTCAAAGAAATATGGTTCTTGAAAAAGAACAATTCCGCCACGTAGGTCGGAAACTTTGGTTTCCTACGCAACTTCCTTCATACTTTAGTATCCAGAAATACGAGCGAGGGATCTGGGGGAACGACATCTTTCCTCCTGTCAGAGATCTTTTTAACACATCCGACCAGTCTCAAGTCGTACTCTCTAGAAACTGGACTTCGCTTTGTTGCGCAGAATGGAGGTTTTCAGTAACCAGTAAAGGATGATAAAAGTGGCGTACTCCACATCCTACCCTCTCAACGTATGCCTGTCGTCACGCGCGCACGCCTCTCCCTATATCGCAAAGTGCACCGTTGCCTTTAGGCCAAGCCCACGAACGTTCCTCTTTCCTCCCGTTTTCTACAGCTCGCAAGCGACCGTGTTGATTCCTCCAAACCAGATCAGCCTATCATTACACTCTCTTACATTCATCACTCGCGCTAATGCATATGAAGAATAAATTCTTTGCGCGAAACTCGAAGGGTGAAAGGTGTCCAATACCCCATTTTGCCATTTCAATAGTCCTCCACAGAAGTCAAGTAGGTAGCCAACCTTTTCATACCGGTTACTTGATCAACGAGCAAAGAATGAGAGAAAGAGCAAGAGAAAGAGAGAGAAACGAAGAGCGGCTAGCTCTCACAGCCACCCTCAATCAAACCCACCCGTTCCAACCTACCGACCCCTCAGCAAACCTCACCTCGTCGGCCCGGGCGCGTGGAGTTGCAAGCAGCTACGAGAGGAAGAAGAAGAAGAAGCCGCATCGTCGAGCCTCCCCCCAATCTCTCCCTCCCAGCATCAGTACCATCGTCAGTTTACCTCGCCTGGCGTCGCCAACACAACATCCAGGACCCAGACTTCGCACTCCAGACGATTAGTCCGCCGTCTCCGGAAGCCAGAAAAAGAAAAGAAAAAGAAAGCACCCATGAATCCGAGCGAAGAAAGTTCCTGTTTCAAGGAGCTGCTGCGATCAACCAAGCAACCCATCCAACACATCCATACACTCATCCACACACATCCACTGCATCCCAAACAACAATATACCCAGACTGTGTACTCAATATATCACACTTATGGAAAAAGACGCCCCCCCCTTTCCCTCACCCTAACACGTAGGGTGCCGACTAGATAGATATATAACGAGTAAGTACGTAAATAAGTAATTCGATAAGTAAACAGGCAAGTAGGTATATGATTGAACATTTGAGTCCGTAATCACCTACCTACCTACCTACTCATCTGCCCAACGAATCACCCTACTCGTTCACACCGTCAACCCATCAGACTCGACGCGAACGACGTTTGTCCCCTTTTAATTGAGAAAGGTTCGCATCGTGGACAAACCAGGATCGGGTCAAGCACGGATAAAGATTCAAGCACAGCAAATCCAAGCAACCCCTTACGCCCCTTCCCTTCACCGTGAACGACCGATGAAGAGACCACGAGGGGAAAAGAAGGAGGATGGGGGAGGAACGGTGGGATGGAACCACATTTAAGCACGACGATGTTTACTCGTACGGAGATGAAGATGAAGATGAAGTGGAATGGAACTGTGACGAGTGAATAGCTGCGGTGAGATTTGAACGAATATGTAGGGTATAAACATAGATGCACATACACGGACAAAGATAGTAGATACGAATCTGGAACTTAGGATCTAGAACCGTGAAAGAACCCACCTTCTCGCATCTGTCTGAAAAGTTATACTGTTCTATGAGAGAGGCGTACATACGCATCCATGTATCCACCCATATATCCGTCCATCCATCCACCCATATACATCGCCCCCTCATTCACCACTGATATATATATATACAACAATTCCTTCATATCCAGCCGAGCTATGCATTCAGAGTGTATGTACAATTTAAACAGCCAACACCATCATCACACACGACATCTACATCATCCTTGCCTCCCCCTCCTCCTTCTCCTTTTACAATTTCCCCCAAAAATCCCACCCCGGACCGAATCCCGATCGTACCGTACGCACGCCAAACCAACCCAGCCCGACTCAATCATACCTACCACTCACTCACTCACTCACGCACTCATGCACCGATATGACTGCTCGTCCATCTACTCTCACAACCACCACGACACCCCTCTTCCCCGTCGCCCACCCCGGGCCCATCCATAACTCCGTCCTGAATCGCTCAGTCAATCAATCAATCAATCAATCAATCAATCAATCAAATAATCAGTCAGGAATCCCTCCCCCTCTCCCTCCCTCCCTCCCTCCCTCCCCCTCCCTCCCCTCTTCCCCCAACCCGTCCCCATCTCAACCCCCTCCGCCAACAATCCCCCCCCCATCGCCCATCGAAGACCTCCACCTCCACTCCCAACCCATCTCTTCGCTCGGCACAGACAAGCGACCAATATCCCCGCTCGGCCGTCATAGCGCGTTCGGTAGCTGATGGGGAGGTGGAAATGATGTATGTATGTATGTATGTATGTGTGTGTGTGTGTGTGTGTTTATCTCCCAGCTCCAAAGCATGGTGCACACACACACACACACACACACACACATACACACATACACACACCCACCCATCCATCCACTCCATCCTCCACCCACTCCATCCCTACCAATCATTCCAAGTATCGACATTAAAGCAAGTAAATAAAAACAACATCTTCCAAACCCCAAACCCAACCCCAATTTCAACCCCAACTCCAACCAAACCCCAACCCCAACCCCAACCCTCACCCCTACCCCTCAATTCGTTTCAAGCCGCCCAACCAACCAACCAACCAACCAACCTTACTATCGAGCTTCGAGCTGGCCACTCATTGCATACCGGCAAGGAAGAAGAGAAGGGGAAGGGAAGGGAGGGGAAGGGAAGAGAAGGGAAGGGAAGGGAAGTGCAGGCAAGGCAAAGAAAGATAGAGAATCCCTACTCAGGACATGCGGCCGAGATGTCGGGTCGTTTGCGTGGTGATGATGCTGGGATACGGTTTTGGCGATGGTATAAGCTGGTAAAGTGGGGAATATGGATGCGTCAAGTTTGGTTGTTTGCGTTGGAGGCTGAGGGGAGATGTGAGAAGAGGGATGGGAGGGGGGGTTTGTTGATGAATGATGTTACTTTGATGATTCTCATGTTATTCAAGCAAAGTGCGTACGATGGAGTAGATAGGTGCGCTCCACGGTTTTCTATCCGGTCGTCTTGCCCTCAGGAGGCAGAAGTACACTCCGCCTCGCATGCTCATCCGTCAACGTAGCGCAACTATCCTCCGCCCTGACCTCCAGACCCCCTACCCCTGCCGCACCGGCCTCCAGACCCTCTACATCCCCTTCCAAGATCCCCACCTGTCGCTTCCACATGCGGTAGAAGATGTGACTGCCGTGCAACTGGGTCGCGCTGAAGGCGCAGTGCAGGATGGGCGTGACGATCTTGAAGGCGAGCTGCCACTGGGGCCAGAGGGAGCCGAAGAGGTAGAAGATGACGAGGGTTTCGGCCAGGGTGCCGAAGAGGGTGGTGGCGGAGGCGAAGGCGAAGAGGCGGGAGAGGAAGAGGGGGCTGCTGGGGTGGAGGCGGTAGAGGATGATGGCGATGTGGGGGAGGAGTTCGCAGACGATGTCGAAGGCGCCTGGTTTTGATGTTAGCTCGAGTGGAATGTACGGCGTAGGCGGACCTTTTCTCGGGGAGGGGGGACGATGGCGAGGTTGAGGGCCAGAGGTAGTCGTTGGAGGCTTACCCCACACGGTACACAGAATAAACTCGATACTGGCATCTTTCTCCCTCGTCAAATCCAGACTGATAGCAATGGCTGCCTGCGCCACCATGATGGTCCCGATATGATGCATAGCGCTGATATGACTAGAGATTCTCAGTGTCAGCGTATGTCTTTTCCCTTCTCCGTCCGTAACGATACAGATCCAAGGAGCGAGTACAGCGCTTTCCAGCTTTCTCTCGGAACGCCAAATTGGTCCCTGTCACGGTAGAGATGAGAGAAAAAGCGACGTACCTAATCTTAACCCGATAGATCAACTCGAAAATATACATGCCCACCAGAACCTGCGTACAAACGACCAATACATCCCCCAACGTGACGCGACTCCCCCTCGCGTACGGATCATTCAGCACCGCATACCGGAACGCGACATTGATGAACGGATACACCGCCGCCACCAATATCATCAACTTCGTCGCCCCAGCGATATGATGGTTCACAAAGCCCCTTCGGTTGACCTCATTCAGCTGTGTGTATCTGGAGCCGTAGAGGCGTTTGAGTAGGAAGGCTTCGATGATGTATTGTTTTAGGAGGAAGAGGATGACAAGGACGATGGAGAGGGTGAGGGCGGAGTAGGGGGATAATTTTGAGAGGGAGGTCAGAGGGACATGTTTGATGTGTTGGTCGCCAGGGGCGTGGACGGCGTGGGGGTCGTAGTCGTACATTGTGCTAGTGGGGTGATGGTGGATCTGTGGGGTTGTAGAGGTCAGCAACCTTTTGCTTGCATTTATTACTCTTGGTCTTAAATTGTGAGATAGGAAAGAAATGAAGCTCGGCGAGCGTTGCTCTCACTCGAAACATGTCTCGCGCTTGAAACTGCATTGCCGTTTAGTGACCAAGCATTCCCGATGAAAACGTACCTGAAACCTCTCGATGAGGCAATACTGTCTCTCAATGACCGCAGTGAATCGATCACATCCGTATTAAAGAGCCTAAATAGAACTCCGACGTCTCACTCTAGCGGATATCGATCGTGGCTGAAGTAGCTCGTCGGAAGAAGAAGGACCACGAGGCTAAAGACATGTGCAAGAGACAAAGGAAATTCCACGTTAATATTATCTTTGGAAAATTGACATGGTAGAAGAGGAATCAGTAAAACACAACCAGGAAGAACGAAGTACCATCGTCCCCACGTATCACCTTACACAAAACACAACGACTGAAACTTAACCATCGCACGGAGCGACCGTATCAGAAGGCGGGAAAAAAAAAGATAAAACAAAACCCCCCCAAACCAAAACCAATTGCCTACAGTATAATCAGTACTCCACAGTGCATGCAATTCACCCGCCATAATCCCAGATCTGGATCATCAAACCCCTCCCCCCCTTCCTCCGCATCTCCCTTCCCCAAACAGCCATATCCCAAACACGCCCGGATCTGAATCAGGGTCCCTCGGCCGAGAAGGGTTCGGGGGGGAAAAAAGGGGGTGTTGGGGGGTGTGTGGCTTGAAATACGCTACCTAGGTGCCACGCACACGGGCGCGCCAATTACGGACACGTGTGCCAAGGAATAAGCGGGCGAGGTGGATCAAAGGTACCTGCCTACTTTATACCTACATTACGGCGGGGGGGGGCACAAAATAATTATCGCGTGATGGCTGTATACTCTTTCGGAATGAGCAAATCCTTATTTGTTACGATATTATTTGTAGTGGGTGGAGGATATATATAGGCATTACTGTGATCGTCACGACCGGTGCGTAAGATGTTGTGGTGGGTGCGAGCGAGGGAGGGGGTAGGATTAGATTGGATTGGCTTATGTGCGCTGTAGAGTAGGATAGCATAGCATAGAGTAGTATAGCGTAGTGCAAATCCCACATATCAAGCTGCCACTGTTTCATTCACAGTGGAAATAATCCCCGAAGCGAACGGAGTCATGGTGGGATCGCTCGTTCGTCGTGAAAGCTGTTCCGAGGAAGCTGCCCATGTGATCGGGTTCGACATGGTACGGTAGACGGACCCATCTCTTTCGCCCGGAAGGGGTGCGTCAGGTATCTAGGATTCGCTTTTCTTTTCGAGGGAGGATCCAGACTGAGGCACGTGTGTGAGGGGGAGAGAGTGGGTGTGTCGGTCGGGCACACCCTCGAGACCGACGCTATCGATCGCGTTTATTTATTTACTTATTTACTGACTGACTTATTCCCCACCACCCCACACCTGACTGCATAAAAGCACGCACGTGCTCGGGCTCCCCCAAGGCCAGCGTTCTTCCAGACTTTCCTTTCCAAGTCTGAAAAAGCATCTGGATTCCCGATCCGCCATCCGAGTTGACAAAGCCCAACGCCATCCCCTCCCCTCTACCACCTCTCTCGATCATAGCCCTCCAACACCGGCCCTTGCCACCACTCGCCGTAAGCGTTGGTCCTGAAGCCGGCGAAATACCCATCTTGAGCCCGCGTGATGACGTCCATCCAGGAGGTCGGTTCGGGGAATTTCCACCACTGTGCACGCCGTCAGCGGTCTGGTTTCCGTAGCATCGCTATGTCTTCGGCTGGAGATTTGGCAGCCATACTAGCTGGGACAAGTTTTGGGGGAGAATCTGGGATGGTTGCCAAATCGCTAGCCGAAGGGAAGAAGAACGAATGGAAGAGAGAGACGAGACGAACCTGATTATGGATATGATAAGCCCACGCCCCCTTAAAGAAATTCCCCAAACTCCTATTCCCCACCACCCCCTCTCCCTGAAGTCCCTCCACCACCTCCCCGTGGTAGTTACTCCATTCGTTCTCCTTTTCCTCCACCTCCCCCATGAACGCACTCTCGAAATTCTTATGACAAGGCATCGTACACGTGCCCGTGCCCTCGCGTCTCAAATTCGTAACCAAAGGGTCAAAAACCGCATTATGCAGCATTTTGACCTCGTCCCCCTTTCCATCATCCCAGAGCATGCGCCCAATGACCCTCGGGTGGAAGTTCATACCCATTCGCACACCGCCGCGGAGCAGGTAGGATGAGAGGGAGGAGTTGGCGGGGATGGAGATGACGGCGGTGTTGTAGTCGTACGGAGCGCAGCGCTCGACCCACTGTTCGGCGAAGGCGCGGGAGCCGGAGGTGGGGTCTGGGAGGAGGAGTGGGCGCATGTCGCGGAGGAGGAGGACATCCATGTCGCAGTAGACGCCGCCGTGGAGGTGCAGGACGATGAAGCGGACGGCGTCGGATACTTGGACCGGGGCGAGGGAGGCGTGGGGGGACTTGAGGTTGAGCCATTGCTGGCCGTAGGCGTCCATGACTATGCCGTTGGCGAGGACCGTCTCGCCGTCTTCGGTGACCATGCTTGGCCGTAGGTCCGGTGTGGAGGCGATTCCTGCGCTTTCGCGGGCAAGGGGTACCCGGTCCGGGAAAGTCCAGCTTTTCAGCACAATGTCTCCGCGGGCGACGAGAGGTCGAAAGCTCTGGAAGATTGCGTCTTCGCAGAGCATCTTCTCGACAGCGTGAGCGTCGAGATCGGAGTCCAGCCACAGCCAGAGTCTCGAACATGGCAGATTTTGGGTGTAGAGATATGCTTTGATGAAAAGCTCGACTCTCCAAGTGGCGGAGCCGGTCCAGTAGACGTGGAATGGGATGACTGGCCCGGCGCATGTGCCAATGAATGAATCCGACTTATCCTGCCCTGCTGCGAAGCTACCATGATGATTGACCAGTGACCCATCTTCCGCGATGGCATGGCCGTGATGGTTTACCTCGACGTCGGGCTCGCTAGCTCGAGCGTTCAGGCCCTTCTTGGGAATGGAGAAATACTCATTTTCCGCGTGCTTCAGGATCGACAAACAGTTGACCACATCATCAACTCCTCCACCATCTTCAATTTCTTTGCATTGCTCCACGAGGAAGGTCAAGTTCGCGACAGTGTCCACGTGAGGTCGCGTACCGAGGTAGTCATCGTGTATTGCACTGGTGTAATTCAGTGCTTTTGGCCAAGGAATTTTGCTTTCGACACTGGAGCTATTCTGGCAAGTTGGCGCTTCGATGTCTAGGGAGGCGCTACTCCCTCCTCCAAGTCCGTTCATGCAGTAGAGAGCTCCGCACAGCACCACCGTTATGATGACGTTACGCGCAAAAGAGTAGGACTTGCGCGTCGCCGCTGTCGAGTTACTGGCGTTGTCTTTCGTTGGGAAGAAAAGAAAGGCCAGACCAAGAGCCCAGCAGACTGAAAGGCCGATCCATCGATAGTGATTGAAGCCTGTGTACATGAAGATGGCGAGTTGGAAGGCATTCATGGGTGCGGCCAGGAATGTCGTCATCACTGGGGAGGCCGCCATGGTAAGAAGCGCCATTAGAATCAATACCGTTCCGTTGAGGATTCCTCCAGCGGCAAGAAGCCACCGTAGGATACCCACGTCCAGTACGTAGCAATCTTCTTGTATGCTTCGCAGCTCCCCGGATACGAAGACATGTGCAACCAGTAAGACGGTCGATAGGAAGGTTACGTGACGGAGGATTGACCAGAAATTGCCGCATTCTTGCTGCATCCGGAACAGAAGCGACGGTGAAATGAAGCGCTTCCGATCCTCGTCTGGGAGATTGTCTTGACTCGTGCGTCTTTGGTACCGCCCATCGTAGGCATTTACAAGTACAATAGGAAAGAGCGCATCAGCTATCGACAACGAGGCGCCCTGTAACAAATCCACTACGGTCAGATCGGAGAGTGGCATCATCGCCAGGACCACGCTCAACGTTGCTACAGTCAGGCAGGACGTTGCCAGAGTCGAATGGGAGTCGCCACTCAGGGAAGCGGTCAGTACAAGGGATAGGGGAATGGCTGCGACCCGCAATAGAGTGTAAGTAGGTAGAGGTAAACGCCTACGCTCGGATCATGTCAGTCAATTTCTTTCTTTGTCAGAAATCCTACGTACGTCAAGAATACATTGCCGAGGACAATCTTCGCAAAGTAGACGAGGGCAACAGGGATGATCCTCCAGAAGACATGTCGGAGGCGTTGATGGACGGCTGTCCTCCGGAGTGGGGACCGTCTCCGCTGGACTTCGGTCCGATGTGATTGCAGCTTCTCATCTTGACGAAGAAGAGACTCTTGATCGGCGTCCAGCGAGACGGCAGACTCTCTGGGGGTTAGGCAACAGAGAAGGAGACTGGTTAGGCGTTCCGCTACGATGATAATAATGAACGAGATGAGGTTCTGTATCAACGTTGTCGTTACTGGAAAAGGAAATCTAGAGAAGACGGGTTATTCTATCACGATCTTCCAGCGTGCTGGTGCGACCGTGGAAGCTCACTTGTATGTGCCGGCTAATACGTCCCAGATTGTTAGCAGAGGCCGACGTGGAGAGAAGGTGGAAGGCGGAAGGCGGAATGCGGCAGGCTTACATGAAAGAGCAAATCTGTTGACGACGAGCAAGGCCGAATCGGCGCTAACTGCAGCGATAGCCAGAAGCGCGTTGATTAATTGACGCTCCATATGGCACATGTCCGGTCTAAAATCCTCCGAGGTGGCTACCCCCAATGATGATTTCCGAGGACCGACCGCAGACGAAAATGCTTTGGTTGGGATGCGTTTCGTCTGCTGGGTTTCATGTGGGAACACGTGGTACCAGAACTACATGTACTTGTGTGGTGCCATTAGAGTAAGGAATAATAATAATAAAAGAGAAAGAGAAAAAAACATGTAGGAGAAAGGAGTGTAGATTAATGCGAAATGCGCATCATCTAGTGTTGAGTGTCAAACTGCCGATTCGAGGCGGAGTCTTCTATTCTTCTTCTCTCTTTCACTCACCTTGACTCTCTTAGCAGAGTTACAGATTGGGGCTGAGAATGAGATGCAGGGTTGGCGGGGCTGAGACGGAGACATTGTGACACGAATACCTGATACCTTATACCTTACATAATAATATCTAGACCCCTATCCATACTCTTTTGTTTGGACATGAAACGTGCAAAAGTACATGACACACACGTGTCATACGATAGGTCAAAGATTGACATGTGATTGCTTCGGCCGAGCCTTGCAGTTACATCCGACCTCCTATTTTTGGCCTTTTCCGAGAAGCGCTTGACGCTAACAACTGCGACTGTCGCAGCATGATTGAAACACTCAGCTCTTTTCTGACTTTACTTTAATAAATGGCCGGTACGTCGCATGAAGCTGATTCTGATTCCCTGCTTCCTTACCCGCCTCTGCCTACTTCACTTTATGACAGTCGCAATCGTAGGGCGAGGTCGTGAGGCTATCGGCTTTAGAGTAGGTACTAGTACCTCGTCTGACTCTTCAGCCTTGTTGATCCATCACCCAACTCCGCCTGACTCAGCCTTGGCCCGACCCCCAGGCACCCATAAGGTAATTTTGGCTTTCGCCATGATAGAAGATGCGACTGGTTCGCCAATCTTTCCAGCAGCTTGCCGTCTGAGCGTCGCGTTTGATCAGTACATATGTATCATTTCACACATCATAAGTTCTCGACTCGCGTCTCTCAATACCTCAATGTGCCGTGCTACCTGGTGGAAGGATTGTGGAAGGATCTGATCCTATTGAGCTAAAACTGCTGTTGGACGACCAAGTGCTGCGGCGATCGATTGTTTTGGAATCGTCAAATGCAACATCCCCAAGATTGCCTCGAGTGACCAGTCATTTCTCCGTGTTAGCGCTCAGAGAGCGCACCCCAAAGCTCCTCTCAGCACTATTATACCCCATTGCTACTCCAGGTACTCAGCCTCGCGGTGCTCACCCAATCGCTCAAGCCACTCCTCCTCAGTCTCGACGCTCTCATTCAACTTCCCCGCGTCTGCGTCTTTCCATCCTCGACTCGGCATCTTCAGACGTTGCAAACCTCGAAAGAATCCATTATCAACGTCCAATTGCTTCGATACTATTCTGCGGGAAATGTTTGTACATGTACAAGATACAACTCGGTCGTCTAGAACGTACTTGGTCTCGCAGGAGTCCTATGAGACGAAGAAATCCATGGTCTCGGCCTCTTCGACTAGGTTGCCCATGAATAGCTCGAATGCTTTGCTTGCGTCCTCGAGGCGTCCACGTAGAACTAGAAGTGGCCTAACCCGCAGTTCCATAAATTGCGTCGGTAGTGCTCTGATTTTGAATATTCCATTCCATCAAAATTCTTAACATTAGAGAGAGCACACGCTGGAGAGTAATGTACAAGATGTTCTGAGATTGTGTACTGAGCCAAAAAGCCGGTGCGTAAGAAACCCAGTCGTAGCAGTCCCGTCGATAAGCATCTGTTAGATCGGGTCGGCACCTTCTGCGGTGTTGCCACCCCGTTCCGAGGCATTCACTTTGGCCGAACAACTCAACGAGAGATTCGCAAACATGAGACCCAAGCGATTTACTGACCACTGTAAAGCTGTTCGTGCATTGCCACTTGTAGCTTCTAGCTCAGCGCGGTTATTGGAGAGTGATTTAATGATCGCTAAGCCTCGATCGTTGCGCAGCGCGAACATTAGCGGATTGCGCCCGTCGTCTACACCGGCCTGTATATTGGCATCCGCTGCGAGGCCGATATCCAAAGTCTTGGCTTGGCTCATCTCTACTGCCGGATCCAAGGCTCTCTTCCCATCGTGTGCTGCAGCTTCAACGTCGGGATCAGATTTCCACACGAGGTGCACAACTTCGTCGTGCCCGTTCTCAACTGCAAAGCGCAACGGAGTCCACTGATCTTACGGGCAAGCAAGGACACTTGTTCCTCGATCCAAGAACAGATGCACAATGGTTTCTGGCCCTGTTGAGCAGCAAAAAGTAGAATAGCCCTCTCGTCATAGCTTGAAATCTCTACATCTGCTCCACGTCTCAGGGAACACTTGATCGACGCGTTCTTGCCGAGGTAGCTGGCTTCTGTAGGGGGGTCGACCAAAGCTGGAGATAGCGTTGATACTGGCTTTTATGGAGCAGTGGATCCATGACATATAGTGCGCCATCGGCAGCTGCACAATAGAGCGCTTGTTCCATCGTGATGATATTTTTCGCACCGGAAGTTGGGTCGAGGCAGCAATGATAGCGCTGCCCCAGCCATCGCCGGTCAGATTGAAGTTGGCATTACGTGTGTCAAGAGTTTGTCAAGAGTTCTGTCTTGGGCTTTATCTGCTGCAGCTTGCGAGGCGCAGCCCTATTTGCCGCCAGCTAGATTTATATCTGCGCTATACCGAAAGAGAGCCTCCACTGCCCGTACACGACCATGTGCGGACATTGCGTACAGTAGACACCCATGTGATCTGCCAACTTCATTCACGCTAGCACCTCGCACGACGAGGTATCGCCTTGTGTGGATGAGCCCCCAGAGAGAAGCATAGAACAAGTGCTTCGGGCACGAGTTGCGAAACTGATACCCGAAAGTTTTGAGCGTCCTCTTGGTGTTGGAGCAAACAAGCTTTGAGTATGACGTTCATCTTAGATTGGCTGGGTCATGCCATGCACTGCATGATGGGATGATCTCGGTCGAGGAGTGTCTGCAAATTCCATCAAATACCACCAAAACTTAGAAAAGGATAGTGCACAAGTTTGTCATCAGACGGCAACTTCGTCGAGTGATCGAATTGTATGGAGTATTTGTAGCACCTGTACCGCGACAACCTTCTCATGAACATGGGAAGTATCAAGTTTTTCCTCGAGGAGACTGAAAAGCTTAGACGATCAGGGCGCGAAAAACATTCCTGGGTCGTGAAATTGGCAAAATGAACCTCCTGGTCCATGATACGCTTTCAGTCCCTTTTACCTGACCTGTATTGCCTTACGAAGACATTGACGGCCGCGCAGAGAATTCTCTATAGAACGGATCGTGTACAGCAGCCCATGGAAGAGCCACATGGATGGGTCATAGTTCACGGTATTTATCACCACATCCTTATAGCTGTCGATCCAACCTGCGATCCTTCCCAACACGTCTCGCAAGACGATCGGCTCCCCGTCACTCCTCTTTCCTAGCTTCCATCGTCTCCCTTTCATAGACGTCTTCTCTTTCTCTGCAACGACGAAGATATCCAAGAGAGCCTCCCTCTTAGCTTCTCGTGAGAAGTCGACTTTCTGCCGGTCATCAAGCTTGACTGCCTGGTCCCAGAGGTCCTCGTCCTTGGAGAGGTTGTAATCGAACGACATAGGAGCTGGATGGGTGTTGCATCAGCGTCACCATTGGTACCGTCCATGATGTCCGCTGTTCAACTATGTAGTATGTTCTTCCCTGCCGGAGCATCAAGGTCTCCTCCAAGCACTGTAGAATCTAGGGTTGCGAGTAATTGGCGGCATGCCGCTGAAGGGGAACCAGCGCCCCCTTTCACAAAACGCCTGTTGCTGTGAGATGCCCCAGTGTCAAGGCCTTCCCACGACCTCGTGCAAAGCGTTGGCCGACGTTGGGCAGAAGGAACGACGATTGATATGGAGTTTGGGTGTGGAAGGAGCTTCCAGGAGGCTGGGAGACGCAATTGCTATACACGGTGTTTGTTAGCATCGGTGCCGGTAATCCCGAGGCGCCCCTTTTGGAGCAGACCCCCACGATCCCTGCATCTCAGCCAGAGTTCGGCGCCGAGAGGCCAAGACGCTGTACGGGTCGATGACACAGAGGAGTTGGTGAAGGTCGCTAGGCCGCAGCGCTACGGTAGACCGCAGCTGCCAATACGTGATTTACTGCTTGGACTGTTCACATCCTCGGTCGAACGCCTCTTGATCATATTTGGCAACGACGGCAGCTTCTAGACGTTCCTAACTTGAGTGAAGTAAGCGCGTCCTTCTGCGGAGGAATTCCATTGGACGCATCCTGTTGCCATGGCGAAGGCAACCGCGCTTTGCGTACGATGACATTCATCCAAGCTTCCCCGGCGGCGCTTTCAATGATCTAAGACGCCCATCTGCGAACAAGATACGATGATGTGAGACCTTCCATAGCGCCAGGGAACCGCTGAAGCCGCGGAATGTCAGAAAGAGACGGAAAAGTGAGAGAACAGCTAGGGCGAAGAGGGCTATCATGGAATTCCCAATAAGGCAGACGAGCTATCAACCCACGGAGAGCGTGACAGTCGAGCCATAGACGCTCCTGCCATGGGCAAGAGGAGGTTGAGCCCCGAGATACACTGGCAGTGGGTCTTTGCGCGAGTCTCAAAGACGGGGATACATTCTCGAAATTTCACAGGATGGATTTAAGACAGGATATGATAATTACAGATGAGTTGGGGAAACAAGTTATAAGATTTCATTATAATGTTAAGCTAGATAATAAATTCAAACGAGTCTTATCTCAGTTACTGTCTTTCACTCCGTCCTTGCCCGCAGCAGTCTTGCGAACTTTCTCAATTGTTCGACGAATGCTTTCGGATATCAAGCCCGAAAGCTGGCTTTCGGAAGAGGAGGATCCCGCCGGAGAAGTCATAAGGACGCGATGGGCAGGCACCAAGCCCTGCCTGCTATTCAGATACCCTTTCCAACGAAGCTCATACAGGTCTGCCTCAATCTCGATGATGTCGCCGGCTTGGAAGGAAAGCTCCGATCCATCGGCTGAGTGGAAGTCTGGGAGTGCGCGGACGTTACACTTGCGTCTCGGACTTTGTTTTGCGTCAGATGCTGTTGTGGTGATGAGTCCAACGTAACTTGCAGGAACCCTTCCAGAAGCGCCATCTTTATATCCCTGCCACCAAGCTAGGCTCCTGTCAGCATTGACCTCACAAACGTCGCCTTTCTTGAAGCTTGAATCTGTAGGCGCTAAGGCATCAAAGTCCCATATGGCCTTCACCATTTGACGTTGGCTTTTCTTTGGTTGAGTGCTTGCTAGACGTCGCAGAAGTTTCTCGGTCCTCTCTGATGCAGATAAATGCAGACTTCTTACGTCTTGCTGATTTCAGTCTGTCAATTGTAATCACGGAGACTCCTCGGAACAGCAGACTTACAGTCGTTAGCTTTCCGGGAATGGCATAGCTCCCTTCTCCGTACTCTGTGTGTTCGTAGCCAGCCTTGATGAGGATATTCTTTGGTATCCATTGCTTACTGACGACTGTCCTCATTTTCTGGCCTTCTGGATAGATTGCGTCATCCGGATGGCGTATTCGATAATCAAGGACCATCTTCTCTCCAACGTAGTACCACCTGCTAGCCTGGTCTTCATGACGCCAAACATAGCCTCCTCCTCGCTCGGAGAAGCAATCTGTCAGCGATTTCCGCCCGCTAGCTGGATACGACCATGTCTCAAAAGTCAGGAACGGTGGCTCGAGAGCACCATCACTCGGCGTTGTCATGTTAAATTCATTTCTCGACGTGTCGGTTTGGGTGTTCGATCTCTGGTTTGTAGATTTATTCCTGCAAGTCGCCCTTGGTTGGCGATATCTGGAATGTACAGACTGCAAACGCTTACCTATGTCGTTCTTGAGAAGGTTCCCCTGACGATAGTCCAGCTGTATTACCAATTGGGGCATCATCAAGATAACCTTGCAAAAGATATTGAGCTGTGCTGGTCCATTCTGTCAGCAGTAAACGGATCTCTTGGTCTGGGCTCTCTTTCTCGCTGATCGTGGGTTCGCTTCCCGCGGTGTCTGCCAATAAACCAAAAGGCCGATGAGTGTTCGCTCGCGTTTGAGTGACAGAAGAAGGTAGCGAAGCATTGATCGCGCTTGAGGCTGGTGGATCGTGACGCATATCATGGTACGCTCTGAGCAGCCGAAAACTCCGGCCTGTCCCCTGAGATTCAGGCAGAACTATTAAAGTCTCGCGTGGGGCTGTTGCTATCTTCAGTTCCTGCTCAAAATCATCTGACGCCAATCCTTCCTCTGTCGCAGAACCTTTTCCGTAGGCTTCCGATTCCGTCTCGACGGGTCTCGATCTTTTTGCCTTTGCTTCGGCTGCGTTGAGTTTCTCGATAAGCCGCCTGTTAGACAGGACAGCACTGCTGAGGACGCTGATATTCCGGCGCACTGTTGATCCGCGATCCTGACCGCCGTTTCCTTGCCTATCCACAGTCAACATGTCAAGCTTTGTACCATCCATAAAATCTATACCTAGAAGAGCCGTCTTTTATCGTCTTTCGCAGGATGACCGTCTGGGCGATGAGTGATAGGGTAGACTTGAACCCCTCGAGGCTCAATTTCATTTCTTGGGTCTTGCGCTTCCGTAACGGCCATTGTATGTGAGTAGCTCTGGCTTTGACTATATCGATAGTCAGACTAAACTCTTCGAGAAGACGCTCACAACGCTTGATGAGCGTATCTATTGTTTCGACCGTTTTCGAGATGATGCAGTCCCCGTTTTGATTCAAGACGGCACTGAGGTGATCTAAGACTATGGAATAAATCCGATGTTTCGATGGCTAAGGCGTTGAGTTCCTCTTTTGCGTATCTGACGGTTCCGACGAAGTCATAAAACGTTAGCGATACGGTAGATACTGGCCGCAAGACCGACCAACTCAGCCATTGATTCTAGATGAGATTAGGCAGGTTTAGCAACGATATTAAAAAGCACTATTTAAAGCGGGAGCAGTCTTTCTATGGCTTTAAGAATAGTGTCATTGAATAATATAATACCGAATCATCACACCAATGTAGAGTAGGCATTCCTAGTGCCGGACTTATCGGATTTAGTAGGTTTGCATGTTTCAGAAGATGACCTTTCCCTACTTACATGTATGAAACCGAGTATAGCGATTGGAAGTCTTTCTTCCCCTGTACGGTCATCGCTTTCCTCCCGCCTTGACCTCTCGAGTCAAGATGTCATCTCCAAGACAAGAGAGCCTTTGCCACCCGATACTGACCTTCCTTGTAGTCAAGCGCGAATATATGTCTGTCGCAAATCGCGATAAGAGGGAATATCGCAACACGCGACATGGCCCCAACAGGTACGCACCTCGACTGCTTGCTCGGAAGATCTCGAGTACTTTTATGAAGGCTTCCAGCACTAACAGCATTTTCGAATGCCCCTCACAACGCTGGTACGTTTGCCTCGACTTCTGTCCTTCTGAGCTGCCCATACGCAATGCGCACAAGCTGTAGCACCACCTCAGTGCTCTTCCCACTATTTTACGCCCTCTTTGCGCAGACAGCCTTACTCTCCGCTACCAAGTCCTCCGGTAATGAGACTCTTCTAGTGTTGCCCATCGTCAATGTATCTGGAACTCCCCCCGCCACTGATGCAGTCCCGCACCCCGTCTCTTCCCGCCCTATTGTCTTAGCTTTTATAGCCAAAGGCCGGCCGATTCCCGAGCATGAAGCTATTGGCACCTTGGTCGACGCTGATCTAGCGATTGCCGATCTCGCCCGCGATCATCCAAACCAGCGTATAATCAACGATCGATTCGAATACCGCCTTCCGACCGGCAACATGCTGATCAGCATTAGAACAAATCTAGGAGAGGAGATCACGTGGGCAGAACTAAGACGGGTTTTGCACGGACTATATCGGTATATGGCCGCTGGAATGGGTACGGAGGAGACGCATTATCAGGAATTGGAATTCGAAATCGAAGCTGGTGGTCAAGAGAAGCCGAATATAGGATACGGGCTGGTGCAGTATTTCCCTCCTACCGAGAACGAAGTTCAGAAAAGGGTCACGCTTCCTTTTCCGATCTCTTTAAGCAACGAAGGAGCCCTCCAGCTTTCCAATCTCACCTTCAAACAGCCTGCTAATGAGACGTTGCGGCGGCTACCCAACGCAACCCTCGCCTTGCCGGGAACCAACAATGTGCGAGAGGATATGATTTTCCCTATCCCGAAGACTTCCCTCAGTCTCAGCTTCTATTATTTCGGCCCATCTATACCAGCCCAGAGTGTCAAAGCCACACTTCAAGGAGCAACAGCAAAGGTTCGCCCTATCCTGAGTGGCCCAGATGAAATGGACCCTATAGAGAACGACAGTTTCCGATGGGTGCTCCCACTCAGCCGTGAAGCTGGTATTCCTGTGGCGGTCACCGTCTTTACGTACCCTCGCCATGAAATTACATGGCGCCAGCTCTTCAATGTGCTCTTCGGTCTCTATGCCTTCACCACCACATTCGGTACGGATCTCGAAGAAACGCACTATCAAGTGCTCGGATTCAGGATCGTGGACCACTATTCAAGGAATTTAGGCGTGGGGACCATATCATATTTCAGCTATGGGGCAGGCCAGCTAGGAAGGAGAGCACCATCCATTGATAATGGGATTCCCCTGCAGCGACCGAGCGCGTCCAACGTCTCACTCATCCCCGCGGCGGTCTCAACCTCCATTGTTTACCCCGTGGCCCATACTGGTATAACCCTCACCTTCACGTTCCTCGGAGACACTTCCATTCCACCCGGAGAGATCAATCGCGCCATCAGCGGTGCCCAACTGAGGATATCTCGGGCGGTTGTGCAGACCCCTGAAAAGTCCATTTCAGGCAGATTCGCAGACACCTCCACCAGCGGCCGCGTGTCGACGAACGTTCTCGCGTACGCTGAGAAAATCATCACATGGGAAGAACTAAATGACATTTTGTGGGGAGTATTGCACTTTTGCCAGGATGACCAGGAGCACGACCGCCAGCTCGTTTTTGAAATTGACATCAACGTTTCAGGCCGGGGGAGAGTAGGATTTGGGACCCTGCTATATGTACAGCCGGATCCAACCCACGTGGAAAAGCGAGCAATGGTTGCCAACGACACGACCCTCCAGCCACCCACCAAGACCATCACCTCACACCCCAGCCTCACCCCGCTCGCAGTGCCTATTCCTTACCCTATCGCTGGCACACCGATCACCCTAACGTTCAATACCTTCGGCCCTCCCATTCCCGTTATTTACGTCAACGCAGCATTCACGTCCGCCCTTCGGAAGATCCAGATCCATGCCATCCACCATCCTGACACCCCAATACCAAACAATCGCTGGGAGCGCCGAGGCGTCGTTAGTAAGGTTTGGATTACGGTTGTCGCTTACAATGGCAATGAAATCTCGTGGCAGGAATTGAGCTCGGTGGTGGCTGCCGTGCTGCGCTTTATGACCGAGACTGGGGAGCATCGTTGTCGTGCACTGGAATTTTTCATTGATAAGGTAGGGGAGGTGGAGACTGGGTATGGCAGTGTGGCATACTTTCCAGATGACGACGTCTCTGTTCAAACGCGGCAATGATCTCAACCCGACAGTCACTATCCCGGTCTTCGTTTCCCCTGCAAACCTCCTACGTCCTACATCCCTCCAATACCACTTCACGGTCTCCAATTCCACCCTCCCATGCATCCTCATACATCGCCTACCTTTCGGTGTCGCTGTCGGTCATGCGCCTTTACAAAAACCAGTCGCGTGTGTTCGATCAAGGTGAAGAAACGGGTTGCTTAGAGGGATCTCCCAACGTTCAAGGAAGATGCTTCCTGAAGCGTGGGCGAGTGTATCGTAATCTAACGTGATCTAGGCCCAATCTCTTGAAGCGTGATATTTGAGAAAGGACGGGAGAATTTGAGGAAGGTGGAATCAGATGGATCGTGTTTCAGAGATTTGACAGATATGTGTGCTGCTTGGCTCAATCTTCGTTAACAATACCTTCGCTTTTCCTTGGATAGTGATCAACCATTTACGCAGGACCAGAGAAGCTCAGCTGCCCAAACTGCAAGTTCAACTTTTTCATGACCCCTTGCACGCTCGGCTCGGCTCGGCCAGAACGCAAACCGTGCATTCGTGGAATAGAGGATCTTGGATCTAGCCAATAGTATACTAGGCTCGTATCCTGAAACCCGCTTTTATATGTCACCTCCATGCCACGTCTCCCTTATTATACGAGCATCGCAATTTCCTTTGTGTTATATCAGCATGGCCTGCCCTACTGAAAGAAAACCCCTTCTTGCATCATCATCAAGCCTCCCATCATCTCCTCACTGCTTTTACTTTCCCACCATCTACAACCCAACTCCACCCTTCAACCTTCCATCATGCGTCCTTCCACCCCCCTCTCGCTCCTGCTAGCACTCACCGCCACCCTCGTCCTCGCCACACCAAAGCGAATCAAGCACCACGCGCATTCAAACGCCACCACCAGCGCCACAACCTCCATCGCAACAGGCTCAACCTCAGCCGGCTGCAACTACATGTAAGCAAGCAAACCCATCCCCCTCACTCCCACCTCACCCAACCAACACGGTCCCCCCACCAGCCACGCCATCGGCCCCAACCCCCCCACCCCCCCCGTCACCTACACCGGCTGCGCCTGCCCCTCCTCCGCCTCCTCACCCCAACGCGCCTTCATCTTCAACCTCTCCGCCACGTACCCGGCCTGCACGCCCCAGCTCGACACCGCCCTCTACCCCAGCGTCGTCGTCGGGCCGGGCGATCCCGGACTGGCCCTGTGCGAGGATTGGGAGGTCGTGCCGGGGACCGCGTCGTTGGACGGGACGCCCCCGTTGGTGCCGCCGTATGTGGGCCTTTGTTGCACTTTGGGGCCGGAGGGGGTGAGGGGGGGGTGTGTGTGATGGGGGTGGGATGGGAGGGGAGGGGAGGGGCGGGGCGGTAGATGATGCGTTGGGGACTGGAAAGGACTTTTTGTAAATGAAATGGACACGGTTCGGTGGGACTACTTGTTGCAGCGGGCTGCGACGCGGGCTCAAGGTAGCTATGTTGTAGCTATGGTAGATTTGAACACCTCGGCGTGCATGTGTACATCGTGTCCGCTCCGTCCATGGGATCGATCGATCGAGCGAGCGAGCGAGCTCCTGGCCTGACCGTCGCGATCCATGGGCGAACCCGTCCCCAAGGGTAACTAGGGGCTCCATACGGCTTCGTTTCATCTTCTGGCGGTGAGTTTGAGGCTGGCGGATAGAGACTCGGGGCTCTGAAAGAAAGAAAGAAAGAAAGAACTCATTGGGGAGTCGCAATATGGGGTGTGCGCGACAGGTCTTTGCTGGTAACAGTGATGAGGTTGTCATGATTTACGTTCAACACTTATGACGGGAGCGTACATGAACAGGTTAGGACAACGAATGGTCTTTTGGAAGTTGAATGGCGTTTGGAAGTTGAACGATACACATTACTTCTCCCTTTCTTTTTTCTATATGGATATATAAACCTCGCTTTCTTTTCTCTCGACGTTCCACTTCCACGCATCATGTTGTCTTTTCCAACTTGCATGCATATACGGGGCCTTGTTCTTGAAACAGGTTGCCTCATGCTGTCTTCTTACCTTGCTGCCATGGACTCACTCTTCGATCTTCTCAAGCGAATGCGTCCTCGAATGCACGGACAATGTAGGACTGGGCAGCATCATGTTCTCGTAGCTTGCCGTGGTCGGATCGGGCAGCTTGGTGCAGATCCAGGCGGAGGCATACATGTTGACTCTGTCATCGACCCCGTTCGTTAGCCGATGATCCCACTTGCTATATCTGACCCAAAAGCGGTTGGATGGAGTGTAGTGCCCACCGGTCAATGCAAGTCCCTGGCATCCTGGCACCAACCCTTCGTGTTGCGAAACCGTTGTTTTCAAATACAGCAGTGTACCAAGGCTTTAGGCCTGCGGAGCGCAAAAGAACTTTACCGCCGGTCTTCAAGGCGCGGTGTAATGATTGCACTTGGGTGACGGCTTGGGTGTCGCCGGGGCAGAACCAGTCCATGCTGTCCATGACCTTGATCGTGTCAGTCAGAAGTGCCTGTGAACGCGTTGATGCTGATTGAAGAGTACACTTACTACGGCATGACTCAAGGTACCAGGAGCAATTCGGCAAATCACTTCTTGAAGCTCGTCGGTGTGGATGCGTAATCCGTCGAACGCGCCGGGCTGGGAGAGCTTGCGGTGCGCTCTGTTTGATAGATACTGCGGGTGACATCTACGAAGCGTGAGAATTGCAATGGTGACTTGCAGCTGAGGGTTTATCACACCTCTGCGAGTATCTCCCCTGCAAACACAGGAGGTAGAAGTAGTTGTCATCGCCAACAAGCGTGTTTTTGACAACCGGATCCAGCGTATTGACTATGTACTCCCAGATAGCCTCGCCTCGCAGGTCACTTTCGACTTGGTCTCGGTGGTCCTCAACAATCATCCTTCGCTGTGCAGGAGGAACGCCTGCCGCCTTCCAGGCGAACCATTCTGTGCTGACGACTGTCCAGTGTAAGGCTCTACTCAGGAGGACTCTTCGGATTCTAGGCCAGATCTCTTGTTGCTCGTTCAAGGTCTTCGCGTTGCACATACTTCTGACATCGTTGCTGAGTCCGAGGAGCCAGAAGAGCGAGCGGATAAGCTTGATTGCATGTCTGAATTGCAAATTAGTGGGATCCTACCAATGCCGACGCAACGAAACACAAACCTAGAGCCGCCAGTCTCGTAAAATCCACGGGTAGAGCTAAATATGCTGGCGTGTTTGAGCCAGTACTGACATGCTTGCGAACTCATATGAGGACTGAGCTTGGCGATCAAAGCTTGACGAAATGCAGGGAACCTGCCTTCGCCGAACATCTTCCATACTTGGGCATATGGAAGGCTTTGGAATGCCGCGATCTTCAATTCCAGAAGATGGTTCTGATTTGGGTTGAGATCAACTGCATGTATGCGTCTTGGACCTGCTTGATAGAGATAGTCCAATACGTTATCTCCGGCAGAGGTTACGCAGAGAACGACATCATCACTGCGGATGTTTAGGAGGCGGTGATCGACTCGGGGGTCTTCCCACGTGAAGGCATAGATGTACTCGTTGTTGAATTGGGTGTGCTTTTGTAGAGTGTCATCGTAGTAGATACGTCGTTGGTTGTTCTGGTAGAACATCGATGGCAATGGGAGATTTGAGCTCAGATTGATGACTGCGCACTGGTAGGCTTTTGACCTGAGCTCTGCTGGGATTGATTTTTCAACCGCCTGAAACATTTCGGCTCTGTGGTTCTGTGGAGAAAGGTAGGGTGATTCTGTGCACGAGGCATCCAGGCTCTCGATGAAGTCCTGCGCATACCCTGGGCTCGTGCCCATGGAAGATGCAAGTCCGCGCTGTGTGCCTAGGAATACTTTGCAAGGTGTCAGCGGTTCTATGATCAATTTCACCTATAGATGGAGTTTGGCCTACTGTAGTAGGGTATTCCACCGAGGAGGTAATTCCTCTCGTCAACCGTCTTGAGGGTACCGAAACGGTACTCGAGGTAGTCTCTCCGGGCTCCTTCTAAGCCAACTCGATCTACATCGAACCACGCCCGCCAAAAGACTCGCTTTATCCAGGTAACGTGCCTGTTGAATGAGCCACCAGTATAAGTGCGGCCACTGATCTCGACAATACTTTGGACGTAAAAATCCACAACACCTACGATCCCATCGGATGATAATAAAGATGGGATCGAGTCCAGAACGCTGTAATAATCAGGTATCATGCTCAAACTGTATGACATTGTCACGAGATCTGCGCCGCTGTTGACGGTGCTCTGATCAGACCAGGAGGATCCCAGGGAGCTGATCGAGGTGTTCGTCGACTTCACCGTCTGGTAGTTCTCCAGTCGAAAAGCGCGGGCATCCTGGCATACAATCTCGACATCCCATCCCAAACGGTCGAATCGTTTCCTAGCTACCTCAAGAAGAGACGGCGAAAGATCAACAAGGTACACCTTGGCAAAGAACGTTGGTACATCGAGGTACGCTTGCATGGCCTCGATGTTGTATCCTGTACCACCTCCAATGTCGACCCAGATTGGTCTCTTGCCCATCCATGCACCCTTCCCTTCTTTATACCTCAATTGCGCAGCGACGAGCCCCAACATATCTTCTCGACCTCGGAGAAGTCTCTTTCGAGTTGCATCGTAGACATCGGCCTGTGACAGATCGTCTTAGCTTGCTTCACTGGTCTCAAGCGTTCCTATGCTGACAAATGAAGCAGGATATCGAGATAACAGTCGTCAAAAGATGTTGCCCCCAGAGTCGTTCAAGTATTACTGACATTGGGAAACGGGGAGGCTACCTGCGCTTTGTAGAAGCTCTCCAGGGCTGCTTGCTGGCCCGTGATCGCGCCATCTCCACTATGCGGTTTGAGGAAGCTAGCGTAGAAGAATCTGGCGAAGGTTGCCAGACCGCTAGGGACAGTCAATTGCTTGGACCCGGAGATGATTGTAAGCGAAAATCGGGCAGCGAGGGCAATGACGACAAAAAATACAAAAAGAATGCAGATTTGCTGGAAGCTGGGAGCTAGACTATCTGATATATGTGCAGAGAGAAATGAGGGAAGTGCCATGCTGGCAGAGAACGCGTGCAGAAGGAATGGTTGACCGTGTGGAGATAGTGAGGGGGAAACATTGCAGAAGTGAGGAAGAATTCAACAATATAGCCATTGAGGTCAATGGCCGACTGCCTCTCCCACTCTCCCATTCCCCCACTATATTCTAGATTTAAGCTGCATATTTTAAGCTGCCGATATCGCTCGGACCAAGGTCCCTCGGTTTGTAGGTTGTACTGGCGTACAGGGCCAACCTATCAAAAATCCACATGGCCCGGCTTGGGCGTCAAATGACCTGCAGGACAGCGATTAAGCATATATTAGCGGCTGCGGGGTCTCAATTGACTTCTGATGCTATTCCCAACATCGAATGGCAACAAGAGAATACGGTGCTTTGCTGAGCACGGAAACGCCATTGTGCATTTCTTCTGGCGGGGTTGAACCCTTGAGCATGTTGGAGCGTTGGGCGAACCCTCTGAACGTTGAAGTCAATTCGTCCTTCGTCCTGTTACGTTGTATTGCGAGAGCATGTGCTGCCAGCTGGAGGTGCGATTAGATTGACAACGAAAAAGCAACCTGCAAAGTGTTGGACGTTGGAGACGACGTTGTGGCCAGTAGTTGCAGCACGGGTCTCGTTTGTCTAGGACGCGGACATAATGACAGGACGGACCCCTCTTGCACTAAGGTAGGTACTTCCCCGCCGCGCTAGTAGAACCTCCTCTTCCAAAAACAGTATCAAGCGTCCAAAGTGTCCGACTGCTGAAGTATTCCAGACCTTTTGATAACCGTTGACCAAGTCACCGTCATCTGGGTCTTCATAATACCTGAACAAACCTGCTACTCTCCACCAACTATGCCTTCCCTCCTAGAAATCCCTCCTGAACTTGTGGAGCAGATCATCTCTGATTTGGCAGAAGGGGAACCTCCTTCGAGAAAGCTCATCTACGAACAGCCTTCAAAGTCTCTTCTAGATCACGACTACCATCCCCTCAAAGATCTCTCTTGCACCTGTCGTATCCTGAGGCGTCTTTGCTTCACTAGCTTATTTTCGGCCCTCAAGTTGAACATGGAGGTCGGTACAGGCTTCCTGGAATTCATCAAAAGTAGCCAGCTGGCTGGCCGGGTGGACAGCCTGGTCCTATACACCACCACCGGATGCCTCGGCAACAGCAGCTTCCTTTGGCCCCGAATGGTTGAAGTTGTGGACCGTGTCAATGCGCCGTCCATGACCATAATCTTCCCTCCTTCGCTCTTCACGGAGATCCTACCCTATAGCCTCAACCTCGATCATGCCTGGGCATTCAGTATTGACTACCAAGTCCTGCACCTGGAAATGGCTCCCAATTCAGTTGCACCCAAAACGCCGGAAGATGTTGTCAAAGAAAGTAACGTTTTCGCGATGCGGCCATGGACCCATTGTACGTACAACGAGGGGTCCTCAGTCGAAGCATACAGCACCTACGAATACTATCTCAAGGACAAACCCTCTCTCTTCTGTCCATCCAACTCCAACCAATTCGTGCGCACGATGCAGAATTCGCTCGACCACATAACCTCCCTAGATCTTATCACCGTCTTCCCCACCAACCACCTGTGGTCTTTCGGCAAATTCATAAGTTTCATGAAAAGTCTTCGCCACCTGCGCACGCAGCTGGCACCAACGCCTAGCAACAACATCCTCGACGATCCGTCGTCCCTGGGGAAGTGTCAAACCAAGGACCTCTGGATGGAATTTGAAAGCTCGTATGCTAGGCTTGTCGATTTCGTCGCTGGCGGAGGTTACGATGAGTTCGAGTTGGGTGCTCTTGACCAATTCACCATTCTGGATTATGCCAATGCCGCTCTCCGTGAGACGATAGATGGCGTTGTGGGGAATCGTTTGGATGAGTGGGAGCGAGATCGGAGCGGCGGCCGTTGGACTCGGAGACGAGAAGATCAAAAGGCTATCTCTCAGTGATAGAGAGACTGGGAACAAAGACGAGTAACGTAGACAATGCATATGACTTTTAGAGCAGACATGTGTAGCTTGAGCGAATCACGGAGTGCACGAGGTTGGAGAGAGGTTGCAGTTTGTCATCTTCAAGGCTAGAGAAGACTACGACTATTCGCTGGCGCCCTACAGTTTACATTTACTATGCTAGCGACATATCCCTGACAAGCTAGGTATCTCTATTGCTTCCTTTTTTTATCCATTGCGGTGACCGCGTTCGTAGCTCGTCCACACCTCCCGTCGTGCGGCCCAAGCCTAGTCTCGACTGGCCCATCACTCAATATTGTCGCACATTCAACAGCAACCGTAAGACTCGTCAGGACAATGAGGGTGTTACTCATGGTAGTGCTGTCGCATACCTATGGAAGAGAATGAGGAGTCACCTGCCAGCCAAATTGCCGGGCGGGGCGCTGTACGTACCAGACGTACTAGTACAGTCCCAGGTCCAGGTCCAGGTTCTCCCACCCCAGGCGTCCCGGCCAGCTTCCATCCACCTCAGTCAACGGTGCTGGCGGGGACGTGACTGGCAACTTATAGATGCAGACGGGACTGGTGTCGAGACGGTAATTTGTTCTGGTAGCGATGGTATAGTTTGTAGCTGGGAAGTGAGGCTTCGCACTGGACAAGGTGGTTAGCATGCCTTAAAATGCTGACGTAGCTGTTGCCGGGATCGTGAGACAATGTATTGTCTTTGGCATCCCAAGGGCTTCTGGTGAGAGTTTCATATTGAGAGTACCTTCGTGGCGTTGAAGAGGGTCAGATCTGGGTCATAGAGCCGGAGCCTCGTGAAGAGGTCGATGGCTGTGACATCTTGCAGAAATTGACCGTAACGGAGCATGCCTGATTCCAGTAGCCATCGGGCGTCCCCTCTCGTATTGACCTCAGCTTCGGGCATGCACATCTTGTCCCTCCTCAGTTCTGCCCAGCGGATATTGGTCTCGCCACCTCATGCACCAAGTATCGAACATCCTCATCTGCTTCGATGACGCCGGTTGTAGTCCATAGCGCTTCAGCCCTCGGCCCTTCGTCCACATTGTAGATGTCCCAATCTTTCCTGACACTTCTCCTTCAAAGGCGTCCTCCTGGTCTTATCCTCCAAGTCTCTCTCTCGACCAGTCTCACTTCGTAGTCCATATTCTCAATTTCTTTAGCCACCGTATTCTTGTGCCCGGACTTTATACCCAATGTCTGGAACTCGAGGCTCGTCGGTTTCAGGGCGATTGCTACTTGACAGGGAAGCTTCTCCACTAGAATGAGACGGGAGAAAAGCTTTACACGCATGCGCAGGAGCAGCGTTGGATCGTCGCAGACCTTGGCATCTTGAGATTTCCAACAAGGCTTCGCGGCCTGGGTGCTGCTGTTCGTGCTAGTTCTGCTCGAAGCGGGTGGCGCGGAGGTTCCACGGTGATGGACGTCAAAGCGGGAGTCACTGAAGCAGCCCTGTTTCCGGTGAGCTTCAAACTGATAAGTGAGAGGTTTGTTGAACTGTCGAGCATAGGCTCTTTAAGGCATGGTGTCTGCAAAGAGTCGAGGACTCTTAACATCTGTACAGGTATTTCGCCTCGTAGGGCTGCACTAGTGAGCCTACGGAATTGCTCATGTGCCCATTGTCTCCTCAAGTCCTCCATACATTAATACAACACTCCGTATTAGCACTGTTAGTCACAGCACTCCGACGTTATAGCCAACATGCTCTTCACTTCCATGACAAGCGCTCAGTACTGAATACTTTGACGGGCTCCGAAAGATCAACAAGCTTCAGTGAGAGCCCTCATGTAGAAGGAACATAGCAAGACCCTTGGACTGATCCTTTTTCAGGCGCCCGAATCTTTTTGCCGAATCACCATGACCGGATTTGATGATCTTCCGAATGAGATTGTCCTGGAGCTGTGGCACCACGTCCTCCCTCCACATGACATCGCAAGCTTTGCTCTGGTCTCAAAACGAATCTTCGCTTTCGCTAAACCGTTTTTGAAAGAGCACCATCGCTTGAAATCGGAATATTCTATCATTGAAAATGACCGAAGCTGCGATGGTAGCATGTTGGCGCATCTACTGAAAGACGTTCTACTCAATCCTCACATTGCTTTCTACATCGAGAAAGTCTGTATTTGTGACTGGCGCACATGCTGGGAAGATCCAAATCGTGGTGTTCCCTGTCGTCTGGATCTGGAGGTAGATGACGTGCAGAATTACGTCTGGCATGTACCGTATCCTGAGCGGGACATGGAATTATTCAGGAATGGCATTCGAAAAGCGAAACATGTGCTCCCTAGTGAGATCGACGTTTGGATCAAACTCCTTGAGAGTGGGCACGAGGATCCAACCCTGGCCCTCTTGCTAAGTCTTCTCCCAAACCTCTGCACGCTTTCGCTCGAAGACCCCCCCAAACGAACTCTCTTATTCACTAGCATTCGCCGGATGGCCCAGAATGCCCCTTCAACATCATTTCTCAAACTGAGGAGCTTCCACCTGGCCGACAGCGTTTCTGAGAAGAACGAGGGCATATCTCTCGTAAAGCTATTTGCACTGCAACCTTCCATGGAGAAGATATCATGTTTCGATGTCGACAATGTTCGTCAAAGACGTGGTATTCCCGACTGCCTCATAGCTCCTCAAAGTTCTAATGTGACCGAGTTGGTTTTTGACTCATGTGGCGCGATTGGGAAGCACATTCCTGTACTTCTCGAAGGAATCAAAAGGCTGAAGAGGTTTACATACGTCGCGCTCGGTAAGACAGTCGATGCCTTCAGGATAAGATCCGCCCTTCTCAATCATTGCCGACACTCTCTAGAGTATTTGAAGATGAGCTACCATGACGGAGAAGGAAATTACATGGGCAATCTGCGCTTGTTTGAGAACTTGAAAGTGCTCCATATTACACACAGCCTCTTAGTGGATCCAGATGCCGGTGACGACTTGAACATGGCAGACTTGTTACCTATCTCCATTGAGACTATTGATACGACTGGCCAATCCCGTCGGATAGTCAGCCACATTCGCCCATTCATCAGAAGTCTAGTGAATGCCAAACGCACACGACTGTCGAATCTGAAAACACTTAAGTATCGGTTCTACGATCTCTTCGACTCGGGCAATCGCATGCATCTCATCTTCACCGATATGTGTCGGTTATGTCAGGCGAATGGTGTTCAATTACAATTTGAGTGACTCATCCGCGAGTCCGAGCCTTTGGTCGAATACGAAAAGCTTTCTTGATATTCTCAAAGCGACGCCTATCTAAGAACTCGCATCCAGCCTTGCAAGACTGTGCATGGCTTTAGTCTAGAAGGACAAATCCGGGATGAGATGATTAATTGCAGCGTTCAGCGAATCAGCTTTTATCCCCATCTCGCAGCTCACCAGATCAGACAAGACCATGACCAAAACCCCGCCACAGTTCAGCCCAACACTAGGTCTTTGCTTCACGAGCACGCGCAGATCTGGGGAAGACATGATGCATGCATCCGTGGTTCTTTCGCTTGTTCATGATTGTGTTCAACAATCACGTCTGTCTTGAATCCAATGCTCCAGTCCATTTCTAAGAAGAGACGCATACCGAAAGAAACAATCAGCTAGTGCTAAGCTTACACATTCAAATCCATGCTTGTTGTGATACCAGATTCACAAGCATTCAAAAGCATTCAACGATCGTAGAAGAATAGCGCAATCCAATCGCAGGCGTAGATACATTGCTCAACAGCCGCTCCAGCGTTCATCAAGATGTTCATTAATCCAGTCGCATCGAATTAGGGTATCATCACATCTTTCACCCAAGCCCAAATTGCTGACCCTCTGCACTCCGGATTTCCCTCTTCCCACGTTCCCACACCTGCCGCACCAGCGATCTTTTCGAATTCCCAAAGCCCCCCATCGCATACAAGGGCAAATAGCATGCCTGCGTTCTCCGTTCTCAACATCATAAACGCGCTGACTCGAGAATCTTGGGGCACTGCACGTGCCGGAACGGCACACCACAGCCTTTACATAATTCTTCGAGCCTTTGATTTGAACCAAAGCTCCTCAGCAATGATGGGTATAATTCCAGAGATCTTACTAAGAACTTTAAAAGCATACGATCACGAACATGACTTGAGCTACAGGGACAATACCCACAGCTGGCGAAACTGTTAGCGTTGAAACGTGCTCCAGACACAGTAGAATCAACCCAAGCCCACGGATAGTGGCACGGTGAGAAGCTGCGGCTACATCATGTCACAGCTAACGCCATCTGCTCCCACAATGATGCTGCAAAATGGTGATTCCCAGTAATTGCGGCGGGCGTTCAAGCTTTGGGGGACGAGATTTCCTAAGGGCGTATGATCTTAGCGATCCTTTGCCATCCGTTCTTCTATTCAACAGTTAGGTCTTTTATTTTGACTAAGGAAGCTCCTCGGTAGGAACTTCTGTCTTTGAATGTAAGGATCGCGGCTTACAATAGATTGTACTGTCAAGGTGGTAAGGCAGGCTTAACGTTGCACCTTATCTTCGCGGCCTGAAGTTCTTTCGGTCGCAGGGCTTGAAGACCTACATTGGATGCTTTATCAAAAAAGGGAGAGTGCGGAATTAAGCGGATGAGGCCGTTACTTGAAAAGTTCGACCCGCCTGACATTTGTTGAGCAAAGGTTCTTGACCCCTCACTAACTCATCTACGAAAGTGTCGTTCCACCAACAAAATGAGAAGCCCCGAGCCACTGACAGAGCAGCATGAACAAGGAATCTATTTTGCTTGTCTAACGCACTTTCTAAGACAACTTTGGTCATGAAACGAATGTTTCCACGCTGAATCTCAGATTCGAGAAAATACCCACAACTTTAGCGACCCGAAATGCCTTTGTGGTAGCTCGCCTGGTGTCCAAAAGCTTACAACATTCGGTGTCATTCCTGATATTCCGATCGACAGGTCATTTGGGTTGAAGACCTTTTCCCGCGTCTTGACTAGGGCTCGGACTGCCAGCTTGGTCTCTAAGATACGCAAGACGGCCCTAATTCGCCCCCATTGGTCCGAGACCCAAGTTGTGACTGGTTTCCCCACCAACTAGGGTAGTGTAAGAGCTTGAACCATAGCCATAGCCCATTGCCTTGGAGAACCTACTAACGATCCATAGCCTCGTCTTCCTGCTCCCAATTCTCATCTTCTGAATTATCCGAATACTGACACTTTCTCGTATTTTGATTGCCACAACAAAGGTTCCCAACACAGTCAGTTCCTCATCGTACTAGGCCCAGTGGATTGCTATCACGCATTGAAGAACGATCAAACAAGCAGATTGCGGCAAGCTGGGTAAAATGACCAAGTTGGGCCCCAACGCTAGGAAAGTTGGCCATTTTCTTTTGACCTATACTCATGATGTTACCTTACCTTGTAAACATCCGCTACCACTACTCAGAAGTTGGAAACCTCGCTTGCCTTCGCTTAGCGCTTAGCGTGATGAGTAAGGGTTTCATTCTTCGCTATCGCAAGCGAAGAACCTTACTTTCGAGACCTGTACCTGACTACTGCTGAAAGACGCCGTAGAAAATACAGAGATAAAAAAAGATGGTATCCAGTAGCGTTGCTGCGGTACCTTAGCCCTCACTGCGCTGCGGCGACTTTTGTGGAAACCGATGGTTATTCTCAATGTTAATCTTGTTTAACGTCCATTGTCTGGTATGTGTGAGGGAAATGGACGAAACCGTTCTTGCTGTATATCTCCGTTTTTAAAGCCGTGGCAGACACTGGGGGCTGTGAGAATCGCTTCAGTATCAGAGGTGTTGGAATGAATGTCAGCACTGGTTTTCGTCAGTGTAGTATCGGCGAGCTCATGGCTCTCGATGTGCCTGTCATGAATTACGTTCCGATGGCTAGGTCTGAATATTCCAGAAATGCTATAAAGTCTACGATGTCCTCAACCGCAGAAACATGTTACCAATTCAGCAGCACTTCGATTGATCAGGAGAGTCTCCTGCATTTGACACAGTCACTAGCAGAAACCTACATCCTCATAATTCCCGATCATTCCCATTACACACCCTCTTCGCCCCAGTATCACCACTGTTATACCTTTGCTCGCCGCAACTCCTCCCCAACCGCCTCTAAAGAAGCCCACCATGCACTTCACCACCACAACCCTGCTCTCCCTCCTCCCTCTCCTCACCAGAGCCACCCCCCTCATGTCCCGTCAAGTCGGCGGCACAGGCCAGTGCGGCGGGTTTCAAAACGCCATCGACCATACCGCCGCCTCCGACTACGCCCTCCAGCTCTCGAACGGCCAAAACGCCGGCCTCTGCCAGGGCTTCCTCGACAACCTACACGGCACCTGCGGCCTCGGCATCATCAACTGGAAATGTGCCAACAACAATGGGGTGACGGGCATCTCGTTCACGGCTCCGACGACTTGTTTGGGCAGTCAGATTCAGAATACCGTTTGGGTGGCCACGCTGCCGCATATCCCAGACGTCGTATGCTCGTGGGGGCGTTACGATGATGATGATGGGCCTGATGGGAATGGGTGGTGGGATGCGGTTTTTCAATTTATCGTGGAGTTTGGTGGGGATTCTTAGGTGGTGGGTGTGTGACAGAGCGGTGGGGTTGTGGCTGGAGGCAAAGGGAGATTGATGGGACGAGGATAGAGGGGGTAGTCTAGGCCTTCTCTGGATTTTTTTCTTACCACTTGTAATCGTATCATCCTCTCATAGTTTATGATTCATCTTATTGTAGGCCATGTCGCTTTAGGTATATTAGCACCGGTGTCTTTGCGCGATGTCGGTCAAAGGGTGATTGTCCATTCACTGCGCCTTTGGAAAGAGTTTTCTTGTAACCTTCATTTGATAATGAGAGACATACCGACAGCAAGCATCGGCGATACGGGAAATTTCTCATGAAAGATCATGTGTGACTATCATGGCTGCGACCGGATTTACATGCCATCTCAAAGGAACCTCTGTCCGCTTTCAGAAGTAGGCCAGTGTACTGTGAACGTTTGGCCCACCTATCTCCCTTACACCCAACAACAGCTACAGGTCAAGCTGATCCTTTTCAACGTCGCCAGCAGCCTAAGCTCCTGCACCACGCCCATCTCCACACGTGCAGCGCTAATCCCCCAGCAGCGATTCCACCAACTCCCCCGTCTGCTTACGGATCTCGTCCAACTTCTTCTTCTGCAGCTGAAAGTCTTTCAAAACATTCTCCACCTCGAAATGTCCAAGGGCCGTGACTTTGGGAAGGTTCCCCTCCGAGAGATACTTGTCAAGAGCTGTGGACCGAATGACTTCAGGGTCTAGCTCTTTACTGCCGTAGGCCTTCTTCATGTCCTGGAGCTTTTTTTGTACGTCGTCGAAATGGCTGTGGAAGTTGACGTGTTCAGCGGTCATTTGTCTCATGGCGGTTTTCATCTCCAAGAGGGCAGTGATGGCTTTGGATTTTGCCTGGTTGTAGTCGGAGCTTGCTTGAGGGAAACGCCTGTAGGTGCTCATGTCTGCGGGTCCTGCGTGGTTTTGGGAGGAGGATACCCTTAATCGTTAGAGGTAGCAGCTCAGGAAGGGTTCAATGGATCCACCACTGCTACAAGTGTTAGTATGAGAAGGTCCAGCACTGGCTTGAATTTCGAGTTACCTTCTTGTGGTGTGGTTCAGGGTGATGTTTCCTCAGCACAGTTGTAAAGCGAAAGTTCCGATTTGTCTCTTAGGTATGGTGGTACGACTGCGGAGCAAGTTTTGAACAAGCCTCAAGATCGGCTTTATAAGTTTTGCAGCGCCTTGAAAGAGCAGATTCATCTGAAACACGACAAATGGGCGAACAAAGGAAGCAAACAAACGTTCTGTGTACTTCTGCGGCAACCGACATTATTTCTTGCCTGTTTGAATAATCTTTGACAAAGTACATGGACAGTAGCAAAGGTTTAATGACTACAGGACTGATTCCGTAATGCATGAGTTGCCTGCTGAGCAATCCATGTGTGCCCACATCGTACCGTATGACCTTGCTAAACAGGATTCTGGCTTCACGTGCTTTATCTTGGAAGCTTCTTGAAACCTGATTTTGTACGCCCATCATCAATCGACGCGTCTTACAGCAGATCGAATGTACTTTATGCAGGCCCTCGCGTCGTTATTCATATCGCTGTATCTTAAGATGAAGATAACGCGGTTCTGGCATCTGGTCACCCTATTGAGTTTCCAACATGAGCTTACATAGATGAGCGCGTCAAATTTACATTTGGGTTCGTGTGAAAATTGGCATCTTAAGTTTGGCTGGTTTCTCTAATCGACCAGCATGCATAAAGCATGCATGAAGTCTGCATAATTGATGCATAAAAACACCTCTCCGCTTGGGCGCTTCCACGACCTCAACTTTCACTCACAACTGCCTCCGTCTAAGCGATATTGTTATACGCATTGTAGTGCCTATCGGCATGACCTGATAGCTCTACCCCAAGAACCTTTGTCTCCGAAGCCCGCTCTTCGGAGCTCGTACATTGGTCCCAGACTAGGAGTCTAGGATGCAACGCCTTCAGAATACGCTACCTTCTACAAAGGAGAGCATCACGATTGTCTCCACAGACTTTCTCCCGTCTACGACTAAACCATGAAGTTCTCGGGGCTATCATTAGCGCTGAACTTCTTTTCCGGCGTGCCATGGACCCATGCGGAGAACAACCGGCCGGCAGCTGAAGTTTCTTATGCGACCACTCTCAAGGTCACAACAACGAGCAGACTAGTGGACAACGATTGAACTAATTGGCGAAGCATCCTTCCAAATGCCATAGCGACACATTGCAATACCACCCTCGCGCATCCTCGCGATCAAACGCTATACCTCAATGCCTTCCACCGTGACTCCCTCTGGTACGAACGCCGCAAGCCCGTCTTCTTCTGCCACCCCTGGCCATTTTATCCGCTCTTGAGTGCGTACCAAGTGCAAGCAGACACCAATCAGAAAGAGCTCGAGGACACATACTCATCGCCTTGGTCTCTAATGGGCACACAAGGCTGCACGCCTCTGGCGTACATGATCTTCAATGATACAAGAGAGCGCAAAGTCGAAGACATGGCCGATTACTTCGGCATTGGGCGTGGGCCATTCTTGGGTATGGTGCACCCGGCTATACTAGGAGTGACCTTCTGAGCGAACCTGCTCTGGATTCTGGGTCGGCCAGCGTGGAGATTGAAGGTTGAGGGGACAGGAGTGGAGAAGACAGAAAGAAGTGAAGAAAGAGTGGGAGCGTCTTGCTTTATTGCTGGCTGAGGACGGGATGCCGGAGGAAGAAGTGGAAGACGAGGACGAGGACGGAAAGCCTGTTGAAATGCCGTTGCCAGTCAGGACGAGGATGATTATGGAAGATCGTAGGGAAGACGTGGACAACATTGGCGAGAAGAGAGAAAGCTACGAGGAGCTTTCCGGCACGTTTGAACACAAAACTGGGGACATTGTGTCAAGTTGTTGGTCTAAGGGCCGCGGTTCTTGTTAGGCGAAAGGACAATTTGAATTATACATCTACAGTATCCAATTCCTGTTGACTCGACCTGATACCGTCCATGCCACCAGCCTACTTCAACATGCATCATTGTAGATGCAAGATTGCAGCACTGTTAGGCAACAGCAACCACGCATTGTCTAATATCCCTAATTTGCTCATTCTTTCGTCTCCTATTTGCCATCTCTTCCTTTCTGAGATAGAGCACCGTCACTCTGCATTATTGGTCATTGAGCAAGATGCATATCAAGAACGTCGCCCTCGTTGGGGTAAGAGAAGGAGCGGCAGGCTTGCCGGTGTTGGTGTTTGGAGGACGAGAATGTCTAGTCAGCTGAACGTGCACGGAGAGCAAACGAAGAGCGAAGACATCTCCTACATTGCCCTATTCGATCATGGGTGCGCATGATTCTGTCATTGCGAAGTGAGTGAGTGACAAAGGTACAGTAGTTGCTCGTCAGTGCTATGCATACATGCCGTCCCGTGAAAATCTTGGCTGAATGGTCAAGCTCTATCTATCGGTAGTGTCAAATTCTTTGTTCCGTGAAACTCAAACAAAACACTCTCGGCTTGTTGAATGAGATGGAGTAGATTCAAAGATGCTTGATTGACTCTATCACCGCATGATAGGCACCTGCATGATAGGCACCTGCGTCGAGCAACAAAGCTACCGCAACAACTAAGACGTATGCAATCTGTGGATTCTGTTCCCAACGAGCTATTGTATCGATCGCGAGGCCTTGTAAGGTTGAAAATCATTGCTTTTGTACAGGCCTCTTATATACATACCTGAAATGAGTTTCGGCTATGTAGTCGGCGATTTCGTCGCCGTGGGTCAGCTCTGCTGGAAAGTCTACAAAAAGTGCAAAGACTCGCCCGGAAATTACACAGAGCTTTCCAGCGAAGTCAGCGCTTTGCATAATTTCATAAAGGAGACAGAAGAGCTGTTCTCTTAACAACATCTGGCGACGGAGCAGGAAATCAAGCTGGTAACATGCCGGCAAGGCTGTGAAGACGTGCTGAAGGACCTGGATGGACTTCTAGTCAAATACGAGAGCCTGGGAACGAATTCTCGAAGAACGTTCGATAAAATGGGTGTTGGGATGCAAGATACGAATGGCATACGACTGAGGTTGATTTCGAATGTGTCGATGCTTGATGCTTTCAATAATGCGTGCGTAGAACCCGCTCCACTACTGCCTATCTCATCCGTTCTTGACGTTTTGCAGATCCTCACATGCCAAACTTGAAAAGAAATTGAATCTACTAATCGCCGAAGTCCGTGCTGGGAAACGCGAAGGCTCTGTCATTTCGACCCAAACATTCGATACCACTGCTGAGAACGACCGTGAGACACGGGAAGCTCTGCGTAGGGAACTAGAAGACGTTGGTATATTTCCAGGAGTCAGTATTCAGAAGCGGCAATTCATTGTCGCCTGGTTTCAAGAGGCCGTAGCGGCGGGTAAACTTGAAGAAGACGCTTCCTCAATGATAACGACAGCGCTATCTCTCTCTACGAGTCGGACGATCTGTCAGGCAAAGGCGATGGTGATAGCATTCCCGATAGGGAAATGTCATCTAAGACATGGAGCCACGCACAACGAAAGGAAGTACAGTCAAAGGGTCTGTGCCCAAGGATCAATGCTCTCCGGGGCAACCGGCAGAAGCAGTATACTCACGACGAGAAGAAAATCTCCCACCAGCCCCATCATCACCACCACCACCACGAAAAGGAGAAGTGAAGCCATGGCTACGGGTTTCTTACTTATTCAACAAATTGCGAGGGAGAAACAAGCAATTCCTTGACGCCGCCATGGCTGGAGACGTGCCTACGATAAGGAACTTGCTTGAGAAAGGAGTCGACATCCATGCGCAAGACCATTCTCATGGGACAAGTTCAGCCTTGCAATTAGCAGCCCAACATGGAAAGGAAGATGCAGTACGGTTGCTGCTGTTCGAAGGGGCCGACGTCCATGCAAAGGATGGAGATGGCGCGACGGCGCTACATCGAGCGGCAATATCCGGTCGCGAGCAGATTATACGAATGCTGCTAGACTACGGAGCTGATATCGAATCTAAGCGCTTTCATGGTAATACAGCATTGACTTGTGCGGCCAGATCGGGAAACTGTTGAAATTCGGATCACGTGACTCTTGGCGTCTTGGCGGTCACGTGACATGGTCACGTGACACGCCTTAGCGTGTCACGTATCTAGTCGCTCTTTCCTCCATAGTAACTCCATAGTTAAACAACTAAGTGTCTTACCTTATATTTCTATAGGTTATAAGCCCAGGCTCTACCCGATAACTACTATATTATAAATACTATTTGTCTTTATAACTATAATTACCCTTAAGCTTTTAATATCTATCTTTTAATATCTAAAGCTTATTATATAGAGATAATAATAGCTATAAAGATATTCTTTTAATCTTCTTAATAGAGATATTTCCCTCTTTTAAAATAATTATAGACTTAAGTGAGTATAATTTATTAATAATATAAGAGGCTGAGAGCCGCTTTCGCCTTTACTCTAAGCGAGCTAAAGTATATTACCTCTAGCTAAAATATCGAACTCGCTAAATATATTAAATATATAATTATATCGCCGTACGATTAAGTTATATTATTTAAGCTCTCTAAATTTTATTAGCTTTCGCTAAATTAGAATATTTAACTTTATTAAAAGTAAAGCTATTTTATATTAATATCGACTTTTAAATTATATATTAATTATCAAATTAATAGTTATTAATTAAAAGTAGTTAGATACTAGTATTAATAGTCTAATCGCAATCTAGAGTATTTTAAAGCTAGCACTATTATCTCTTAATACGCTTATAAATTTATTAAGATTAAAATAATAAGAATATCTTATTAATATTAGCTTCTAGACTTTTAAAAGTCTCTTAAAAAAGAAGATTAAAATCTTATTATCGAATTCTTTTTCCGTAATTGCTTATATTCTATTATCGTAATTATAAAGCTAAAATAATCTTCGAAGTCTTATAATAGCAGCTAGCGATATAGATATTTTAAATCTAAGTTCTTAAATAAGTAGTATAAGAAGAGTATTAATCTCTCTTTAAGAAGAAGATCTATATGCTTATAACAACTATATTTTATATAATTCTACTAGAAATCAGCCTATATTTATAAGTTATTTTTATTATTAAGTATCTTTTATTTTAACTAAATTGCCTATATCTATCGCAGCTCTATATATAAGTACTTTCCATTTTTTATATAAGAACTCGAAGCCTAAAGGCGATAGTTAATTAATATTGATAAGATTTTTAAAAACTTTAACGATAATTAAAGTATTTATTCTACTTTTACTACTTTATTAAATAATAATTTTATTAATCTCGAATTCGAAGCTAGCGAAGATACTCTTAGCTCTATAAGCGATATTAAGCTATTCGGCTTTTATACTAAAAAGTCTATTTTATCTACTTTAAAGCTACCCTCAGAATCTTGCTCTAACTCTATTATCTCATCTGAAATAATAACTAAATTACTATTATTATCGTCATTATCACTCTCTTTATTAATATTCTATATATTATTATCTAAATTATCTTCTAGCGATAATAGATCTAAATAATTAGTTATAGCGTCTTACGATTAATACTTCTAATTAATCTTAATTTAATAAAAGTAGTTTCTCTCTAATATCGATTACTATTCTAAAATCTAGCGTAAAATATACTAGATAGAGATAAGATATTAAGAGCTAATTAGTACTTAATAATCTTTTATTCTTTATTAAGATTACTAAGCTTAAGACTTATATAGCTATTTTTTAATATCTTAAATATAATAATTATTAGTTTATCGAGACTAATTATAATAATAAGAATCCTTAGATAATATTAAACGCTATCGCTAAATATTATAAGTTTAAAGACTTTAAACTCTATATAAAGCTAATTTATTAATTACTCGATATTACTCTTATTTTTAAAAGAGGCGTTTATTAATATAAAAAGGACTTTTATAAGATTACTATCGAAATCGCTAATCTATATAAATCGCTCGCTCTATTAAAGCCTTTTCTAATTTAACTCTTTCTTATAAAACTTAAAAACTCTTTTAATATCTTTATTATAATTTATACTTAAACTTATAAACTATATAATAATAAGGTTATTAAATTTAATAAGATTATCTATATCGCGATAAATAAAGAGATTCGCTTATTATTATTTAAAGATGACGGTATCGCTATATACGCTATTTATAATAATAGCGATAAGAGTAAAAATAAGTAGTTCGTTAGATATTATAAAGTCGATAATTTAGAAACTAATTATAAAACTTATCTCTCATATAAGATCGCTAAATATAAATTTAGATATTCTTCGATTAAATATTAAACTAAGTTCTCTTATCTAAAATCTAAAAAGTTTATATTAAATAAGAAAAAGAAGAAGAAGACTTAAATTATTATAATTAATTTTAATAATATAAGGGAGAGCCTTAATACCAAGCGCAAGCGTATTGAAGAGGCGCCCTTCAATATCTTTACTTTAGAGGAGAATAAGTATCTTAATATTAACTATATCTTTCTAAAAGAACTAGATTTAACTATATATTATATAGATCCTAGTCTTAACGATTTTAATATTCTTAATATAACTAATAATAAGAAAGTTATTAACTTAATAGTCGTTAATTCTAGTCTAAAGTATAACTTAATAGCTACTAACTTTATCAACTTATACTCTTATATAATAATAAACTCTAGCTACTCTCGCTATTCCTTTATTAATTATTTAATATTTATTATTTATAAAAAGATCTACTCTTACTCTATTTATAATATTAAGAATAATTAAGTTTAGCTTCTTAGCCGCGATATTATTAGCTTAAATTACTTCATTTAAGATAAGCGTATAAATATCACTTTACTTAATATTTTATATATATTTAATATAGATATTAACCTTCTTTCTATTAATAAACTATTAAATATTAATATTATAATTAGTTTTTATAAGATTAACTACGCTCTAATTAAAGATAATCTAAAGCTTATAAATACTTATAATTAAGATCTATTTTTTCTTAACCTCTAAGATAATCTAAATAGTACTTTAACGATATATAGTATTTCTTTAAACTCGATTTATTAACTTTAATATACTTATATAGACTATTTAAATTAGTAGAATCTAAATAAACTTTTCGCTATAACGGTAAATATAAATTTTATTAAGAATATCGCGGATAAGTATACTTGCGAGTACTATATTATAGAGTACTAAAAGATTATTCTTTATACTAGTTCTATTACGCTCGATATATAATTAAGTAAATTTATTTATAGCGATCTCGTAGAGTCTTTATTTCTTATTAATTTTAATAACTATAAATACTTTATAATATTTAAAAATAATTTTATCTTCTACTCTAAAGTCTACTATATTTATTATAAAAGTAAGATCTTCGCTATATTTTTATAATTTAAGATCTATCTTAAGTTATATAATTATAAGATCTCTTATATTTATCTTAATAATAGGGGCGAGTATATATCTAAAGTCTTTCTTAACTATCTCGCTCTATCGAGTATTAAATAGAAATTTATTATCTCTAATAACTCTTAGATAAATGATGCGGCTAAGCGTTTTAAGTAAATCTTACTATATAAGATATATTTCATTTTATTAAGCTTTAATCTTAATAAATCTTTTTAGTCTAAAATTATTACTATCGCTAATTACCTAACGATATAATTATCTAATGTTAGGACTATCGTAATCTCTTTCGAGGTCTTCTATTAATAAAAATCTATTCTTTCTTATTTATATATAATCGATTTTATCGCTTATATAATAAAATAACTCTAGAAGAAGCTTATAAATTAAAGCGAAAAGTGTATATTGCTAAGATATAAGAGGGAGTATATCTTTCGACTATATAATCTTATTAAGAAGATAATTATTCGTATTAATAGCGTCTACTTTATGAAAAAATAGTCTCTAGTTATAAACTTAAAAGAAGAAATTAAGATTTATAAGTTCTCGAATAAACGGCAATATCTAATAATATTAATATCCGCTATAAGAAAGATACTAAATAAATAGTATATTACTAATATTTCGAAAGATGTTAAATCTAAAGAAGTATTAAAAGATATTATATCTATAACTAAAATAGCTATTAAATCTTCGACGGCTTTAAGACCTTTAATATCTATAAAACTAAGATTAAATTTCCCCTAGCCAGCTAATAAGCTAGCGTCTTCGCGAAAATCTATATAAGAGCCTTTAATATAATATATTTAATTTATTACGCGAGAGCTCTTAATTTAAGCGCTTTTAATATAAGCTACTTAATTAAATATTATATTTATATCTATATCGATAGTTTAATTTATATCATCTATATAAGAAATTTCCTTAGACTTAGATTTATTATTTACTATTATTAAAGTTATATAAGCTATTCGCGAAGATTATAAATTAAGCGCTATTTAAAAAATACTATATAATTATCTAAATCTTATAATTTCAAATCTATAAGATCTATTCTCTAACTCTCTATCGAAGACCTTTATAATATTCGCTTTATTTACGAATTATACTAATAAGTTAAATATTTTTAAATCTATTATTTATAAGTAGATTATATCTAATTAGCTATCTCGAATAAATGAAGAACTTTTTATAAAAAATAAGTATAAATCTCTTATAGATAATAATACTTAATATCTTATCCAGGCGCCTTTTAAAGCTTATATCCTAAGAGGTAGATAGATCTATATCTTAAAATAAGATCTTGATAAGAAAATTACCCGCTATAAGATATATTAGATTATTTAAGAATTTAAATAATAGAAGAATTATAATTATTATAATACTTTCGCGTTAATAATAAAGTTTATAAGTTATAAAGCGATCTTCGCACTTATAATCGTCTTAAATTAAGATTTAAAGTAAATAAATATTAAAATTATCTTTCTATATAGTAATATAAAGAAAGAGATTTATATATATTAATTCGATAGCTTTAATAAAGATAATATTAAGATCTATAAGTTAAATAAAATACTTTATAATTTAAAGTAGTTTTCTTAAGTTTAATATTAATATTTCTCGAAGTATATAAAGAAGCTAGGCCTTCTTTCTATCGAATCGAATAATAATATATTTATAAACTCTAAAGAGAATACTATTATAGCGCTCTATATCGATGATATCTTAATTATTAATTTAAGTAAAATTAGAATTTAGCAAATTAAAAAGGGTCTTAACGCGAAGTTTTATATATCGAACTTAGAATTATATATCTATTACTTAAATATAATTATTAAGAGAGATTATTATAGCGATATTTTTCGTCTGAAATAAGAGGCTTATATTACTTAATTCTTAAATTATTAAAATTATTAAAATTTTACCTTAATATTAACGCTTTTTAAAATTAATTATAAACTAACTTTCGTTAAAGAGAGCTATATCGCTTTAAGGAAATTATAAGAAAATTATTAATTCGCGGTGAGATCTCTTATATATATTATACTCGATATTTATTTTAATATTATCTACGTAGTATTATTAATAAGTTACTACTTAATTAACTCGACTTTAGCGTATTAAAATACGATTATTCGAATCTTCTAATATTTAAGAGATATAGTATACTATAAACTTATATATAAAAGCTTTCTTTAAGAATTTATCGATTATATTAATTCTAATTAGACTAGTAATACGACTTAAAGATTTATATTTAACTATCTCTTTAATATAGAAAATAACGCGATTAGTTAGTTATCTAAGCGTTAAGTTATTATAATATTATTTATTTATAAGATAGAGTATATTAATTAAATATAGATTATTAAAGAAGTAATCTAATTAAAGAATCTACTTAATTAACTTCTTCGCCTCGATAATATAAATTTTAAAGCTATTATTATTTTCGATAATAATTAAAGTATAATTACTCTCATAAAGAATACTTAATTCTATACTCGCATTAAGTATATTAATATTATCTATTATTTTATACGGGAAAAGGTTAATAATAGTATTATAGATATATGATATATTTCTATTAATAAATAGATAGCTAATAGGCTTATTAAGGCTTTTTGCTTAAATAAATTCGTTACTTTTCGAGATACCTTTAAAGTAAAAGTTGTATTTACTTATCTCCTTGATAGTTATTAATTTTACTACTATCTTAATATAATCTTAATTTAATAATATTTAATAGAGAAGCTATTTTATTATATCTATATCTAGATTTAGGAAAGCTATTTTATTACGATTATCTACTTTAGAGAAGTTATTTTATTAGTTTTCGTATTATAAGTAATCTATTTAAATTACTCGCCAAGCTATTATATCAGACTTAGCACTTAGCGAACTCGCTATTCTATATTGAAACAGCTATTTCTTTAGCGCTATTACCACTATCGCTATTAAACTTTCAAGGCTCTTTTAGAAGATCTATATCTATTCGTTATTAATATTTCGAATATTATATCTTTAAATTACCGCTATTATAGCTATTATTACTAAGAATTAGATATTTAAAACGACCTCTATAGAGGCTTTACAGTCGGCGATATATAACTAGAAGAATTTCTTCTAATTATTTTATTCAGCTACTCTCATATATATTCTCTAATCTTAAATTAATCGATTTTTAATGTATATTAAATGGCCTGAAAATAAAAATTTTAAAAAACCGCTTTTTAATAAAAAGTGAAATTTAGATCGAATTTTAATAGGGGCCTAGTCTAATATAGTCGTTTTTAGATTTCGACTTTTTACTTTATCTACTCTATTTTAAATGTCGCGAATCTTAAATCTTATATTTTTTAATTTTATTTATATAGGGGGAGGATAAAGGTGTAGGGGATATAGAGGGTGTGCTTTCACGCTAGCTATTCGGTATTAACTCACCTTAATTACTTGATTTAAATTTCACCTTAATTACTCGAAGCTAACTTACTTTAATAACCCAATAAAAATCGACTAAGTTATTTCACCTTATTTACTCAATTTTAACACCGTTAACATTAAACTTCGTATTCACTAAGGTTCGCCTATAAGAGGATACATGCGAAGGGAAGTATTAAAATTCGAATCACGTGACTCTTGGCGTCTTGGCGGTCACATGACACGGTCACGTGACACGCCTTAGCGTGTCTGTATCTAGTCGCTCTTTCCTCCATAGTAACTCCATAGTTAACAACTAAGTGTCTTACCTCATATTTCCACAGAAACGAAATAATAACGCGACTACTACTAGAGAAGGGAGCTAATGTCGAATCTCAGAACTTCGATGGTGATACGGTGTTGATCATTGCCGTTAAAAACTTAGTGCGATATTCAATGGTACAGCTGCTGCTAGAGAAAGGAGCAAGAGTCCGTAGGACGGATGCCTATGGATGGACGGCGCTTTTTTATGCAGAACAGCTCGGACTAAATATGGTGTTCCGCTTACTGCGGGCTGTAGGCGAGGTTGAGTGGGCAAACGGGCGTGCGTTGCAGTCAAAGAGGTCGAATGGACGCCCATCACTTGTAGAGGGAGCAATGGTACTCTAAATGTGGACGAAATCAGTCGCTAGAAGCTATAAGATAGTATAGCTTAGTTGTCTCAGGATTAAATAAATATTACCCATCGCGCGCATAGTCAGATGTGCATAAGTGATTGGGCTGTTCCAACGCCGAGGCTAGCAGGCCTGAACAGGCAGTTATCGTACCCCGGCGTCAAGAAACCCCATGGCTGTGCGGCGTAGACCTGGAGTTAAAGATGAGTGATACAGGCGTGATCGGACTGGACAAGAGAATGCTCTGACTTGAAAAAAGATGAAGTAGAATGAAAAGCCACCCGCTATCAACGAATATCTCTATTTGCCAGCTTCGCAATCAAACTTTGGCGATAAATCGCCATTTTCGGCAACCACGCGAGGGGATACCCCGGCTTATACTCGCTCGGATATTGCTCTCTTGCAGAAAGACATCTCAACGCAACTTTACGTTACCTCTCCGCCCACGTCCTTTGATACGGTGCACCAAGAGCAGAGCCGCGCCACGGCTCTGCACTTGAGTGAGGAGAGATAGACTAGAGAATATCCAAGCAGCTGCGACAGCATCAGCGAAACAACAATCAGTCTCTCAGATATCTTTGCACTTACGGATCTAATGCCGCTTCGGGACATTTAAATCTGGTTCTCTGATGTGATTAATGAATAGATGATCTGTACAGTCTTACATACTAACAGTGACATGTCGGGTCACAATACAAATGTACCTAAATGGATCATATCCTTTGCTTTGTTAGCCTTCTCTTTCTATAGCAAAAGCCTCTCATGTTCACCAAAACCCTTTCATTAAAGATCAAGGTTATTAGCCTTACCTTCCATAACCTGTTGTACGATTATGGCAAAGGAAAGCCATTGTCCTCGGGCGGAGTATGCCATCACACTGTCAATGCGCATACCATGCAAGCTTTTTTCAACATATATTAGTGTATCTCGAAAGCACGAATGCGGCGTGATTAGGCAATAGCTGCCACGCATTTCCACTTCTGGTGAACAAGATCACATCCACGAACCCAAAAACTCATACATGCTATTTCTCTCCGTCTGACCTAGACTATCAATTTCTAGTCATCGTTACTATCAGTGTTTGAGAAAGACGCATATCGAAAATGTCGCCACCGTTGCGGTAAGACTCCGAGCTATACTCTCACCATTAAACAGCCGGTAATAATTGAACAGCATAGCCGCATGTGAATGTGGGCTCCGCTACCATTGCCGCCCTTTTGAAGGAATGCGACCGCTTTCAAATCACCGCTCTCACCCGCCCGACTTCCAGCTATTCGCCGCCAAATGACAGCATCAACGTCATTACCACCGACTTCGACTCCTCGGGCTCCCTTATCAGTACCCTCCGCAACCAAGACGCTCTCCTCTGCTGCGTCCCAGGCGGCCAGGCTAGGGTCGCTGCTCAAAAGTTGCTCATCGATGCGGCGATCGAAGCAGGGGTGAAGCTGACCTTTGCTAGCGACTATGTGGCCAACATTTATGAGTTCACACTACCAGACTTTCCCGATGGAATTCGTGGGTGACAAGGTCAAGATACGAGGGTATCTGGAAAAGAGAGCAAAGACGGGCAAAATTGCCTGGACTGCTCTGAATGGAGGGTCTTTCTTCGATATGTATACGTCCAACGCTTTTTGACACTTGTCTAGATTTTCATAAGCATGTCGTCTCTTGACTACTCGGCGAGTTAACTTGAAACCTAGGGCTCGAACTGGGCGTCGCTGGCTTCGACATTCCCGCCCGTCGCGCCACAATCTACGGCGCCGGCAACAACCTCGCCTGCTGGACGTCCCTCCCGGTCATCCCCACCGCCGTAGTCAACATGCTGCTTCACCCAGCCGCCATAGTAAACCGCAGCATTTTAATCTCCGGCGTGCTGAACCCAACACACAACAAAATTCTCGCTGCTCTGGAAACCGAGACAGGGAAGGAATTGAGCGTTGAACAAGGTGATGTGAATCAGATCAAGAGTGGTGCAATGGAGAAGCTGGAGAAAGGGGAACTGAAGGCTGCGACCAGAGAGTTGACGATTAGTGCGCAGTCCAATGACGAGGAGGGGTCGGCGGATTTTTGGGATTTGGTGGAGGACGAAGCTGTGGGGGTGCAGGCTGTGGATGTGAGGGAAGCGGTAAGCGAGTATTTGCTAGAGCAGAAGCTAAAGTGAGACAAAGTCTGTTGTCTGAGATGAAGGTTACTTCTTTGCACAAGATATCTTTATGAAATCTCCTTGTGGTAGGCTTTGAGAGCCAATGAATGGCCAAAAAAGCAAATGAGAAGGCTTTCAATTGGGGCAGGTGAAGGGAAGCATCATCTTTGAAAGGCCCACGTGGCTGGTGAGATTTGAAGACCGAAAAATTGTGTGAACCTCCAATCTGTGAAAGTGACAAACTGCGAGGATTGAAAGAATCCTCGGAGGGAAGATAGAATGGATCTGGGAAATGAATGTCTAGTATAGTGAAGGTTGAGACTCCTAGGAAAGAAAATTCATCCGGGTCAAGAGACATTCAAGCACAACGACGCAATCATCATTCACATTAGCGGTGACCTGAGGGGATTCACCTACTTGTGGAAACAAGGAAGCATCCATCTGTGAATGTCAAAGGCGTGTTGACCAATGATCATCGAACAACGAGCTGTGAATGCCAGAGATGAAGAGAATAGCCGCGCAAAGGTGAACACAGAAATATGTGAATACCACCTATTCACACGTTACGAAGGCAAAACGCCTGAAATGTAACATTAGGTAACACAAATGCTTTTTCCGTGTGATGAATAGCCAAATAGACGCCACAAGCTAACAGTAGCGCTTCCGATAGCCGAGGGGATTTCTCAGGTATTTAAACCCCAGCTCAGAGAATCTTCTCGGTAACATACAACAGCTTCTAGGTGGTACCTTGCAAGGGTGGCTTCCTCCAAGTAGCTGTTCGCTTGCAAGTGGTATAACATACATATATAGCCATCGTGAGTTTATTTCTTCGATGGTACTCCCTTCTGGCTGCTTCAAGAAGACACCATTGTGATGTTGAAAGAAGATCAGGGAAGCCTGGTCTCCCCTCGGATCTTCCTCTTCGGAATCGGGTTCAACATCTTCATGGGTTCCTTACTAATATCTTTCAGTTCTACAGCATAGACAAAGAGCTTCTGGAAATGGACAACGAACTGTGCTGCAGATGTGTGTGAAGCGGGGTGGTGTTGCGACCTAATGGATAGGGTCTAGTTCAGTAGAACGGTGAAGGAAAGGTGATGCGCCAATTCTGGAGCTCATCAGCAAACTTGAGTGACTTGAGAAACGTTGCCGGTGTCGGTTTCAAAAGGACTAATGTTGACAACACTGAGTTTCAACAACAACATCTCAAGCTCAGCCGCAACCTCTGGACCCGACTGCCATCGCTCGAAGACATCGTTCTTTGCTTTGCATCTTGCCTCTTCGAAGAGCGATGCTCAGGCGACTCAGCTTCTCTTTGCCATTCCTTTTCTATCTTCCAAATTCACGACTTGCCTTCGAAACCTACTTGGAAGAGGATACATAAATGCTCCTCGTTGTGCTGGTCGTCTTCGCTTTGGAGAGCTCCGGCAGAAAGGCATCAACCCCAACCATTGTCACACATTCCTTCCTGTGGCAATCGCGTCGAAGACTTCCAACAACTTCTGCAGAGCCTGGGTAATGGTCGTTGAATTTTGTGAGTGTAGATTGTTGCTGGTCGCAAAGCGCCTGCAAGTACTGACAAGGGTACAGGTGAGCACTCCCCATTGAGTCAGCCGTCGACAGAAGAATGACTATCTTTGCAAGACATCACGACGGGCGGTTGGGCCAAGAACCTGCTAGAAGACTGCAACCTCAGATCCAATAACCACAATCTTGTCATGCGTTCATGTCTTGACGGGTCCTTCAACTCGACTCGCCAGAATCACAAGCATGCTCCGTATAAATATAATACCTTATACATGCCGACCCAAGCCCCCAGGCGCTAATACAGCTTATTGGAACCAATTAACCTGGTTATATATCAATCAGTATGGTTGCCAGAATGACCCTTGGCGGAGTTGTAGCAAAGCCATATGTAAGCGAACACAGTCTGTTCTCGCGGTAAGTATCAAAACCGCCCTTGAATGTAACCAGCAGTGCTAAATGATACCAGCTACAGCAGAGATCAACGTGTTGAAGACAATGTGCACTTGGCCACCATAGGGTTCGAGCCTGTGAAAAAGAGTGATGAGGCACTGTTTCTGTGGAAATCCTATCTAGGGGCCCACAACTTGGCACCAGTGAATGCCGTCAGCACTGGCCTGTCAAACACTCTTCGTCACTGGTGAGGTGCCACACAAGGGATTGTTTCTGTGGCTGTGACGGCTCTTGATCGTTCTGTGACGGTAGGACCTCCAGCAGTGGCCGCCACGGTAGGGGTTCCACAAGCGGCAGGTGGACCACCTTTCAAAAGACAGCAGGCGGGTTGACCGAGAGCGATAGGTCAACGGGACTCATGATGCTGTGATCGGGCTGGCATGAGCAGGTTGGGTTTTAAACACGGCTCTTGACTGGTGGGACGGCTGGGAGCGGTAATGTTGGCTTAGGGCTGTAAGTCGGATAGGGTATGCTGCACCGGCAGTCCGATTCTAACCATTTCTAACATCCGTCCAGGCAACAATTCTACCCTTTTCCCACAACGTCTACAGTCCACTGCTACAAGGGTCCCTTCTCAGGCTCCATTGCATTCAATGAACTTGAGTCGCACCTCGAAAACCCGGAGGACGTTGCACTGCTCTTCAATTCGATTCCCAAAAACCATGAACGTTCTGACGAACTTGCGTCACAAGTCATTTTGGGGTTTGCAATAGCAAAGAGGGAAATTCCCACGAAGGATTGGCGTGCACAGGAGGTAGCCAGAAACCGTCAAGTCAAGCCGGGGGAGGAGGCCTTGCCATTTCGCAAGAGACTGTTGGCGAAGTTGCGAAGAAAGTACGGAGTTTAGGTGTCACGTTTGAAGCATTTAGACCAGGCCTGAGTCCTCCAATCGACCATCCCTACATCCTAAACCAGCGCGTTCCACGAGCCATTTCGGGGTCTGCGATGGCAAGAGGAGAAGAACCCGCGCAGGATTGGCGTGTGCAGAGGAGGCAGCCAAGATCGAGGTAGTACGAGCAAGACAATCAAATACAGATGAGAAGGAGTAGGGGAAGGAGAAGGAGAAGGAGATGGAGAAGGAGAAGAAGGAGCTTCCGCAATCAAGCAGATCTTGGAGTTTCACATTATCCAAAAAATGTTAGCAGTTATAGCATTTCGCATATCATCAGTACAACTCGTTGACCACGTTTTTTGCAAAAGATTTCTGCACTACTGTAGGACTGAGAAGTAATTCCACTAGTCACATAGATTATTCAGGTTTAAAGAGAAAATGAACCACATGTATCCGCTCATACTCCTGGGTTTAATCTTCAGAAACTCGCAGATTGCTAAGCGATGCGACACTTCTCCAGGCGTATTCGAACCCCTCCGAGATTGATACGAAATCAATTGTTGCTTTCTATGCATCCCTGACGTAAAGCACGTTACAGCCTAGCCCTACTCCCTCGCCCTAATCATAGCCCACTTACACAACACGATCTCGGAACCTCGTCGCTGCCAATTCTGATGCGTGGCGAGGTGGAAGAGGGCGAAGCAGTCGTCCCCGTAGACGGGATCGAACACCTCGCGCCTTCCTGCCGCCAAAGTGGCGCTCCGACCCTGCACGCGAGATGGGATGAGTTGGTGTCGCGGCGGGCGAAGAACAGTGCCGGCGGTCGCGACTGAATGTGGTAACCTCACCAAGACCCATCAGCTCTACGAACCCTCATCTCGTAGTAAGCGGTGAACGAGATTAAGCATCTACTCACAGTCCTCCCTCCTCACATGCGTCACGGGTATCCGCCACACACTGACTGTGACAACTTGCCTGACATTACAGTCCTCATCGCTCGGCATTTCAGCGACTGCGACCATATGAACGCCTGTCGTCGCGATGGCTTTATTGTTAGCAATAATCAGGTGGCGGTGATGGTATTGGTCAACTGGACACAGGGATACGTGAGTGAAGCAGTTGGGCTGCTGTAGGCCGGATAACAGAGCGGCGAACGTGATGCCGGTTATGGCGCCGAGGTCTGAGACGGAGGTTGGGCGGATTGTCGAAGTGGCTGGTGAGGAGATTGGGAGCGTGGAAGTCACGGTGGATTATAGCAAACGGTGTGGAGGTTGGAGGGAGGGGCGGTAAGCAGGGCACCGAGACGAATCGTGAGAGACGAGTAGGGAGGCCGAGCCCTTCCATGCCGAAAATAGACGGTGCAAGGCGAGCGATTGACAGGAGTAGAACTTTAAGTACCGAGGATAGTATGGTTCTTTCTTTCCATCAGGATACGCTGATATCGCGGGCATATTGTTGCTCAATTAGCCTGATCACTTGTACTCGTAGATGATACAGGTGATATAGCGAGCAACTTATCTCTCAAAACTCTAGCATAGTCTGCCCTCTCTGCCATGGTCCAGTGACCCTCCCGTTCCAGGTAAGCGGACCGAAGCTGCCGTAGCCCATTCCGATTCCAATTTTGTGAACCAGATGAGTCAATATCCAGGACAACGACCGCGACGTTTCGGAGTGAGGAGCGGCGGAAGTGGATGAGGTCTTTTCTCCACAAAGGTAGCGATTCCTCCTGCAGTGTTTCCAGAAAGGTCCTAAAGTCTCCTTGACAGCTTTGCTCCATAGTTGGATAACAATCCTGAAGACCGGGAAGTAACGCAAGTGTGTTGCGAAGATCATCACTTTTACAGCTCCAGGTGTCACTCTTAGCATCGAGAATGATATCCAAATGCATACTCTTCACCGCGGACCGCTGCAGCGAGGTCAGGTTCCGTGGAAACCTCGTCGAAGTATGCGCGATTTTGAACGAGAAGGTAGTGGTGGCGTAGAAATGACGCTAGCGTCTTGGTAGACGGTTCTGGATACTTGGAGGAGAGGCATGCAATTGTTTCTTTTGACAGAGACGGTCTTGAAAAGTCCACGCAACACAATCCTACCCAGCGGGGAACTCTGCCAGCCCCTCGCGCATCGAGTGTGTCGTCTGCAGTCTCGGAATCTAGCCACTGCTACCCCCAGCATTGTACCGAGTAGACCATTCAGATCCAGATTTTGCGAGATATCATAGGCTTCTTGCTCGGTTTTCGTCTCGACGTATCTCCCAGAGCACAGAATGTCAATATAGACTGGCTCGTTGTTGCCAAGGTGGGTGGTGCTACGTGCTCCTTTGATAGTCGCCTCCCAAGGGGCTGAGATTTCCTCAGAGACGAAATGAACCATTCGTGAGCCTAATATGAGCTTGTAGGTTTCTAGGGAGTTGGAGCAGACTCGACATTTCAGGGAGCTTTTTAGCTGAACGTCTCATTCGGCGATTCAAATACTGCCCCTAGAAACAGGCACGTATTACAATAGAATACATACACGAAGGAGGACTGAGGTGTTGGACTGAGAATGCTTCTTGAGCTTTGTATAGCGCGACGTCGATTGATCTTGGTAAGGGCGCAAGAAAACCAATGTAGATTATGTAAGGACTAATCGAGGCCTAGCCGTATTTTTACATTGCGCTAGTTTAGTACGTACTACGATCCTTGCCCAGGGCGGGACGATGTTGGCCGAGACTCGTACTGAGTGCGCGGTACCAGGCCAATGTTCTGCCGACATCGAACCATATAGCAGTGCCCACCTCAATCTCTCTAAAAAACGTATCCCCAGAGCATCCGGCCGTCATGCATTCTAGTGGTCGTGGACATTGGGGGTGAGCTAGGAGGGTGTCTGGTGGACCCCAAGTCCGAATCTGAGGATGGTGAGGGTCATTCAATCTAGAGATGGAGTCGGCATAGATCTCAGAGCCAAAAATACGCCCGTAATATACTCGAAGGCGGGACACTCAGTGGCGAAATAGCGACTCCGGTTTGAAAGAGGTACATTGAAGGGTTCACAGTGTCTTACATTTGCTCAAAGGTTAAGCGTCAACGTACGTTACTAACACCGTTCGACTAGGCTCCAGCCCTGAATTAGAATCGGCAAATCTACAGAGTAGGAATAATCGATCACCGGTCCAGAGAACTTGCCTGAAGTAATCCCCATACCTATTGATTAAGCCATTGGCGTACTCCAGTCAGTCACATGTCAAGGGTCGTGCGACAACAGTTCAAAGACATTTCAGACTTTGAAACCATGTCTAAAACGGTATTTTGCCATCAGTTTTATATGCTTTGAAACCCCGCTTCCCTGCTCTGAAGCCCCTACGGCAAGGATGGGCCCCAGTTTGCTCATTGGGCGAAACGACTTGGTGTTCCTTCCAAGACATCAAATCTGCAAGCCGTGCCACTATCGTCAAGACTTCCAAGGATGACCTGTGTGCTCAAGTCTTTTCGCGTTTTCGGTCCACGTCTCCGCCGATCCGGGACCTTGCCAAAAGACGCGCGGCAGAGTCTGCAGAGCGCCAGGGGCCCATATGCTAGGGTAGCCGGAAGCACGATGAATCTAGTGCTTTACCAAACTATCGATCGAGCTTGGCGAGAGTGTCAGGACTGCAGAAGACCCACATAAAGCTGCAGAGTCGTGATGGCAAGAATAGATCGAGAGCGCTGAGTCGCACTCTTAAGCGATCACGAGATCCGCCGACCTTCATCGGAACACCACTATTCAGGACGATTGCCCAAGCTACTCCAAGCAGCGATGATCTTTGAAAGACGTATTGGGCAAGAGATCGGCGAAACAGATGCTGCATTAGTCCAAGCAGCTGCAGTGCAGATCACAGTACCCTACCGCACAACCTGCAGCTAACGGAGAGAAATTTTGAGTCTGGACCGATAGTATCCGACCCCAAAAACATCCTGTCCAAAAACACCAAACCACATTCGGAAATTCAGGAGGGCTTCCCAGTTCTCCATCAGGAGGATTTGCAGTCAAATCACCGGGACTTAGATTCCCCTTGTTTACGCATACAACCCCTTTATCATGTAATGCTCCATATGCATCTCGCAATCGACCCGCATCATGCGGGCTTCCTCTAATGTTTTCTCCGAACAACAAGCGGAAGATCGTCTAACCCGAATAACTCCTATTATTACACAATTGACCACGTTGGAACTCGAAACGAACTACGAAATTTTCGATCTTCATTACATCCATACTGCATTCAGGTGACCGAGACTTGCGTTTTGTTGACCATGCAGTACTTTATAACATACCGAATTAATTGGCATATAAGATACTACCATATAGCCGAAGCGTCCATCTGATCGTCGTTTGGAACCGTATTTTATATGTAAAGGGGCCTTATAACACTGTGGTATCGTATGGCCTAAGGCGCTAGTCAATGGTCTTACTAAGCTCACTGTCGCCAATTAGAGAGCTCGGAGAGACGCTCTTATTAGACGGGAAAATATCTCTGTATGGGGGATGGTACCTGATTTGGGGGCGTAGGGTACCGCAAATGGCCTGTACCTACTCCGACTACTCATTATTCTACTTGTCTTACTACTATGAGGGTTTACTTAATAGATTCTTAATGGACTTGAATGGCTACTTCTGATTTTGCATTGGGGGTTTACTATTAAGTACCATTACTCAGCAGACTATTAGGACCCCTATCTTATAGTCTAATTATGGCCTACGTCTGAAAAACGTTATTTTGAATAGTATTTTATATGCAAAGGGGCCTTATAATGATGTGGTTTTTTATATGCCAATTAATTCGGTATGCACCTCACGAACGACTCCCATCATGCAAAACTACGTGCTAAAACTCGCCGAAAAAGAAAAAAAGATGAAAGGTCCTCCGAACATATCTGATCAAAACACACCTCATCAAGCTCGAAACCTCGGACTTACTTCCCAGTTTCCGATCACATTGCCCGCGGTCAGATCACACCGAATTACGCTCCCCTTGGTGCATATGCACCTAGCAGCATAACCCA